AAAAAAACGAATTCCTTAAATGTATCTGCCATGGGAATCGAAGCGATAGCTTGTTGCTCATTGTCGTTGAGATCGAATCAACTTGCGTGACTTTTTACAGAAAAAAATGCGACAGCTCTTCAAAAAAGAAACATATCCATCTAGTAGTGCGTGATTCTATGAAGATGTCGGTTTTGGATGGAAAAAAAAAACAAGACAGAGATAATCGGAAGTAGTCGGTACAGAAAATAAATTATTTTTCCGAGATATTTTCCTGTTTTTGTGTAAAAAACTCAGAAAGTGCAACAATTACAAATGTTGTTGAGAAGACCAAATTACGCAACGTGAAGGTTGTAAACTCGTTGTTAAAACGGATTTTAGTTGCTAAAAGCCTTTCTCATCATCGGCCATTTCAGAACAAACTTATTATCAGAAGGAGCTGCAATTGCTTGGATTGTTTTGCCGCATTAGGCTGAGTAAGTTTATATTGTTCATAAACGGACTTACACTTTTCAGAATCTCGTTCACAATCAAATACCCAGGCAATCATAAATATACCGAAAAAGCGCTAATATTATGGGGGCTGCGAAGATTTTGGGCAAAAAACGCAAACAACCCCAAAAACAGGTTGTTTCACAATCTACATAAGGTTCTTAAAGTTAAAAAGAAAGTATTTTACCAGATTTTTAAAGTGTATTTCCTGCGAAATAAATAGTACCATTAAAAATAACTACCCCTTTATTTTTTTTAACATGACGGATATTCAATAAAACGTTCTAAATTGTAAATCTTGCATAAATTAATAAATTTAACTTAGTTATAGTCGACGTTCGATGACTGCTGTACGCCAGATTTTTTTGAGTTGTCAGCTAAATCCGTATAAGACAATAAGAATAATTGAAAAATGTATTAGTACGTTAAACGAATTGCCACTATTTGAATAGCTTCTTTTTCGGAAATTGAAAACTCCAAAAGCAAATTTTAAAAAAACCTATGACTTTCGGCTTTTTGCGTGGAATTTTCAATTATTTTCCTTGTTTGAAATTTAAAAATATCGAGATTTCAACTATGCATGTAATTATTGATGGACAGAAAACGAGTTGGTGTTGCGACGACGGATTCTGGAAACAGATTACGACATTGTTGAAAAACGGCAAATTTATTCAGGTGTCGTGGAATCCTGCGTTTTGGTACGCAGTACACCGAACTATTTACCGTAATCTTCGAAGCCATATTCAATTTTCCGATTTTTACAACTGTCCCGATTGTTAAAGTTTTTTACATTTTCCTTTTACTTCGCTGGTATAATTATTAAGATTATAGCTGCATTTCAGAGGTGCAATAATGAAAATTACTGCGTACCAAAACACATTATCCTACAACAATCCAATAATATCCCTTGCAAATGCCGTTTTTTGTGTACGCGGATAGATTTACGGGCGTACGTCTTTTTCCGTGGTCTCGCCACGCTTTAATGTTAATTTTATTATTTTCACGTGAAAATTGTATTGTCGAAGGCTAAATGCCAAAAACAATAACATTGATCTTGACGCGAAACTAAAAGTGTAGATTTACGGGGGTAAATATAAGATGGGATTAAACGCACGCTCCGAGACTTTTCTTTTTGAAATTTAAAGTTTTTTGGCATTTAACCAGTTTGTCGTAGTCGACGTTAACAATATATATTATGGTTGATTTTGCAAATTCCTTCAATTTAACATTGCAATTAAAATTTATTAAAATTCCTAAGCCTATGCCTAGATTGAAAAATAGTTAGTGACCCCTATAACGAAATATTTTATTCCCTAAACTACGTTAGTCTCCGTACGTCGCCAATATCTATTGATAACATAATTGTTGGAGAAAAAAACAATCAGAAAAAAAAAACAAACAAATTGTTTAGTTACCAACCAACCTAGTAAATGAACATTCGTCTTAAAGATGGCAGAAAAAAGCCTAAGGAGGCACAAAAATGTGTGTGACCTCCAGCTTTTGTGTGATATTTTGGGAACGCGAAATTGAATTTAGTCGCCGAGTGCTTTGACTGCTCAGTTTGGATATGCGCACACTGGTGGGTACTCAATGAAGATGAAATTTTTTGGTGTTATTTTCAAAATTTTAAAAAAATATATAGTCGGGGTCCGGTGAGGGTAGATTTGCGGAGTGCTTCTTTCAAAAACTGCAAGTGAACGTTTATTTTTAAATTGTCACGTGAAATGTTTTCTTGATGAGTATTTCAATTCCTTGCATACTTAATATCACTGAAAAAAATTAACGCATTGATCTCTAAAATGCAAAATAACGAGTTAGTCCGCGGGAGACCGTGGAGAAGGCGCATGCACGTAAATATACCCCCGTACAGAAGTCGCCGCACTCTATGATGACTGCGGAACAATGACAAACCATTTACTTGAAAAATTTTCAATAATTCATCAATCGATTACTTCGGTTCAAGATACTTTTGATTGTATATGTACATATACTTTTGCAAATTAATGCGTTTTGGGGCAACAAATTTATGGACGACAAACCTCGATTTTTATCAACAAAATATAAATGCTAAATATTGATGTATGTATAATGATAATATCGATGATAAAACTATCGTTGCACATTGATGAAATTTGTGGTGCTTTATCATTTAAAATGTCGTCATTATCATCATAATCATCGGCGACTATAAAATCAGACTTTACGGAACAAACAGGATAGTTTTCCATCTATGTTTGCCAACAATTTCACCTAGCCCAAGAGCGCATATTCACACTACATAGGTTTCATTTATTATTGTCAGTCAAAAATGCGAAAATAGGGTACCGGCCTTGCTTGTGAAAGGCCTTATGTGCAATCATGAGCGATTGTTTGTTGTTTTCCTCCATGTTTTCGTTAAATTAGCGTTGGCGGCAATTCAAATCTATTGTTTATTTAGGTATTTTCAGATCCGATTGGATATTTGCCAGAACCAATTGGTAGCTTATCGGATCCGACGATTTTTCAATTTTATCTGTTGAATTACCGATCGAATATGGTTAATTCCGAAGCCATTTTTGTCGAATCCGATTGGTTTTGAGATACCAGAGCTCCCAGAAACGAAACCAAGGCCGAGGTCCACGTCTTTTAAAATCCTGTCTTTTTTTGCTTCTGAAAAAGAAGAATCAGCCGCTAAAAAACGCAGTCGAGCATTTTGGGTAATCATTCTAAACTGTCGATTTTTGAGCCACTTGCCAATTTGCACGTTCAATTTGCTTTCCTTATGGACCAATTTATGAAATGAAATTTTTAAAATGGGACAAAATTTCATTAAACGTGCTTTTTAACAAGCCTGTATTGAAAAATTTTGTATTTTATTTTACATTTTTAATTGTATGCAATTAGCGCTTTTTTATTGTATGCAATTATGGGTAAATTAGCGGTTTCGGTGTTTCAGGGATTAATTTCTACACGATCACATCACAATTAACATAAGGTGCCACTTTTTAGTATTTGTGAAATTTTAAAAGTTGTCGCTTTTCTCAGAGCAACAATTAATTTAATCAGCTTGTTAAATTAAAAAAGCCACTTTAAACCAAAATTTTTTCTTCTTCTATAGAAATCGTCCGATGTTATTCAGCGTATATGCAAAAGTAGGGTTTACATATAAACACTCATGCAAAGATAATAGTGGTTTTATAGTCAGAGCGTATTTTTCTTCAGAAGCAGACTACATGCAATTTTTGGTTTTTTTTTTCTAATCTTTTCCCTTTTTTTTAGATTTTTGATACTGTTATAATCTTTACGACTAGCGGAGTGTTAAGAAATCTGTATGCATATTGAAATGGAAATTTGTCATATTTGCCATTCTTATCATACACGAAAAAAATTCGTCACTGGTGGTATTGTTGAAAAATGACAAATGTATCCAGGTGTCGTAGGATCCTGCGTTTTGTACGCAATGCTAAGAGACAGTTACCGTAGTCCTCGCAGCGATTTACGGGGACTTTTTTTTAAATTTCGCATATTCATTTTTTTTATTTTTCGTTCAATTTTTAAATTTTGTTTCGAAATTTTTTAATTTAAATTTTCAAATTATACAGAAACCGAGTTTAATAATGTATTTAGCAGAATAAGCACTTTTAAACGATATTTTTTTGGTAAAAACAGCAGAGATTAAAAAGAAATAATTTTTGTCGTTAATAAAATTATTTAAACGTGTTTTGCTTTTTGTATGCTTTTCTATTATCTTGTTTTTGTATTCTTCATTTTCAAAATAATTTTTAGGGCGTCAAAATCTTCACAATAATTCCCAACGCAACTAGACAAATGGAAAAGTGCATATTCTGAAAAATAAATAATTAAACTCGGTTTCTAAAGGTTTTAAATATAAGATTTCTAAAGAAAATTAGAAAATTCAGCAAAAGAAATTGAAAGAAAATTTAAAAAAATTCTCCGTAAATCGCTGCGAGGATTACGGTAACTGTCTCTTAGCATTGCGTACAAAACGCAGGATCCCACAACACCTGGATACATTTGTCATTTCTCAACAATATGAAATTTCCGTTGCCTTAGATATCGTCAACATCTAAATGGTCTCCTAGCAACTTGCGTGTTGCATTTCAAATCGCATTGTTGGTGTTGGTATAGCCTTGAAACTTCGCATTAATATTGTCGTCACGTTTTTCAACGATTCACTCCTCCCTGCTGGCCTGTGTTTTATTTACGCAGTTTTTTCTTCTCTGCCCTCTCAAATGTTTGTGGCTGCCAATGAGTTTCACTTTGTTTACTAAATATTTTGAATAAAATATACCAAATATTCAAAAATATATCACGACGCTGGTTTTTTAACGTTCTATAACAAAAGTTTCTGTATGAATTAACTTTCATACCTTTTCAAATTGAAATTGAAATTTTTAATTTTACTTCCTGGTTTCTAATCGACTCGCCGCTAAAAAAAAACACATCAGGTTTACTGAAGACAGACTCGCCACTGCATTCTTCTTCAGTCTAATTATAATTTCAAACAATTATGAAGTTTTAGATTCAAAATGGCGCGAAGAACGAATAAGAAAAATCAAGTGAAACGTCTCGACGGTCAGAAGACTCAGAAAAATGTCAAGAAAGGTCAAATTTAATTTAAAAAATCATTTTATAAAAAAAATAATTATTATTAATAATCGGGATTGTTTGAAATATATGCGGATGTTAGGAAATTGTTTCGACGATAATTATGAAATTTGAATAACTTTATATTTTTTGAGTTTAGGTCTCCGCCATTCTACTCGGGTTCGTGTGCAAACCGTTCTTCATCAAGCTCCAGTTTCAAACGTTGAAAAACGAGCAAAACGCAATACAACAACAAAGAAAGTGAAGAAAATCGAGAAAACAGTTATCAAAAAGATAGGAAAAGGGATTGAAAAACTTCCGAAAGTGAAATCTGCACCGAAAAGAGGAAACGACCGACTCGTCCCAAGAGATGATCTTCCAGAGTACAAAGAAAATCCATTCTTCACGGAAACAAAAACCCCTGAACCTGTTAGTACGTCAACTTACTATCGTTGGTTGATTCGAGCATGTCGCCGTAACAATATTACCGAAATTCGTGAATACTTTAAATCGAATCGTGCACTTCAAACTGGTCCATACCAAGAATTTTCCTACATTTGTGACATCGATGCTTTTCGAGAGGCGTGTCAAATGAAGAATTCGAAGCATATTCAAGAATTCTTCAAATTGATGGGTGAACTCAACGAAACGGCTCAGAAAAATGTGCCAGAACCGAATTTGTTGGATCGAAGAATTCGCAATCGCTCGAATCGCTATATGGTTGGAGTGTACACAAGACCAGTAGAAATGGCACGCGGTGGAAAAGAAGGAAATAATGCATTCTTGAATTATGACAAACCAAAAAATGAAAACGATGCTCTCCACGAACTCGTTCAAATGAATGTACCGTACACTACACTTTTTGCTATCTCAAAAATGCCCAATCAACGTGAGTTGACTATTTTTATTCATTTTATGTGTTATTTGTTTCAGTGTTCCGAGAGCACGATCTCGATAGTAAATTGGTAGTTGCGGTGCGAATGGGACATCGAGAATTGGCGTCTGCGATTGCACAAGGTCCTGCTAGAAACAATCTTAATGAGCTTCATAGACTGACATTGAAGTATGTTAAAATAAGTTTTAGTTTCGTAGTATTGTCGATTTCAAACGACTGAGCCAAAATAAAGAAAATATTGGTCATGGTGTCTCGAGGCAAAGAGAAGTATGCTCATTTTATATTCAGTTAACTCTAAATTAACACATTTACGTACATCTGCATTGATCTTGCAAAATTGAATTTCCGCCACAAATTAATCGTTTGAAATCGACAATTTTGTAAATGATAACCGTTTTATTTTCCAGAGAGGAAAAACTTCCGGAAAAGATTCTCGCTGCTTCTGTGCTAATGAAAGGTTTCACAAATCGCAACATTACACCAATTCATACAGCGGCTATAAGTAAAGACTCAAAAGTAAAGAATCTGAAGTTGATCTTACATTTGATTTTCTTTTCAAATTCAGATGCTGGAAATATTCAGAAGTGTTTGTCCAAATTTGAATATTCCTGATTCTGACAATTGGTACACAATTCATTATGCTGCAGCGTCATCTGGGAGTGCCCCTTTAATATTTTTGCTTAAAAATGGAGCAACTGTATCGGTAATGACAAAGCGCCAACAATCTCCGTTGCACGTAGCGGCAAAAGCAGGAAGAACTGAAAATGTCAAAGTTTGATCGAATTTCTGAAATGATTTATTTCCACGAAGATTTCAGATAATTATCAAGGAATTGCTAGAACTCGAAAAAGGCGAGGACGGTGAATCTGCTACGAAGAAGGAAAAATCGATGATCAATGCTCGAACACGTTCTGGATTATCTGCACTTCATCTGGCAGTTATTTTCAATAGATTAGACACTGTAGAAGCTCTTTGCTCGGAAAAAAGTGTGTTGGTTGATAACCCGACGTCCACTACTACCAATAAGTTGACCCCCCTAATGCTTGCTTGTGGAAGAGGCTTTCTTGAAATGGCGAAGAAGCTCATCAGCCACGGTGCGCTTATTGAGGGAAAAGATAAAAAGAAGAGAACTCCATTGATCCACGCCGCAATGAATGGACAAACTCACATCGCTGCTTTTTTGCTCAGCCGTGGAGCCAATGTGCATGCTACAGACTCTTCAGGAAACTCTTCCGCTCATTATTCGGCAGCCTACGGTTTCCTAGACTGCCTAAAACTTTTTGCCACAGTCGACCCTAATACACTTGCCGCTCAAAACGATTGGAAACTGACACCGTCTTCTGTTTCATATCTCAAAGGGCATTACGGAATTGTAACCTGGATGTTTGAAGGGCCGTATAGCGATAAAGTTGATATTAATGCAAAGGATAATGATGGAGCTACTCTTCTTTCGTCTCTTCTTAAGTATCTAAACAACGATGCGATGCTTTGTGGGCAAATTGAATATTTGATAAAAAAAGGAGCTGATGCGAGTCTTTCGGACAGCGTCGGCAACACTCCACTGCACATTTTTGCCGCATTGAATATCATTTTCAAAGGTAATTTTTCTCTTTTTCCTGCTTTATATAGTGTTTTTTTTAAGGAAAAGGAGGACCTGAGCATTTAGAAGATACGAAAATGACCGAGAAACAATACAAACATTGTTTCGAATTGTTGCTCAGTGCTGGTGGAAGCGTAGAAGCTGTCAATCAACAAGGTTTTTAATTCTTTCATTTTTCTTAATTTAATTTTTCGACATTTTACAGATAAAACTCCGATGCATATTGCCCTGGAAAACGGAAATTTGAAGCTTTTTGATATGATGTTTGAGAAGTGCCAAAATTATGAAGAATTGTTCGAAAAATGGTAAATTTCTATTGAAACAACTATTTAAATGTTTCGCTTATAATTTATAGGGATCCAAACGAAAACATTTTACATAAATTGCTTACACTGCCGTTTGTAATTTATGGTGACAAAGAGAAGTGGATCAATCAAAATCTCAGCAAAAGTTCATACAATGTTTTGCCGATTTTGACAAAATTGAATACGGTTGATTTAGATATTGATATACAGAATGTGAATAAATTTTTAAATTTAGAAAATTCCGGAACTCTTGAAGAAATTTTTCAATGAGCCTAATAAAGAAGGATGCACACCTATGATTGCCACTCTCAAGGCTTATACCAAATTGTCTCCATTTACGGATAGTGGAAGAAACAACCAAAATTTCGTAAGTCATCTCGTTCTATCATCGTTATCACCTTGCTACCGATTTTGGAAGTTTTATAGGGTTCTTTATTTGTTTATTCTTAAATATTATTTACCATCACAAAACCACATCAGACCGCATCCAAGAAATATTATTTTTTTGGAATTTCGGCTAATTTTTGCAGTCGCACAGCGCCGACAATGAATCACTTATAGGAAATTATCCCACTCTAACAATAATTTCTGTAGGTTTCATTGATGTGTCATAACAAATACGCTAATATGTTCTCATCGACATCTGGAACTAACATCCGGTACCGATCGGTACTTGAAAATGCTTCCCTTCAATGTCTTGTCCTTTCAAATTTTTTCCCGAAATTGTTGAATTTTATCATAAAATACTTGTTTTCAGGAGTTCGTCACATGCGTTACCTCGCTCTTCGAATGGGTCATCCGTCGAAATCCTGAAGTTTTGTTATCAACGTTTAAGACTCCAGATAGCAATCAATTATGTATTACAATTTTCTTTATTCAGAATCCAAATGCTCTTCTTTCAGTGAGTCTCCCTGTATTATCAATGAATATAACATTGGAAAAAAGCACGGAACAATCAACGCAATATTCGTTATTCAAGTTGCTGATGAACTTATCGAAAGAAAATAATTGTTTAAGGTTTTTTTTTTCAAATTTATTTTAGATGTTATCCCGGTTTCAGAGAATTTTTCAATGTAAAAAACGAACTCGGCCATTCGTTGGTATTATTGGCTCTTTATGATAGTGAACTTGTTGAAATCATTCTGGATGCTGCAAACAATGCGGGAATTTTGGAAGTTCATTCGGCCGTCAAACAGTTTATTGAAGTTGAAGGACAACGTAATTAAATATTGAAAAAAAAAACCAACATATCTTTATTATTTTCATTTATAGAAGTTGAAGTTAATCAGACATTGGCAATGTTGTTCATCCAAAACCAGCAAACACATCTTATTCGAAAATTGAACGTTTTGCCGGAATATTGGTGTCGATTAGATTCTGGTTAACTTTTTTAGTTTGCTGTATGATATATTTTTGTTCGAATTTCAGAAGGGTCGAATATTTGGCATTATGCTGCTCGAATCAACAATCATCAAACGGTTGGCTTGTTCAAATTTATTGAAGAACGCAATGTTCCGCGAGTGGTAATAATTTCGCTTGAGATCTGTTAGAACACGTTACATTACAGAAAAACTTAAAAGGACGGCATCCACTGCATGAAGCCACCTTGGCTTGTGATGGTGGTGCAAATACGGTTCTTGATCCAATTACTTGGCTAGCTGCGAGAACTGATGTTTCTCTTACGGATAATGTAAGCCAAATTCTCAAATTTTTGTTTCGATCATTTCGATTATTATTAGGATAATCGAACTGCGCTACATTATGCATTTGGAAGAGAAACTGATTTCGCCGAAAATTCGTTCTTTCATTCTCAGCTTGATCCGATTTCAGTAGTTATGAGCCTTACTGCATCCATGGGAACTGAGCAGGTATTCGGCGAATCTTCAATAATCTCCATCACTGGTTCATTACAGATAAATCTCGCTGATTGCAATGGAAACACGGTTCTTCATCTGGCTGCTATGAGAAATGCTGTTATTTGTATGACGACATTTATCCGAAAAAATGGAGATATCGAAAAGAAAAATAATGTAATATTAAATCAGAAGTATTTTAAATTGTTAAATCTATTCAGGACGGTAATACACCTCTGGCTCTTGCGGTTAAAAATTGTGCACATTCTGTTGCTCTTACATTAATCCAGGCTAATGCTGACGTAAACGCTGAGGTGAAAAAAACCAAAATTTGTTTCGCAAAAGTTATGACGAAATTTAGATTTTCGAGCCAAAATTAAACGAAAAAGAAACGAAAAAAGTAACTGAGTGGTATTGGAGAGGACTGGATGTTAAAAAAGAAGCGAAGAAATTGACAAGTACCGTTCCTTCGCATGTCGTTTCGTTAGGCGGTAACTGGGATGCTATGGTTTATGTACTTATCGATGTTTTGGGGCAGGTAGCGAATCTCTCTCTCTCTCAATATAATATATTAATATATTCAGAACACTGAATCAATGTTTCAATTAGCAGACGCCGCTTTGAAAAAACGAAAATATAACTTGGCAAATCAACTGCTCAAATCTCTTCAGGCAATTTCTGACGGAAAAACGATCAAATCGAAATATGATTTACTCAACACTTTTGCAGAATATTGCAATAGTAAAACCGAAACACCACAAAATATACTACTAATTTAATTACAGCATTCCTGACTTTTGAATCGATTGATTTGACGGTTCTTGATCGAATTCTTGATTTGAGAGGATTGAACATGGATCCAGATGAGTCGACGATGAAAATTATTCAAACTGCGATTTCTAATGGAAACTGGAAATTTTTGGAGTATCTTAAGGTTTTTAAATACTGTATCATATTATTCTCGTTTTATTTCAGTCAAAACTCGGTCAAGATGTTTGGTCTCGAATCTACACCACGAATAGTCGAACATGCCCACTTCGGTCCCTTGTGGTCTATTTAGCTGAGAATGAAATCACTGCGGCAGCATCAAACTTGTTGCACGATCTAGCAAAACAGCCAAATATCAAGTATTTGCATCTACTATTAATCTAAAACATAATAATCCTGTAGCATTGATCAATTATATCAATTCAAAATTCCTGAGAGATTTAAACTTCTCAATGTCGATATTGGGGACCTCCCACCAATTTCTTGGGCGGCTCTTTGTGGAAAGACAAAACTCGTGAGATTGCTACGAAAGGCCGGCGCAAGTTTAAAATCCACGGATAATTTGGGAAGAACTTGTTTGATGTTCGCTTTCATGAATAACGACCGAAGTGTTGTAGATGTACGATTTGATTTTAAACCTGAAATCAATCTTTCGATTTAGGTAATTATTGGTGATGGAGAAGAAAAAACGGAAATATTGCCAAAATCTATTACCAACGGAATTGAGAAATCAAAAACCCGCTTAGTAAGAAATAAGAAAGTCTTAAAAAAAATTGAATATTTCCTGTTTCAGCCACCAATATTTGGGTTTTCGCTTGCCTCTCAACCAGCAGAAACCGTAATTTATTATTACTATTATTATGTGGTTTTGAATATATTCTTTCTATTTAAAGAGCGACAATGGATCGGATAATTCGGATAATGATGATTATGATGAAGACGGTGAAAGCAATCCAAGTGAAAAAGAGGATGATGATGAACCCGCTGTGAAAAAACCGAGATTAGAAGATGAGGATTCTAGAAATGCAAAACAGAATCCTTTAAAAATTATTGATCCATCGGTATTTAACTATCTACATTCTTAATCGACACCCTTTTCAGTTGTTTCTTCAAAAAGACAATCAAGGAAGGAATCCTCTTCATTATCTTATCGAGCCAATACCGTGGGAGAATGTCGAAATGCTTCAAGAATTGGCTAAAGCCAATTTGGAATGCATCAAAAAACTGCTCATCGATAAAACGAAACCGAATCCAATCGAGCTTGCTGCGAAAAACGTTCAACGTCGAATGAAAGAAGCCATGTATGCAATCGTGAAAGACGCGAAATTACCGAGAGCTGTTGAAGATTTACAAGTTTCTGCGTTAAAGGCAAACGCTGAAAAATTCGATTGTGTTGATGAAGATTGCCAGAAGTTTATGGAAAAATGGTCAACGGAGCATGACAAGGTAAAATTCTGTCTTGTTTTTAAATAATCATGTCGTATTACTCAGAAATTGAGCGAAGTTGTTCGAAAACCTCACAAAAATTCGACATATCAAGAAGGAGGAGAGCTTTTGTTTTGCGATGAGACGAATCAATATTTCGATGTACCATTGCTAGTAATTATTTAAAATTCCTGTTATATTTTTTTCAGGTTCTTCTGAACAAAACTGATTTGAACTACGGCCGATATGGATTCCACAACTTCTATCGCATGCAGCTCATTAAACGCCGAGATTGTGATTTGTTTATTTTGTTCACAAATTGGGGAAGAATTGGAGATAGCACTGGAGAAGTTCAAACGACTCCATTCAACACATTCGAGCTTGCGAAGAAGGAGTTCAAGTCCGTGTGGAAGTCAAAAACTGGAAACGAATGGGTGCCGCTTGATAAATTTGTTGAGCAGAAAAAGAAATATCGCCTTGTTAAAAACGATAAAATGCCGGCGAATATGTCCGAAATTGATATTCCAGAAGAAACTTATAAGAAGGAAGAGATTGATCCAATTAAGAAAATGATTCGCGATATTTCAAGACCAGACAAACTCAAGGAATATTCACAACAGGTTTGGTTGTGTTTCATAGAAATTAATAAAATAATATTTTTAAGTTGACACTGTATGGAACCAATATTAGGCAACCATTTGGGCGCTTCACCAAAGAAAATATTGCTAAAGCACGCGAAATACTTGATGAATGTGAAGAGAATGCAAAAGAAATCAAAAAGTTGTTTGAAGCGTTCTCCCCTGAAAAAGAAGAAGAAATCTTAGCTGCTTATATGAAAGCTGTAAATTTATGGTAATACAATTCAAAAAATAATCGGGGTCGTTTCCAGAATGAACTTTCAACGAACTATTACAATCTAATTCCAAGTGGCGAATTCGAATTCGCTGCTTTAGCTCGTTTAGATGATGTTGACATGATTGCCAAACATCGAATGAATTTGAACCGATATGAGGAAATTGAAGTATCGACAAGAATCTGCTGTGCGGCTGCTTATAGATCAGACATTGATAGAACTGAGTAAGTTTTAGATAAAGGTTTCGATATATAACCACTTGTTTATTATAGATATGTTAAAAAGGCACTCGAAACAGATTTTCGAATGGAGACCCCAACCAGTGACATCAGTCAACGAATTCTCGAATGGGTTCACAACAGCGGACGTAAATCGACAATTGTAAAAGGAATTGTGGAGATTCTACCAAGAAATGCATCGGAGAAATTTGCGCCATTTTCGAATGATACGAATCAAATGTACAGTATTGATACATCACAAATGTATAACGAATTTTAAGGTATCTCTGTCATGGAACAAGATCAGCGAATCTTATGAGCATTCTCTACCACGGATTTCTTGCGGATCCACCTCAAGTTTGCAGAAACGGACAGTTGTTCGGCCCGGTATTAGCATAATTCTTTGTATTTTTATTATAATTTTTCCAGGGAATTTACTTAGCCGATACATTTTGCAAAAGCTCTGGGTATTGCGAGAAATCTGCTGATGGTTTGAACTATATGCTAATCTGCCAGGTATATTCGCCGGAAAGTTAAAACAAATCGAATGCGAAAATTTTACAATCTTTGGTTTTAAGTTTCCAGATTATCTCGTATGGTAAACATTTTGGAACGAGTTTTGAATTTTCTAGCTATCACAATGTGAAAGAGAATAACTTTTATAAATTTTAAGCATTTTTGTATTAACGAAAATTTCGGATAGCAGTGTTGTGGCTTATTATTTTGCAGTACCTATTAAAAGGCAACCCGCAAAATTCGAATTTCGTAAATTCGCCCTTCCAATGTGTACAATTAATAGGTAGCCCTTGGAAAAGTACGAGAAATTCGCGACCTTCCGTATTATCATCGGATCAACAACAAAGTCGAAAATCCAGTGAAAGGAGAGGATACACTTCATTATATAGGAGAAAAAATACCAAGTGGCAGTTTGACTTATGATGGTATGTTTTTCACATGCACAATTCGATTATACTTCGTACACAAAAAATGATTTTGTATGTCAACATCTCGTTTTATTGCAATTCCGAGCATGCTATAGAAAGCCTACATGTATTTGAATTTTCTATAATTATCCACAAACTCCTTAAAAACTTCTTATAATTTTAGGTATTGCTATGCCGTTATTACCATTGAAGAGCCGTGAACTGAATAGTGAGTTCCGGAGTCTTGATTATTCTGAGTACATCGTTAGGAACGCCGAGAGAATTTTGCCCCGATTTATTGTTATGTTTGAATAATATATTCTGTGAAGTTAATAAATCCTATGTAATGAAACAAATTATTATTTTTTTTTTAACTGTAATCATGCGATATAATTTGTTAATGACGTTATTTCCCCCAGGTTCCCCTTCACACGCCCGCAAAATTGCACATGTTTGATTATTTTTATATATTGTCGGCGTCAAACGACTGAAGCGAAGCGGAGCCTTCAAATTCGCGAAATCAGTGTAGATTTAAATTAATCGTTGACTGAATATTTAATGCGCGTGTGCTATAATACAATGTACTCAATCTCGCTGTCTCGATACGCATTGGCACATAGCCAATAATTATATTTCGTCAAGTTGTTTGACTTCGACAATAATTCTCTTAAAAATAATTTGTTTAATGTTTTCGAAGAAAATATGTAATCTGGTTATTTTTAACGTTCTATGACGTTAGTTGGTAATCGATAATTTGTGAAAATTTAAATTTTCGAAAAAAATTAAAACACAAATCAAAAAATTTCACGACAAAATGCGCTACTTACGCAGACTATTCTATTTTAACTCAAACGTTAGTAAAATTGGTGCGCTCGTTTCAATCCAAACAATAGAATTGATAAACTCGTTTGATGTACTTATGAGACCTTCGAAGTCAAGTTTCGTTTTGTCTAAAACTGCAAATTAAAGAAGATTTTGCAATTTCAAGTTACCCAAATCCCATCGAAATCCTTTTGTAGAAGTAATAGTCTCTCTTTGAACTAAAGGGACGATCCCGCACTTCTTTGTACATTTATCAATATGTATTTGAACATTTGCTTCACCCTAAAACAATATCTAGAAACATTAAAAACAAAATTATTTTAACGAAACCTTTTGTATCACCAACGCCACATTTTTAGCATCAAATGAAAATATTGGGATATCAGGTGTAGAGTATTTTACCAAAGTAGAGAGTGTCGATAATGAGTGATCGAGTCTTCCATTCAGGCCACCGAGAAGAATTATATAATCAAAATCCCACTGAAATAAAATTTGCATTAGAAAAATTTCTTTACCGTACCTTTTCAGTTTCATTATTTCTCATTTCTAAGCTAAATTTAATAGTTTTTTGTAAATCGGTAAAATCTTGGTCAGGCAAATGAATAACTCTAAACAAGAAAAAATGTCCACTTTCTCCCATAATTTTTTCAACTTTGCATTAGTTCCTTTAATTTCATCGAAATTTATTGAATCGAAGTCACCACAAATATATTGTGGAGGTTGAAGTTCATTTTCCCTGTAATATAAAGTGTTATCAAAATATCAAAATGATAATACCGTTTGCTTATCTTATTGGCGCTTCCATCAGTAGCTAATCGATATTTCGACGAATTCCAAACAGACTTCCAAAAGTCCTGTTCTGTTGGATACGAATCATCACCATTTAACCAAATACACAAGCGTACCCCTTGAACGTTAATCAGACTTCGAAATTCTGATAATGACCTACCAATAAGATCTAAAACATCAAAAGGTCGCAGGTTCACCACCATATCAAGCATACAAGCCTCGTTGATTCGATCTCAACTCAAAAATAAACCCTTTTTCAGGCTGGATCTTGTTTCAACCTATAAATTAATAAAAACAAGGACAATTTTCAAATTTCAAGTTTTCATTTTGATCAGTAATCTCAAAAGCGTTCTTCTTTTCAATTTACTTAGTTAAAATTTCGAATGTCGTGATTTGCGTTACAATACAGAAAGAGTCGGATAAATAAGTAAATAAACAAAAACAAATATATTATCTGTTATGAACGTGGTTGCTGACTTCTGACGTATTACTTTATTTTTTACAATGATGAAAACACTGTTCTGTTTAATTTTGCTGTGCAATTTATCAAATGCGCAAACAGTTTGTAATGCTTCGTGTTTCACGAAAGAAAAAATTCCCGGAGAGTTATTAAAACAATTGAAAATGTTGGTGTATCAAAAGTAAGACGAACCATAAGAATAATACGATTGTTGATCGGTTTTAGAAAAAAAGTGGAAAAGGACAATTCTTTGTTGGATTTTGCTGAAAGAAGGCGGATAAAGAAATCAGTCGATGATGAATCGATTGCATGCGAGTCAAAAGAAAAATGGTAATTTTAATTTACATATGAGATACAAACAATAATAGGAAGAATTTATATATTTTTGACAATGGAGAATATTTTTATGATGCCGCCTAGACAGAATTTTAGGCAGTAGTCAAGATTATAATCTACCATGTAACTATACACATATATTTAAAATATAGGTTGGCAGTGAAAGATTTTAAACGAGATAGCGGTGTTTATTTTCTATGAATGTCATCATTGTTTTACTCAGCGAATTTTTCGAGAGTTCACTTCGTGGCCTAGAGGCGAACGCTTTTCACCGTCTCAAGCTTGCACAACAAACAGTCGGAACTTCTACACTATATGAAACTTACCTAGAAGTTGCGTAACGTTTGCCTAAAATTGTGCAAAAAAAAACGAACTCGCGAAAAATTCGCTGAGCAGTTGGTAAAAATAATACAATATTAAAGTTCCGTGAAATAAATTTGTCTAGGTTCGCTGACGAAATCGGACCGGTTATATCAACAATAATTCTAGTGTTGGCCCTTGTTAGTTTAACAATTTCATTCATTGCTTTTAAGAACTCAGGAACTGTCGTGCTAGGTTTTTTTTTAATTTTGCGGACCTTCAGAAGAAAAAACAACAAAACATTTCGAGATTTTTCTTCTGAAGCGAAATTTTTATAATTTTCTAACCTAATTCATTTTAGTTCGAAATCAATTTGATAATAAAGAGGTTCGTCGGCGGTTTAATAAATAAAAAAATACAACAGTTTCAGGCACGAACAATATTGAAGATGAATCCATTTAAATGATACATTTGCACGAATAGGCCAGTAAAATATTTCATTGATAAAAATAAATTCGTTTTAAAAAAATATCGGCGCTCTAGCATCGCATATAACAGCTCAAGTTTTGGAGAGAAAATTTTCATTTCGAATGTCGTAAAGAGTTAATCGACGAAAAAACAGCACTATTTCAAGAATGACGCACAGAATAAATATTCAGAAATGGAAAACATTAGCATGGATTTGATCGGAACACTACTATTCTGTCAGAGAATGAGAGGAAATAGCACAACGAGAAATGAAGAATAAGTCGCCTCATAAGACGGAAACTCAATAATTTACAGAAACTAGTTTTTAAAAAATACGATGAATGATACAAAAATAGAAACACAAAAACACATACTATGCGAGAAAGGATGCATTTTCCTTGTGAGATTCAGTAGCGAGAATGAAAGAGACAAAAGAAACAGGAATGAATAAATTAAAATTAATTAATGTCGATTTTCGATCGACGTTCGCCCGATCGATTCTGTCGAACTTTTCGAATGCTCGTGAGCATCTGACGAACGAGCTGAATGTACTGTATCGTTGCTTCGGATCGAAAGTTGCGACATTGCAGACATCTGAAAAAAAAATCACTATTAAATGTTTTCAAACAAATGGAAAAATATCCAAATGATATTTTCATTTTACTCTAAATGCTCACAGGGCACTTTAACAAAAATATCAACCTTACAAGTAAAATTTCAAACTTTTCAAAAACTCCATACTTATAATTTTAATCCCTCAAGTATAATCTCTTACCCTTCCGTTCAGCGTATCGTTGGCTTTCGACAATTGTTCAATCTCTTGGAAGTGATGAATCCTTGATCGAACCAGTCCAGGATTATTAGCGCGGATGATTGCAACAGATGGTCGCATTTCAACAGACTGTCTCCGAGTGGGAAGTGACTAGAAAAAATGCGAAATTTATTGGGCCAAATTTATAAATGACTTACTCCTTCTTCCGTAGCCGATTGGAACAAATGATTATATTTTCCAATTCCAAACAAATCAGCGGTTCTCGGTGACATTGTGGCGCGCCCGGAAAATGAATTCGAAGCTTTTGAGGTACTCGCCATTTCGTTGTCAAAACTCTTGGTCTCACGCAAATGATTACGAGTCGTCACGATTTTCGGCTGTCGGAATAACGGAGGAGATACTTTGGAATGTTTCGGAAGATGCGGTAGTTTGAACTCATTGATATTGGCATTGTCGAGACGATTCGACGATGATGAACGGGGTAATCGTGGTGAAAGTGGACTCAGCATTGCAGGATTTGATGGAGGAGTCGGCGGACGTCGAATCTTTATCTCGGGTTGGCATTCTAAATGAAAAGGTTGCATTCGTGTGTAAAATGGAAAAACTACCAGAAATCTTATGTGGAGGCGAATGAACTGGCACTGGAGGCGGAATTGATGAAGTAGACTCATTCCCATTATTATTATTCTTGGCCAACGTCGAAACCAGGCACAATCTTGAAGTACTGCGCCTAGTCAAACCAGGAGTTGTAACAACTTCAGACGGCGGGCAATTGTTAGTTTGTGTTACATGCTGCATGATCGGCGATACGGACACTCGCGCGATACTTGTCGCTTCTTTGGGTGGCATCTCGAGTTGCGATTCATTAGCTTTCGAATACGAAAGTCGAGCCCGACTCTGCCGACGCGCCAATTGCGGTGATTCTGTCGAGACAACCTGCTTGCTTCCGACCCACACATGGCCATTTTCATGGGTTTTCTGGAATACTCGATAACTCGAAATGCTTGGAGTTCTCACCACCACTGGCGAAGGGAACACCACAGGGCTCGTTGCAACATCACATTTTTTGACTTCCGTAATATATTTGTTTTGGCATGTGGTAGAATCGCTTGAAGCTTCAGTGTCCGATGCTTGAAGAATTTCGGTTGACGATGACGGCTTCTGGGGAGATTCTTCGGTCAGTGTGGTCAATTGATCGCGAGAATTTGAATTCTTCAAGGATGGTACTTCTGAAAATCCATATTTTAAATCATTAATTCGTGCGGGAGAATCAGCAATGTTTTTTTACCGATTTACTTTTAACTATACAAGTTAACCAGACACAGAAGGTCCCGTGGGCAAGTTCGTCAGATTATAGGGACCTTTAAAATTTGAAAATGCACTTTAGTTAGTGACTAGTTTGAGAAACATTTATTTGTTTGGCCCGTAAAGTTTCTATTACAAAATTTTATCCAAGGGAACTTTTTCCCCACCATCAGCATCATACCTTCTTCCTGATTGTTTGCAATACTAGATGACGACTCTGTCACCGCCATTGATCCATTTAGGACAACTAAACTTTCTGTTATGGCGTTTCGCACCTTCTGTCGTTGATTTTCTCGCCTCAGACGGGCCTCATTTGACTTCTATAAAATATTCACATAGAAATAAATGAAAATCCAAGTAAAAATACCTGCTCCAAAATAGCTTTAGAGGATTCAATATTAAGCACGAAGCTATCCAAACTGTCATCGGTTTCACTATTTTTGTGATTCTCCTTTTCCTCCGACTTTGAAATCAACACAGTAGCTCGTCTCTGTGGCAGCCTAGTTGATGTCGCATTAGGACGATTACGACTAATTCCATTATTTACTGGAGCTGTGTGCCGTCGACTTCTTGACGACCGTCGAACTTTCTTCTTCTTTTGTTCACTAGTGTGATCATTATTCACCAAAATCCTTGTCGCCGGCGAATCACTGCCATTGTATTCTTTAAGAAGAAATTCTGAAAACGTGATTACAACCATGATATTTTTTTTTTAAAATTAATACCATAAGCGCTCAGCTTTTCTTCAGCGCCACGTTCTTGATTCTGTTCGCTTTGCGACAATCTACGAAGAGGAACGGACGTACTCGGTTGTTTGCTTTCACACTCGAAAAAATTCGCGACCGTCGGTTTATTTCCAGTTGAACGGTCCGATCCTATAAATGAATGCATTGTTATTTTATTATATACATGGTAGAGATCTTACCATTCCGTCTGGCAGCATTGGTGTTTCCTCGTTTAGATTGGTGACTGCGAGACTGCCGGCCAGACGATGTTGAGCCAGTTGATAGAGTATTAGACTAAAATTCTAAGGTTTAATTCAAAGTTTTATAGATACCACACCTCATTTCGTGTAACTTTAACTTGTCGACTGGCTGTATCTAATTTCGAAGAATTCGAGCGTTTCTCAGTTTCGTGCCCCCCACCAGAATTCAACTGGAAAAAACTCAAATTATAATAAATATATCTATTAATGCACATACTCTTTCAGGGCTCGGTGATTTCATTCGTTTAAGAAAAGAAACACGGTCCCGAATGTCACGGAATCTTGGCAAAAACGACGATGACCGCTTCTTTTTGGTTGCTCGTTCCTCTTTTTTCCTCGATGTAACGACATGGTGGGCAAACTCGGAATCACGTCGAGAGTTTGGTGTCAGCAATACATTTCCGTTACTCGTTGAAGCTGTGGTCTGTGTTGCGTCAGCATCCGAAGAACTGTCGTAAGCACTACTACCGCACCTAAAAAAACGTATCTCGCATTCGGTTTCTCTAAAGTTGGTGTAAATTTACGAAATGCACCTTAATCGGGGTGGATTCTTATAGTCGGCGTCCGGCGACGGTGCTACAAAGGTAAATTTATGTGTGCACCTTTCGAAATGGTCTTGTTAACAGATATTTTGCTATTTTCAAGTGCGCTATTTACTTTGTCTTGATAATTTTGGTATTTCCTTGAATTTCGAAAGTCACTCAAATTAAAAATTATCGATCCAACCCCTAAAATGCAAAATAAATATTTAGCCCTTGCGAGACCATAGCCAAGGCGCACACAACTAAATCTACCAGCGTACCGCAGTAGCCGGACGCCGACCATATTTTAAGCATTGTTTTTCAGTTTTTCCTAGAAAACGAAAAATCCTCTAGAGATCACTTTCTCGTTAATTTATACATGCTAACAAAGAGGTGTGTTGTTGTATATTGTTGAAAAATAATAACAAAACCTCATTTTCGGCATGGCCGAAGAACTTCGTATCATATGGCTACTCGTCAAGTAGGGATCTCTTAACAATCCAATAAAATTGGCCTGAAAAAAAAAATGAAAATACGAAAAAAAAAACGAAATTCTCACATTGACAATAAGAAGCTTGACGGCAGCAACGTGAATATTCATATCATGCTTTTTAGCAGCAAGAATGTCGTCCTTAAAACTTAATTTTGCTTCTTAACTCTGTGAATTTTGAAGCACACCGGCCAATAATTTTTTATTCTGCGAAATGAAAGTTTTTTCTTGTTTGGCGATGTAAAAATGTCAAAAAAAAAAATGTTTTCAATTCACAGAATGCATAGCCCACTAAAGCGTTTAATATGTAGATGGAATATAAATGTAATAATGTCGGAGTCGTGCGACTGCGAAAAAATTGGCTAAAAACAATATCGGTGGTCATGGCGAAAAAAACTAAAAGTTTAGATTTACCTATGCATAAGGATAGGTTAAAGGCGCACACAGCGCACCGAGAACTCTTTTTAAATTTTTTGGCAATCAGCCAATTTTCCGTAGTCGAACGACGCCGACAATACTATTGCAAGAAAAATGAGCAAATGAAATTTTTCACATTTTCAACAATTTTTTATCAGATAAATAAAATACCTGTGAGCTTCTTCTTCCGGGATTAATCTTTTTATTCGACTCGTTCATCCAATTTCCAAAAATGCTACAAACCATAACCATTGCGAGGTTATCGATCGACATTTTATGTTGATCAGCATATGTGGCGATCTAAAATTGAAAAGAATTTTCAGTTTTACGAAATGCAGAAATCCTTACCCTATTCATCTGACGCATTACGTACCCAAGAGTCGACAAATGAATTTCCGACATTGGTGGTTCCGCTCCAAACACCAAATCTGCCATTTCTTCTCGACCCAACTAAACATCAATGACATAAATAAATGTCAATTATAATTAAATGTACCTGATAATTGTTCGATAACCTCGCTTGTTGCGCTTTATTAAGAAGCCGTACCCGAAAATCATCAGAATCGATAAGAGTTGGTTTCAAATCCCTCAAGAATCGTTTCACAAGTGTGCAAACATCGATGACGGTGTAATCCGACGGAATGTCAACAAATCCGCGATAAATATTTTGAACCTGAATACGGTTCTTTTAAAGGGTAAAATTCAGGTGCGATACTTCAACGCGATTCAAGCGAGTTGAATTTCCCTCTTTTCGGAATATTCCGTCGACATTCATCCCATACATCGAGATCATATTAAAGGCATAAACGAGGAATTTTGGAACTTCTTTGAGACGAATTCGTGTCCAGCCATGACCAACGTTTACATCAATCACAATGTTCGCAGAATTCACCTAAAATATTTGAACATTTTGTGTATATTGTAAGATTTCTTATTTTGAAAAAAGAAAAAAATTCAATTAAAAAACTAATTTCTCACCTCTCCGAGGGTATACCTCTGCCGATTTGAGCTTGTTGGTGCCTGGGTCGCCGATAATCTGCGCATTGCCGTGTGCGAGCTTACAATACGAAAATCTTGAAATACCAGTTCATCGTTGTCCGTCTAAAATACTTTCTAGTTACGATTATTTCAATATTTTCATTCAAAAACTTACCATAACTGATGATGCGGTGAAATGTGGATATATATGGGCATATGATTCAAATACTAGTAGTCAATCGTTGTAATATTAAATAAGATAATGCCAAATAATTGAAAATTGAATTCTGAAACAAAAACGACATAAAATGGGCGACAATAATTGATAAAATGTTCAAAGATGGGCAGTAGTAGTCATGCACATAATTCGGTTGATAACACGCATTTGGCGCAATAAACAAAATTAGAGTTATTGAGCGAAATTCGAATGAAATGAGAATAACCGAAGCCGAACGGAATGGCGCAAAACAATCATTATAAAATGTTAGAGCTTCCAGATGTTGTGCTCCGTATTTTAAACTCTGTCATTCATCTTTAATAGAAGTTTCGGTGAACAAAACGGCACAACCTTGAGTTTGACGGTGATTTATGGTAAGTCACAAGAGAATACTCAATGTTAAAAACGTCATTTAAGAGAACATATGTGTTCTAATGAAAAATACCGGCTTCTTTATAACAGCCTATTCTAAAATATTATTTCGCTTAAAGTGAAAACTCTGATTTCGCATTTATACTACTTAAATATCACATTAATTCAAAATAATTATACTGAAAATTATGGAATTTCCATCAAATCGAAATTAGTGGCACAATGTAGATTTCTGAACAAAAATTTCAAGAACTGTTTTAAAATACCATATGCAAATTGCAGAAAGACCTGACTTCCGAGTTTTTTTTTCAAAACCTACATTGAAACATAAAAATAGTTTTCGGTAATTCAATCAAATAGCGAATTACGTGAAAAATTGGTCACGTATGATTTAAAAATTCAGAATGCGAGGGAAAATTCAGAATCATGAACTTTCCTTACATTTCCCATATTTATTGTATGTTGTAAATGATGATTCAACAGATTTTTCGAAAATGATTTCGAAATGCGTGGCTCAAAGTTATGACGAATTCAAGGAAACTGGCACATAAATAAAACGTTATACAGAGTTACAGAGGTATTTTCTCAAATAAAAAATTTAAGAAAAGCTTCCCGAACTCACATAATGATAGTAAGCTGACTCTAACTGGTCTGATAAGAAACATATACACTAAAAAAATATTACAGTAACAAATGATAATAATGATATCGTGATGTGAATGTTTTCTTGTCCCATAAAATATTAGTCGAAAAATAGGTAAAAGGATTTTAAATATTGATGACTTCTACCAATATACCAAAAAAGGCAAACTACATTTTATGAAAAAAAAAGATCTTAATTAATTTCTGAAAGAAACAAAGAAACTCAGTAAAGATATATATATATATATATATCAGTTTGGAATAAAAATATATTTAGTGATCATCAACTGCAAGCATTTTTTTTACAAAATTAGTAGACGATTCGCCTCCTTCAGTTTTTGACAATTCTTCATATTTTTCGTGGTCTCGGAGGAAATGACTCATGTTAACAATAATTGCGCTCACGAAAATAAAAATATTATAAAAAATGTATTTCAAAGTGTGGAATCAAGCGCAGATATAAACAAAAAATGGTAGAACGATTGAATAATTGAAAACAGACAAACTCCAGAAAATGAAACCAGGCAGCTTTTCCACAATATGCATATGTAACAAGTTTCAGTCGGCCGCCTCATGTTTTGTTCGGTGTCGGCGGCCCGTGAAGAGAAAATTGGATGGAAACGTCTTTGAAAACAAAACAAAATCACACAAGAATCCATAAAAATAAATAAATACGAAAAATATAAGTAGGTGTTTGTATTTAATGAATAACACAGAGGCTAATTACCAATCGTTGAAGGACGATACAACATTAGATATCTCAACAGTACGTTTCACTCTGTTCTCTTTTTTTTTTGCATGCGTCACAATTAGTCATCGTCGAGTCGATTTTCGTTAACTTTTGTTTGTTTTTCGACTGAATTTATAAAAGAGAAAAATTTTCAAATAAAAAATATATTTCAAATGTTTTAAGTATTTCTTTTATAAATGAAAACCTAAAAGGACATACTTTTTTTTTAATGTTGACGGATCGCGCTGTATATAAGTATGTAATTAAAATCGGCAGATGCATACGCTTAATAGCTTTATAAGTGGCATGAAGATGAAATTCGGAATACGTGAAAACAGAATGTCATTGAATCAGCTAATCTTCAATTCTAAATTAATTGATCCGGTCGCAAAAAAATCGCTAATTCTTTTATAGAATATTAAATATAATTCATAAATATATTAAATTTTCAATTTTAAAGACAAACTTTTTTTTTCAATTTTTGACAAAAATATATACTACATAGTTTAAAAAAAAAGAGTAATTCTTTTTCTACGAATTTAATTGCAAATTAATGACAAATGATTATGAAAGACGTACAGCTACACAAGCAGGCATGGAAAGCGAAATGAAAAATATGACGAAAATGATTGTCTTTTTGAATAACGCAATAAAATAAAAAAAGACAATTATTCACATAAAATATTATTGAGTGGAAAAAAACATTGTATGCAGACGACAATACAAACAGTGTCGGTGTTGAAAAATAGAAAAGCTTCGAAATGCATGATATCACTTGTTTTTTCCTTTTTTCGAAGTTGTATGAAAATCGACTAATTGCTTTGAAAACAGAGAAACATTGACTTTTTTTCACAGAAGATATGAATCTTCAAGAATGTATATTAATAACGAACGTTTTTTTAACTAATGGCTGTTTGGCTGATTTCTTTTCAACTATATAATTAATTACTACGGTAATTATGTGGGTGGTTTTAATCAAAGACCTGGTAGAAAATTATAGATTGAAACCAACGTTTTAGAGACAAAATTTGGGCAATTGAGGAGTTGAAAAAGAATAAAATATTAAATATACAGCTGATAACGAAGTGTTCGTCTTATCTTGATTTTTTTTCACTTGTGCAAGTCTTTGTGTAATATTTTGCGGAATTTGACCTGAGTCTCTCACTCTCGGATCTTGCACATAATAAAACATTTCCGTTGGCATCAGATCGCTTGGTAATCTCAAAAACTTTTGTTATTCGCAAAATTCTATAACTAAAAAATTAAAATGGTCTCATAATGAAATTTTCTAATAAAGTAAATCAATAACGAAACGTAACGACGAAATTACGGAAAATAAAAGTACTCGAAAACAACAACGAACGACAATTAAACGCTGCCGCCGAGGCGTGGATTTGAATTTTTCTCAATGGAGCGCACTTGTGCTGGTGGAAATGTTAATGTATTGCAGATCGATGGTGGCCCGCGATGATGGCCCATGTATAGCCATTTATAAATGTCGACAAAATAAAAATACACAAAATTCAAATTTTTTGGCACTTCTTGCCAATTTTCACAACTGCGACAATCCATCTTTAATATGGAACAACCACTATTTAATCAACAATTTATTTTTACATTCTCAATAAAATTTATATTTTAAGTAAACGATGCCGATTAAAATTGACGGAAACTGAAACGAATATGTGTGAGCTGACGAGATTTTTTCATCATCATACCTCGCAGCTGGCGGTGGTGGTGGTGGTGGCGGCAAGAGGCGTTTGTGTTCCGGTGACAAGCCTTCGATCACCTGTCTAATGGCATTGTAGCGACCGTGGAAGTCAAGGGACTGAAAATAAATGTTTGAATGTTTAGCTATTAAAAAAGAAGACGACGATTTTTCTCTTGAACACGAGAATTTTATTTCTACGTAAGATTTTAGCTTACCTTGTCTCTGCCAATCTGCTTCAGCTTCGTTTGCACATCAGCCGGAAGCTGTGTGAATCCTGGCGGTGGAGGAATCTTGTTCTGAATTTCTTCTGGAAGATTAACCATAATAGTGTCAATCTTTCTATGCTTATCCTAAATAAATACGTTTGAAAAGTTAGGAAAAAAATGTCGAAGATACCAATTCAGAAAGGGAAGAGTCTCTATGAATAGCTTCAAGTTCCGCAAGCGTCTGCGGCGGAAGAACAGCTGCAACTGGTGGTGGAATTGGCTGCAAATAAAAAAACCATTGAAGAAAATAAAATGAATGACTTACAGACATTCCTCCGGGTCGTTGTCCACCAGGTCCTCCAGGAAATCCACCTTGCATTCCTGGTGGCGGACCCCCCGGGAATCCTCCAAACTGCGGTCGAGCAGAAACAGAGGCAATCAGGAATAGAGCCGTGATCAGGAACATCAGCATCGAATGACCAAATGCGTTTTAACTGTCCTTTTGTACCTTCACAATGTTTGCAAAGGTCAAAGTGTCAATACATTCATAGGAACCGCCCAATAATACGGGCCCAAATTAGGAATGCTGCCCATTTATTTCCGAAAAACATGACATAAGCTTCAGAAAACTATTTTTAGGATAAAATTTTCCAGTTGAAAACATTTAATAAACGACAATAATAATAATAATAATACTAGAAAACCACTTTGATACCTCTTGACATCACCACTCTATGGATTTTTTTGTGCTGGCGCGTGAGCAAATCAAATATGGCGGGAAGGTGAGAGATTACGCAAACGCGGCGACTCGCAGGAATAATAAATACGATGTCCGTGAGGAGAACACTAATCGAAAAATTTTCCGAAAACCGCACGACGAAGATCAAGAAGCTCTTTTCGAATTGTCGATGGGCTTTTGCCTTTCGTTTCCGGCACCAGTTTCCATGTGAATATTGCAAATGTAAATGTGAAAAATGTGAATGTTAGGAAAGAATATTGATGAATGACGTTCTGGAAATTGAACATTTTGAATTGACTCAATGGCTGATTACGTTGATTGGCAAAAATGTGAGTCCGACAAGCCAATTTGCGATCCAATTCATGCTTGCTGAAATTGCAGACGCGCTACCACGAGAAGCCGAATCGAACAATTCAGATGTAAAGAACCATGGAATTGGACCTAAAATGATGAAATCGAACATTGAAGATTTCAAAGATATCACCTGGTCCGAATGCAAATGAAACGACGAAGCAAATAATAAACAATATATTGATATAACTGGCCCACTGAAGTTATTCTTGTTTTTTCAACGAATATTTCACATTTTCCCACATCAAAACCCGATTCCAGTAAGGTTAAAGTAACAACAATACATATCGACGAAATGCACATTCCTGAGAGACCAAAAATTTGCAATGGCTTTCGTCCAAATCGGGGATGATCGATTAAGAGCACCGAAAGAACTGTGAAAATCAGTTTGATACATCCTAGAAATTTCGAATAAAATGTTTTGACAAAAAAAATTTCTGAATTAACCAAATCCAACTGTGGCCAACATTGGCTCATTACCCTTCAAACCGCTTCTTTTGAAAATCAAAGTTGAATAAAATGTGACTGAACTAATTCCTGCGAATAAAATGGTTACACCGTTTTCAATCAAATGATAATTACCGGAAAATTGCTGACTGAACATCATGAGGATGGATATTATCATTGGATATCTATGATCTCCTTTAAACATCGCGAATATATTCGGAGCATTATGTTGACTGTTTTCTATGACTTCGTCACGCATTTGATAAATTTCATTATCAACTTTATCATGACCTCTTAATTTCATTAAAGCCCTTCGAGCCGTATTGGTGCTCCTTGTAATCATATACCTAAATATTCGAAAAAAAATCATATTTCTTTGAAATTTGTAATCATACTTTGGAGACTCGACGCAAAACTGAAGACAAATGATCTGCGCAATAGCTGGAACAGCGACGAATCCGAAAATGAAAGGCCATCGATTTTCAGTTCCAAAAATATATGGAAGCCCAAGAGCCTGAAATTGTGAGTAAATGTTGAATGTTGTCTCGAAGATTACTATACTTGAGATAAAACGATTGCAATGGATATGCTTAATTGATGAAAAGATCCACATTTTCCACGAAGACTTGCTGGAGCCATTTCAGTCAAATACATCGGAACAAGACCAGAAGTCACACCTTGAACAATAAAAGAAAAATTGTAAACTAAAACAAATCTACCACAATTTAATCCAACTAGAAAACGGCCAACTACAATCGACGGATAGAAATTGAAGAACTTTGCGGTTGACAATAAAATCGCAGCAAGAATGGCTAAAACGTTGTTGTGCAAAAGAGCACCTCGTCGTCCCATCTAATTATTCAATATTTAAATACAATACATATTTTGCGGACAAACTCGATCAGCAAGATGCCCAGAAACAATTCCGCCGATCATTCCACCAACGGAAAACATTGAAACCGCCACCGACCATATGAAATCCGCTTCTTGTCGTGATAAAGATTGCGAAAAAAGTTTGAGATGCGATTCTTTGATCCATTCGATTATCAGCTGGAAAAAACACAAAATATATTTTCAAGTATTAAAGAAGACAAAGAAAAATGAAAATGAAACGAAACCGGCCCGGGAGCATTGATACATCCAATCTGATATCCATCCTGAAATGAAGCCAATCCAATTGTGCAAATGCAGAAAAACAGGTAGAATGTCCAAGTTTCTTCGGGTTGCTTCTCTTGTTGCGGTTCACTAGAGTAGTAAAATCGAAATATATTATTACAAGTTATTTGCAAACCTTGAACATTTTTGGCTCATTTGAAGTGTACAACAATTGTACACAAAATATAACAAAAGAGAACTTAAAAAATAAATATAATATAATCGAAAGAAGAAAAATGATAGAAACGAAGAGTGAAAGGAAAATTCGCTATCATTTGATTTATAAAATATATCGATTGATGATCATGATATTTTTCGTATGTGAGAGAATTGTTGAGGGGGACACCAAAAAGATCATTCAAATTCCAGTCCATAAAAACAATAAAAATCAGCGAATGTCAAAATGATGAAATAAACTTCCTGCTTCTCTTGAATGCCCGTATGTTGGCGAAGAATTACACAAAACCGATACTACTAATTCGAATAAGTACATTAAAAAAAACATGACATACCATAGGACCCCCATAGAAATTCATAATATTTTCATATTTTTTTCGATTGACAAAATTTATGCAATCTCATTTTATGGTCTTATTCAATGCAAAAATTACACATTTTTTCAATGCAGGACTGTAATTATTCATTTATTTTCATTATTTTTTTTTTAATTTCATAAATAGGTCGATATTTTCCATTAATTAACATATTAGAACATACGAGATTTATACGCTTTAATATCAAAGAAATCTATGGCATCAAGTTCGAAAGGAATATTTTCATTCTTATTATAATTATTATAACTTAAAGTTACGGCTCTACGGGCGATTATTAAAAAGTGTCATAATAAAACTAGCCAATTTTAAAAAATGTGTTCTTTGTATCGAAGTAGTCATGGAAAATGATTGCAGTCGCGGAAATAGTTGGTGTATAACGAATGATGACATCATCAAGCATATGATAGAAGAAAGGAAGAGAGGAATCATACAATCTTGTTTCCTACATTGGTCTAACCTCTTCCTTTATACCGATCAGGAAATAAATGTTCTGGTTAAAAGTTTGTAATCCTTTTGTAACCAACATCTTCGTATTAGATTTTCATTTTTTCGAATACAGTAATAAAATGTTGCTCTATTGTTTCTAATTATTCAGAAACATGTTAGCAGATTAACCAAATTAGTGCGATATTCGTTTACAATTTAATTTACTTCGTTTTTTATGTCACAATTTACAACAATAATACATTTTTGCGAAGTTATCTGATTTTACTTTAATATCATTTATTAATATACCATAAAATGACACTAACGCTGAAAGATTATTTTGCAAAAAAAAGCTCGGTTATGATATTAATACTTATAAAATTGTAAACATTTGAAAAAGATATGCAAAACATATAATTTCACATGGTTGGTGCACAATACCCGTGTTGTGTACTTTTGAAGAAGGTGATTTGAACCCGTAGACGTTGAGTATTCGTTGATGATGAAAACATTTCGAAACGGACCAATTTTGATACTATTCAAACTGCGAGAGGAACATTCTCAATCCTACTTATTTCTTGGATTGGATCAGGTGTGCTCTGCTCGGCTTGTGAATTGATTGTAACCATTGCTCGACGAGGTATCACCTTTCCAAGTCTTGAAAAGCTAAATATCAAGAATTTTTTTCGTTTTCATCTCTGTATTATATTTTTTACTTTGATGGTGCCACTGCCGATGGAGATCCGGGCAAATTAGCGCCAGCCGAGGCCGAACTTGGTTTCGAGTCAGTATTCAGACTCCTATTCGTCGATTGTGTCCTATTCAAGCGGAAACTACCGCCTGTGCTCCTATGTGATAGTATTCGGCCCAATCTTTGATGATTTTGCCCATCCGAATTACTGCTATCGTTGCGTTTTCGTCGAATCGATTGTGCCCTGGAAGTATATTCAGTTAACATATCGAATATTGGAAACGCTGGGAAAAAGCTCGTGGGAAACAAACCACGTTATAATGAGCATGAGTGTGTAATTTATTCATATCGTGAAAATATGTAGGAAATAAGCGATAAGCTGTTGTGTGCAACAGCAAATTTGAATTTCGACATACCTTGCGAACGTTATTAAAGAGGAGTCATCGTCAATCAAGTTTTCAGGATGCTGACTCAAATATCGTTTCCAAAGCGCATCGGTGATCTCAGTACAAAACATAACACCGGCATGAAGTGCTATCATTCGTAAAACGAGTACACCATCCACCTATTCATATTCAAATATTCAATTTTCAAAATTTTCTCATACTTTTAAATACGTCCGCAAAAAATGTTCGACTTGTTTGCGTTTTTCTTTTCGAAAAAGTTCCGGCTTATCAGGATCTGACGTCAATTCCAAATGTCTCAACACAAAACGAAAGCGGTCCCTGAGTAAAATTTGAGATTAATTTAAAATAGTTCAATCGCAACGAAAATTACCTATGAAACATTGATATACTAAACCAGTATAACATATCTAATGTTGAGGCGACGAACAACAGAGTGAACCATAACCAAATAAGTATAAATATCTTTTCATTGAATATATTGATGACGAGAACGCATTGTACGCTGTGTCGCTGATTGTTTCCAAGAACTCGAACTTCGAAGTCACACTGTAAACCCCCAAATATACATGTATTTTTGGAATTTGAGAATAGGCCATATTGAAAAACAAATTAATTGAGAATCCGAAACATTGTAGATGCCAACTACAAATCAATGCGAGACAGATACAAATATTTTGGGATTGATCTTTTATACGAAAACATACACGGATGATAATACAATGATTATGAACGTTTCCATTTCTTTTTTTTTTTTTCAAAATAACATTATATACATATTGTGCCTTTATGTAGCTGGAGGGTTTTTAAAATACACATTTTTTGCTGGTTTATTCTCATATCAAAAACAATGATATTTCTCCTCATAAATATTTTTTGCCTTAATTTTTACATAACCCACATATAGAAAACTTTGACAATTCTTGTAATAGGAATTTTTGATTAAAACATTTTCTCACCAGTGTGACTCTCGGAAAATTGCCTGACTCGATCCAAGTCCTACCAAATAACAGATCGCGCAATACGCCGAGCCCATATATTGAATATTCGTCAGTCTCGAGGAATTTGTTGACGAGCACAAGATTCGTCAGAATATTCCCAACATACATTATTTTGGTGGCCTGAAAAAATGCGAAAAACACTAAATTGTGATCGGAGTTGGCGACAACTCCGGAACGGTTCTGCTACCAAGTACATTCCGGTCACGTAGCTTTCGTAATAGCGCATATTGAAACATTTGAACACCCTATGCAATGTGTACTGCGTCCGAGACGTCGCTGTGTGTTGATATCGCAATGCGGATTCAATATGTCTTGAAAGTGACTCAATCGTTCGTATCCTATAGTCTGGTTCAATATTTTCTTTTTCAGTTGCCATTTGCACTATATCGTTTAGGCGAATTCCTGCAAAATATTATATTCTAAGGAATGCATAATTTTCATAAGGTTCGAATTCCAATAATCGCAAAAAAATAGTGTAAAATCGAACCTGATTTATCGCTCATTAGTCTCCACATTAGACATGGAATGTAGTACAGAAACGCTTGTAATAATAAGAAGAAAGGTACCCATTGGTAGTAGGATATCTGCCGAAATTCTCTTTCTTGTATACTGTCAGGAATATCTTGATCAATAGGCACCCAATACGTGTTCTGTGCCCAGCAGTACATCTCGGTGTAAGCTTCCCAGCTGGCGGTAAATTGCGCCGGCACCCAACATTCAAGTGGTCGACCTCCGAACTGTTTGAAACTGACTAGGACCGCCATCATGATTAAGAACGACGAAGTGTAGAAGTAAGAAAGGCGATCCACGAAATCGTCATCCTTGCGGTAGTGGAGAAATGAGAGAGCGCTGAACATATTTTGAAGAACCATGGCTCCTACTTCGACGACTGCCGCGTGATGGTAGCCTGACGATTCGCGACCGTGTCCTACAAATATTTTTTTGTTTTTTTTTCTGTTTTTTAATGGTCTCTATTAATTGGACATTATTACAAAACTTCTCAAACGTGATAAGAGAGTTTTCCTAAAAATGAGACACTTTTAAGAATCTCGTTCATCACGTTATTAGAAGATCTCGATAAAAATTGTTGTTTCAAAATTTTTCGCTCCACGAAAGTACCGATCGGTAAGCCATATTTTCCATCAAATGATGATGATGATAATAATAATTTTTGCAAGTGATTTTTTCAAGCCTGTTTTTTGCTGTCAAAAACACTTGGAACTAGAGTGAGTCGCTCATGAATTGAAAATGAGCATTTTCACTCAATTTCTTCAACTCATTCGCGTTTTCTGTTTCGTCTACATTTCGTTCGAGTGCGTCTTGTCTGTGTGCTTACTTTTTGGATCTCGACGATTCCAAGAGCTTGGCGGTCGTCTGTGCATTCAGACAGATTTTGATAACAGCATCACATACACACAACTTTGTGCACTAATCTGGAGTTGAGTCTCTCAAGAAACGGGGGGAACGGGCCAATGTTCATTGACTCATACTTTTTGACTTGACTCATGATTTTTGACTCATAAAAATTGTATCATGATTTTTTATTCTTTGACTCATGATTTTTGACTAGTGATTTTTGACTAATTTTTTTTTGACTAACAATTTTTGACTAATGATTTTCTGAATTTTTTTAGTTGAAATTCCTGCAGTTTTTTCAGTATTCAATTCTGTTTTTTTTTTGGCCAATATTGATGGGTAAGAAGCTGAAGGGTGGGAGGAATTGGGGGAAAGATTATTACTGAAAGGAAAAAAAGTTATTTTAACTTCTGTAAGCATAAAAAATTGTTTTTTTGGCATTTCATCGCTTATCGATTTCAATGAGAAGCTTAATCCCAGCTAAGCGGATCCACCGAAGGAATCGACTGTAACATTAAACGAATATCCGTAGTGGGCCAAATGGTATGTATGATTTGATGTTTTTAGTAGTCTTCGTTAGTTTAATGAAAACAACTAAACACAGTTTTTATTCGCTATCATTTATTATTGAGCGTGAATAAAGGAGGGAAATGGATGGAATAACGCGATAAGTGATTTTTTATTAATTTATTTTGCAAAATATTTTAGCAAAAATAACACATTGTTATACTTTGAGAAGTTTTTTGAAGGCTGTTTTGTTAGAAGTACCATTTTGATAAAGGTTTAACGGTATAATGATGTATCGAAAATTTCAATGACTGATTAATTTTAAAAGTTTTTAATAATTTTTTTGAATACTCCGTTTTTCCTGAATTTTGATGAGAAATCGAAAATTATGCCGTTTTAAAACAGGCCTGACCGAATAAGCTAAAATAATTTGCAAAATAAATTAATAAAAAATCACTTATCGCGTTATTCCATCCATTTCCCTCCTTTATTCACGCTAAATAATACATGATAGCGAATAAAAACTGTGTTTAGTTGTTTTCATTAAACTAACGGAGACTACTAAAAATATCAAATCATACATATCATTTGGCCTACTACGGATATTCGTTTAATGTTACAGTCGATTCCTTCGGTGGATCCGCTTAACTGGGCCTAAGCTTCTCTTTGAAAAAAAAACAATTTTTTATGCTTACAGAAGTTAAAATAACTTTTTTTCCTTTCAGTAATAATCTTTCCCCCAATTCCTCCCACCCTTCAGCTTCTTACCCATCAATATTGGCCAAAAAAAAAACAGAATTGAATACTGAAAAAACTGCAGGAATTTCAACTAAAAAATTCAGAAAATCATTAGTCAAAAATTGTTAGTCAAAAAAAATTAGTCAAAAATCACTAGTCAAAAATCATGAGTCAAAGAATAAAAAATCATGATACAATTTTTATGAGTCAAAAATCATGAGTCAAGTCAAAAAGTATGAGTCAATGAACATTGGCCGGGGGAACGCAGAAATCAGCTAAAACCGATAAAAATGAATTGGAATCTAGTGAGAAAATATGCAGAAGTGTTAATATAATAATGATTGAAACTAATGGGTGAGATAATAAATATTTTCAATTCTTCATTAAAAAAATATAGCTTAACTTTAAATGAATTTAACACTTAAAATTACTGTCAAAATTTACCTTGGAAATAAAAAAAAATGGAAAGTACTAAAAAATTATTTGTAGATAATGCATAATGTCTTATATACAGAAAACGGAAAACATTAGAATGGCGCAAAAGAATTGAAAGAAAATCAAGCGAAAGAAATACATTTATTTGACTTCTTGTTACTAGCGATTCTAAAGATGAAGGTCGTACCCGAAAAATAACTCTCTTCGGGGTCTCTTTTGTTTGAGAAATCCATTAGAGAATACGAGTAAAACCAACACGAAATGCATTCTTTCACACTCAGTTAGCTCAAATTTCTCAACTAATTGGAATCCCAATTTCGCTTTTTTCAGAAGCTCAAAAAGCACGAAAACTCGAAAAAAATAGCATTAAAAAGTTGACCAGGCCGAATTAAACGAAGGCAATGACAAAAAAAAAACATGCAAAAGACAGCAGTCAAACACGAAATTCTAATTATTTTCACAGCTCAGGAGCATTAAATCATCTAATTTCCTCAAACTTTTATTCTATTTTTCTTTATTTTGAAAAAAAATACGGGATTGTACGAGAAAAAATTAAATAATTCAAATTTAGTTATTTAAGCATTACTCAGAAATATTGTTTTTCCTCATTGACAATATTTAGATACATTTTTGAACATTCAAAAATTTCCATCTGTTTTTATATTGCCGCTTATTTGTGCTGGTGTCGTGAATGCCGAAATTTTAATTTTTTTTTAAACTTATTTAAGATATCCAAACGAAAACTGAAAATTTGCATCAAATAGGCGACTGACTTTGAGTAAAATTACAAAAAAATGGAAAATGAAGCGATTCACAGCCAAGTCAATGCCGCGTGTGACTCCGCCCACCCGCAGTTGCGCAATTTGTATAATGATGAATAAAGCTCATATTGGAGTGAGCCTCCACACAAAATGTAATGATGGATTCCGTTTCATCATAGGAATTAAAATAAAAGTTGCGGTGTTAAAAATCACAGAGAGGTGTGAAATTTCTTCGGAGCAACACTTGTAACAACTGGCGTATGGCAATTAGAAATTCAAAGTTGTTGTGTAGACAAAAGCCTGGATTTTTTGTCAGGTCGGCTCCAAACCACCGCACGCGTCACACCCTTCTTCCCACACACTCGCAACATTCCAACTTCAGCTTCCTCCGGTCTTTCGAGTTTTTTTTTCTGCACCTGGGATGCTGCTATTTTACGTATGCGAGTCTCAGCATCAGAAGCGCGGTTGAGTTTTGAAGCACAATTTTCAAGTGCTGCACTATCGTTGCGGAGAAAACTAAAAGCGGGTGGCTTCTCGACATGATAGCTTGACGTTTTAATATATTAGAAAAGAGGTGAGTCGTGCGGATATATGTATGGGTATGTATGTATGCATTTTTTGCGGCTCGACATCAGCAAAATGCGAAAAAATGGAACTTGACAAGAAAACGAGTATAGACAGCGGCACCTCGTAAAAATAATATGCAAATCAATAATCTTTGAGCAACAAAAGATCACGTCTATTTGTTTCAGACATTTCCGATCGGTACTTGATGGCGGCGAATTTCACCGTTAGACAATAGAAATGTTTTAAGACAAACAAGTTGACACTTGAAAGAATTTGACGCTTTGTATCACATTTCATTTGAATCAAACAAAACTGCGAAACTCACCTTTTTTTACTCGCCGCCCACCGTTTCGACTATTCAACGATTGTTGTTGTTGAACAGATGGCATATCAACTGAATCAATAAATTCAACGAAATTTCAGACGCTCAAAGGAACTGCTCGATTATTTCGTTTTCAGGCAAAAAATATGACTTTTGATATACTAAAAGAAAGGTCTCACAATAAAATTTCGAATTTTTTAAAAATATAGAACTCGGTTTTATTCATCTACATCAAAAAAGAGTGCCAGGAATATAAAGAACAAAATAATCTAAAAATAAAAATATAACGTCATCCATGATAAACAACCCCATTCACAATAATGCCTTAGAGGCCTATGACCATTCGGTGCTCAATTAGAATCTTATCTAGCGTCTAAATAGCTTTGACTTTTTTAAGCAAAAACAGTTCCGAAATGTTATTTTGGTTCAACTCAAATCTAATTCCTTATAAGATTGAATTCTCTTTCCATAACTTGTATATTCGTACAACTTATTCCTTTTCATTCGCATAAATAAAACTAGACGTTTGAAAACTTGTATAATTAGATGCACAAATCTTTTCAAATATTGTGTCGCGCACATAATTACGGGCATCCGGCAGGTTTTCCGGTGGGCAGTGGCGTTTGCTGATCAACTCACCTTACTTATCATTCTTTTCAGTAGATTATGTAATTCATAACATTTCGTTGGCTTCTTCTAAAGAATAAACATATATCAATATTATAAAATAACGGAAAATAATGGAATATAAGAAAAATAGAGAACAAACGCGAAAAAAATAATCAACGGCAACGTAATACAAAATAGGAAGTATTGAGAGAGATTTGTGCGATGTGGCAATTAGTACTTAAGAATATGAAAGTGTTGTCGTGGGAGATTCTTTGACGAATATTCAATGCGGGATGCCACAACCAACAGAAATGATGATGATGCTCGATTTTAGACACGGATTATGCATGAAGATGGAAAAATGTTAGTAATTCGATTTAAATAAATGCCTAAATATCTGCGGTTTATATAGGCAGATATGAACGCAGAATTCATCAGACGCAAATTGATTTCTTTATTTATGGGTTTGTTTTTATTTGTTTTATTCCAATTTTTCTGTCTAGAGCAGGAAATTAGAAACACAAAATCTACTTATGCTTCAAAATAATAATTCATGGGAAACAGAAACATAATGGGAGAAAAATTCAAAAAACACCCGGTTAAAACTAGTTTCTTTTTTGCGCAATCCATAAATTTCGACAATTTCCAATTTTCACATCTAGAAAAAATAGTTTCTCGAAAAATTTTTTACTAAAATGAAAATAGTTGATACCCAGAAACTTGTTTAAAAAAAATATAAGCAAGAGGTGGTGTGAATGCAATGCAGACACCTGTGAGTACTTAATTCAAAAGTGACATGGAATATATACATATTTAATAATTAGGGTTTCTTGACTCCGCAGAGAAAATATACATGTTTGGTCGAAGAGAAAACGACATTTAAGTAAGAGTTCCTGCAATGAAAAAAGCAAAGATCGCATGTTTTGGAGATCAATTTTTGAACAGTTTGCAGTGCTTTATTGCTTTACAGAGAGCTTCAAAAACTTGAAAACACTATGAGCAGTCAATCGTATATTCAGTGAATTCGTTCAATCCGTTTTATTTTATTTCCCAATTCAGTAAAAAAACAGGTTGAGAAATGAACAGCCTGAAATTCAATTTTTACTATGAAACAACGAAAAAACGAAATATTGACATTGTTTTCAACATGGCGACTATATTGAAGAGAGTCTGAATTGTGCTCAATTGAATATATTGTCAATGACGGAAGAATTTAGGCAGGCGTGACTTATGAGTAAAAATTTTGCCATATTCTTGCAATCAGTTGCAATTTGACCTGTTACATTAGCAAAAAAAGGGCACGCTGTGTAGAGTGTTTGATTCACAATTTATAGGTTGCACGATACACTAATTCCCATTGTTTAATTTCAAATTTGAATTTAAACACCAATAGACATCAAAGGCACATGGCAAAATTTGTTAAATTTGATCAAAACGTTCGAACACATTTGATAATTCAAATTAGTAAAATTCGTTCAATTTCTTCTCTCTTCTCTTTTTCACTAAGTATCAAACTAAAACATTGTACAGAAAACACCCACCTAATAGAAGAAACGTACTAGGTGGCTTAATATTCCATAAAAGCAAGGCCGCAAAGAACAATTCTACCACGTGCCTCATCTTAATGAATAATAATTAAAAAAAAAATGATGTTCGTAATTTCATTACAAGTTGAATGGATTGAATGAAATATTAATTGAATACTGATACATAATTATTCCCAATCGTTTAATTGAACCAGACAATTAAAAGTTAAAGAAAACACTTTTTGAATTGGAATATGTTAATCCTAAAACCACTGATGACAACAACATGGGAAAAATGAGATGAATGACTAGCAATAGCTGAATGATTCATATCACGAAATTCCATAAAAATCCGAAAATCGGTAATAAAATAAACGAAGACAAAACACAACTTGCTTGATGATGATATGCAGTGAATTAATTAGACTATGAGACACCTGAAAATCTGAAAAAGAGCGATGACAGATTAAAGTGAGAAAAGGAAGAACACGACGAAGAAGAGGAGAAGGAGGAGGTCCTCCTAATCGCATCTTCTTACACGGAGATGGAAAAGATGAAGGGGCGGGGCAAAGTCCAGCAGAAAAGAGCCAAGGTAAGACAGGCGCCGCAATTCATCGATTTTTCCATGGATATTCATATACATAGAGAAAAGCAAGTACGAATATAAATGTATTACATTCATTTAATCGCCAATTGAGTGATAAGCGAAATAAATTCACCAAATCCAATGAGGAGACGCTGAGAAAATCGCGTACGTGGGCTTGTGTGTGTGCGGGGCCAAGTGGTAGATTAGTCGCATACAATTGGGCTTACTTAGTTCATTGTTGGTTATGACATGCAAGTCGATAAAAAACTGAAACGAAAACGTTTTTTTTCCATTGCATTAATAAGTACATAATAATAATAGAAAAATTTTAATGATTACAATACCATTAAATTTGAAAAAATTGAATAATACCCCCCCCCCCCCAAAAAAAATTGTCCATCCTCAAAAACTCTGTTTAAATATTCTTTTGGGTTAGCACTTTCTGAAAAAAATTACTTGGTCAATAGCAAAATTAAACATTAAGTTTAATGGCTGAGACGATATCATGTTTCTATCGAAAAGATTACAACTCTTAAATATAAAAGTAATTTACGCATAAATTAATTTCTCGAGTCGTAAAACTTAGTTAAAGAATTTTATAAATGTGAATTCAGAAATTGTCTGACGTAAATACTAACGGCAGAATGAAACGAGCGATATTCGCACAATACTCGTTGATTGCGAATCAGTGTTTAGACCACCGCATGCATTTCTGAATAGCGCGTAATGCTGAGCAAAGGTGTAAATTTTGCCGATTCTCGCACATCGCTAAATATAATTGCTATAACAATATATTTGAATTGTCTCCTGCCACCTATTCAAAATAATGTGCTTCTGCCAAATTTTGGCAGCGCTGCGTCAGCTACAACAAAAATATACGTAATTTTAGAAATTGAACTGAAAACGGTGAGATTTGAACAAAAGCGAGTTTTTGATTGAAACCATAAAATGTCGGAAAGAATTGGTTTCCGCTGATAAACTGGCTGTGCATAAAAAAAAAGCATACATCACGACTCATGAATAAAGTGATATCGACGCACGTTGCTAGGAAACTCGCCTGCTCGCAAAATTGAATTGAATTTTTTCACACGGGATTTGTGAAAAAAAAACGCCAATTGCACTAGTCAATTCAATACCGAATTTAATTTAGAATTTCTCAACTAATAACGTGGCAATTTTCCAATTTCGGGGATTTTCCAATATATCTAACTAAACTATGTTTCTGATAAATTCAAGGCAAAACGCACATTCGAATAGCAAATTTTAGGAAGGTCCGAAAAATTTGACGGTGTTTGTGATGATGTCCTTCAAACTGTGTGGAATTAAAAAAAAATAAAATCAAATGGCTTCCAGTTATTCACAGATTCCCTTGGAGCAAATAATTGAGCCTTAAACTCGAGAACAAAGTCAACCCGTGCCGATCAACTCGCAGCCGCGTCGACAATCGAAGAATTGTTAGAATTGCTGAAAAGCGATGATCGCTTGCTAGTTAATATGTATATATTGTCTGCGTTGCACAACTGCGGAAAATTGGCAAAAAAGCAAAAAAAAAATTAAGGAGAGGTCTCGGTGCGAGCAATTCAATCAATGCTAACGCCGATATAAGACTTATTGATTCGAAAAATGCAAATATATTTTCATTGTATTGTCAAAGTCAAACGACTTGACGAAATTAAAAAAATTATTGGCTACGTGCCAATGTGTCTCGAGGCAACGAGAAGTACGCGAAACTGCGTACATTGCATTATAGTGTTAATATTCAGTCAATGAAAAAATTTAAATCTACATTGACAATTTTTGCAAAATTTAAAAGCCCCTTCAGTCGTTTGACGTCGACAATTTTTATTGTCGACATCGCCGCGACTGCGAAAAATTGGCAAAATTCCAAAAATTTAAAGGTTCAGTTCGCTGTGTGCAATTTTACCTATCCTCATGCATTGGCATAAATCTACACTATTAGTTTTGCGCCGAGACCATTAACATTGTTTAGATTCTAATTTAGCCAAATTTACGCAGTCGCGGGCCTTCGAAATCAATGCAGAATGCTCAAGATGTATTTTTTCTTGACATTTTCTTTAAATAGTTGGCTTTTTTTTCGACGTTTTCTCCTTGGTTATACCCATTGATGTATGAATTAATTCTTAAAGCCCTATAATTCAGAACCGTAGAACACAGTTCTTTTTTTCAGATTTCGCTGCATAAATATTCAGTGTTTCATTAAAAACTTTCTGGTAGGATTTTTAATTTTTATAAAAAAAACTTTAAAAATATTTGCAAAACCTCCATTAGAAATTCGAGACATTTCAATCGATATAACAACAAACAAAAAGACAAGAATGTGTAAAGCATACAGAAGAAGAAAATGATGAATTTAGATACATAGTATATAAATTAAGAATGAATATATTAAAATTACATAAATTGTAGGTAGCGGTAGTATTAGAATGTTTGATTAAAGGGTTTCGGTAAATGGTAACATGGGGGCTAGCATGGAAAAAGAAAGAATTTATGAACAATAAGGAAAGAAGAAACAACAACAACATCAACAATCCCGAGGTTGTACATCACAGCGATTATAATATAATATATTAACAACGAAAGAAACCGTGCCTAAAAAAGGAGAAAAGGGAAACAACCTACATCCCGTAAATCTTTCATTGTGATTTGATTGTTGTCAATTCATTTGATTCATTTTCAATTTCTACGGTGGCTGGGAGTATGGAGGAATATTATATCACAGTTGGCTGAGAAGTTTCAACGTGGAGAAGTTTTGAGTTGAAAACACCTCAGGCGAACCCGTTCCGTTAAGCTGATGATTAAACGTTGGAGATAAAATTGGCGAATTCTCGTTCTGTTCTATTTCATCCTGCAAAAATATCTCATTATTTAATTGGAATTAAATGTAAGTTTAGTTCGTTTCTTAAAAAAAATGACCCAAAAAAAAGCGAGGATAATACTTTCATTTTTTTTCTAGACAAGGGTTTTACATGCCACATTTCAAGTAAAGCACGATTCAGCACATACTTGCGATTTTTGTTTTACATGTGACGGACAATTTTGAAAAAATAATAATTAACGTGAAATTGTCTTGGTTTTGCATATAATTTTCATTTTCGTTTCTTTCTATAAAGCTAAAAAAATTATTAAATGAAACTGGATTAGTGAGAAATATGTGCAAAGATACTATTTTTGAAAAAAAGACATTTATTTAATAATGAATATTATTTTGAAACTGATGTTTCGTTCAGCTAATCCAGAGTTTCATATTTGAAGATTATCGTTTATCGTTTACGTCACATGACGAGTGATAAGTCTTTAAATTATCCTAGATTTTCAAAGGGTATTTTAGAAAAAACAGCATAACTGAATAAAGCATATTTAGATCTCAGAATTCATTGTGTTCGCATTTACTCAAAAACAACATCGTTTCGGATTTTTAAAATTTAGTTTTGAGTTGCGAGCAACTCTTAAGTTTATATATAGTCGGCGTCCGGCGACTGCTGTACGCGGGTAGATTTGCGCGCATGCGCCTTGAAAAGGTCTCGCCACACGTAAATGCTTATTTCGCGAGACCATTACGAAAGACGCATCCCCGTAAATATACCCGCGTACAGCAGTCGCCGAACGACGACTATATGTATATATATATGTTTTAAACAACTAATGATATCTTCAAGGACTCTCTCTCTCCAATTTATTGGTTGATTTTTTTTTTTCGACAATCAGTTTTCATATTATTTCCACATTATTATTTTTCCAATAAAATTAAGTTACTACTTTTGGAAGTTTTGAAAGAAAGTGATGAGCATATTAAAGAATGGTTTAGAACGAATTTAAAAAACAGGTCCATATTAAAGCATGTACACTAATAAACATTTATTTCGGACCAAGTTCCATTATTTTTTATAGAAAATATTTGACTTATAATTTTACTAATGAATGAGCAATCAAACGTTAGTAAAAACATACATTCAATTAAACAGACCATGCCAACTCACACCTTTGTAACACCCGGAGATGGAGTTCGACGATATATGACGAGCTCAACGACGTCTGAGGAGGAACTGATTGCGCTCATGGCTTCGTCTTGCGATGCATTCACCATATTTCGATCGTTTGCTCTGGAAAATGAATATATCACTGTGTGAGAGACTTTAATGGAGTACCTAATGAGCTTGTCTCCTTCTTTCAATCCACATCGATCAGCGGCACTACCCGGCGTTACTTTGGTCACAAACAACCCTTTGTCTCCATTGCTTCCAGGGGCTGGTTCATTTAACGGACCACCGGCAAACGAAAGTCCAAGTCTAGAAGAAATATATAATATTGTGGAACAAAACAAGAAATATATTGCTTACTTTCCACTCGAATCGCGCTGTATTAGAATCTTTTTCAAGTTCTGTTGAGAGCCAGATATAGATAGATTTTGTTGTGAGCTGTGTACACTTTCTTCACGATCAGGAGACCACGCCTCCGGTTTACCGTTTGTAAAACTACTGAAAAATAAAATCGTATTATTGCGGAAAATTGCCTAAATGCCAAAAAAACGAAGACAATAGTCTTGGCGTAAAACTAAAAGTGTAGATTTTGCTATGTACATAAAAGAATAGGTTAAAGGCGGACACCGAGACCTCTTTTTAATTTTTTGGCATTTAGCCAATTTTTTTGCAGTCGCGCCGACAATAAATTCAATGAAGATATATTGGCAACTTACGAATCAATAAATCTTATATCATCGGCGTTAGCATTGATTGAATTGCTCGAACCAATGAAAGATTCCGTCGGTGTTTTATTGAGCGAAAATTGGCGTGGTTGTTCGCCCTGTAACCATGTTTTTCGAATATTCTCATTGCTAGCTATTTCAGGTTGAAAGATAAATCACACGTTAAACGAAGGATTGCACGCTCACTTTCAATTCATCATCATCAATTCATCAAACTCATCACTCGGATTCAGATTAAGAGAAAACAATTGTAAATTAATAAAAAAAAAAACCAACATCATGCGGGATTATGTGTCCGTCAATCGAACCTTTTTTGTGCTTCGGATTCTTCGGATGCGGAGTGTTATGCCTTTCGAATTGGCCGATTTGAAGCTGGAAACAAGATAGAAAACGTAAGAAATGGGAATTTGGGTGATTAATGATAGTAAGGATATAGCAATAGAAGTTGGGAAACAATTTTTGCATATACCAATAGGGTATTTAAATAGAACTAAAAAAAACCTTTTCGTCTTCGGTTGGCGGATCCTGATCATTAAAATGAACTTTTGGTCCCCCAACAAAGGAACGATTCGTTGTTCTATCGGCAATATCTGAAAAGAAAGTCCCGAATTTTTTGGAAACACTTCGATTTAAATTCAATAAAATAAAATAATTTACCGTCGGTAGCATTAATCTGTGGGAGGAGATAACATTTTAGAACCTTAACTCCAGTTTTCGGATCGCGTTCTTGATTGAATTTCAAGATTGATTGTGACTAAATATGAAACACCCATTTTTTAATTTAGAAAAGTGAGCATTTACCTGGTTTTCGCTTAACCATAAAGCTTGTAATTTGTACAATACATTAATTGTAAATGGCAAAAATGAGAGTTTGTTCGAAGCGACGTCGAGAACCGTCAGATTCTCGCATTTTCCTATCGACATTGGCAGTTCCGTGATCATGTTTTGACGAAGAGATAGAACGGAAAGTGATGTACATCCGCCAATCTATTATTTCTTTCATTTTTTAATTGGTGGGTGAAAAATAAATACCGATTCAGGGACCTCTGTCAGTTGGTTTCTATCAACATTTAAGGTTGTCAATGATTTCAAGTATCCAATGCTTGAAGGAATTTCCTGAAAAAATAAAAAAAATAACCTAATTCGAATTCTTAAATCTTACAGATAACAAATTATTAGTTAGGTACAATTCAGTGAGTGACGAGCATTTTCCAATTTCCGGTGTCAGAGTGTGCAGTGAGTTTCTATCAACTTTGAGAATTTGCAAATTTCGCAGCTTTCCTGTAATTACACATAGTTATCACATCACTTAAATCAATAAAACTTGCCTATTGATGCCGGCAATTCTTGAATAGCATTTTGTGAAACATTAAGATCCGTTAGGGACTCCATGTTTCCAATTTCATAAGGTAATACTTGAATTTGATTTTCAGATGCATCTAAAATGTTAATAGTCTGGTTTTGAAAATTTTAATTTTAATAAAACAAAACAATTGATAAACAATGTTTACCTAGTTGATCCAAATTTTTGCACTCAGTGATGCTATCAGGAAGCTGCAGAAGGCCATTGATATCGATATAGAATTCGCGAAGATTCGATAGTTTTCCAAAATCCTTTGGCTTAAAATGTTTTATCTTAGTTATTTTTATCCCTAGAATTAATCTTGACAAACCAATTCTTCGATATCATTTTGACCGAGGTCAAGCTCTTCCAGGTGCTTGAGGTTAACAATAGACGGTGGAAGGCATCGCAAGTGGTTTTCACGAACCTAAATATGCTTCACTAGATCATTCCGCAAATATAAAGATTTACCTCAAGAACGCGAAGATTCGTGAGTTCTCCGATGTTGGCAGGCAAAACAGTAAGTGTGGTGTCATTTAAGGACAATGTTACAATTGAAGAACACTCGCAAATGCTCTCGGGCAATCTAAATTCCTTATTTGATTTTGCTTATCCAAAGAAAATTAACCTGGTGAAGGGATTTCCATTGAGAATCAAATTGATAAGCTGTTTGCAGTTTTTCAATTGCTCAGGAATATCGGTGATCGCTGAAAAAAAAAAGAAACTTTCGAAACTTGTATTTAAATATATTTTTTCTAATTTTCACGTTAATATTTCACGATAATACATACTTTCGAAATAATTTCAGCCAAGCGGAGAGGATTTTATGATATTTTCTATTCTTAACACAAGTTTGCTTAATAAATCTAATATGCTTACCATTTCTATTTAAATTCAGCTCATTAAGCAATGTGAGATTGCCTATTTCGGGCGGAAGTACTGATAACTCGTTGTCCGAAACGTCGAGAACTCGAAGTCTATGCAATCGGAACAATTGCTGAAAAACAATGTTCGAAAAAATGAGAAAACCATGCAGAATAAAAAATCGAACCTTTGGCAATTCTTTTATATTGTTCATGGCGAGTAAAAGCTCTTCAAGTCCCCGAAACCTGTATTCAAAGATGAGTATTTGGTATTACCATTGCAAAAAAAAAAACGAGAACTCTGATAATTTGCGACCAATTATTTATTTTTCAACGAAATAATTCAAATTTCGATTTAAAACGCGGAAGTTCAGGTACCGTACTACAGATAACCTGCGAATCATAGCCACAAGTGCTCTCGCTTTTTTGGATAATTCATATCATCAAATTGTTACCTATCAATATCACTGGGAACACTCTGCAGATTGTTTTGGCTCCGATCGAGTACGTCGACTTGTCGGCTGCATGCCATTGGAAGGCAAAATAGCGACGGCATATTCAGATGTTCTAGGCGGTTCTTCTCAAATCGCGCCGCGTTGCCTCCCGGAGTTCACCAACTGCAAAAAAAAAACAAATCCAAAATGTTATATGACGCAAGAGCCAAGAGAACAACGAATAATAATAATAACAAAGAGGAAAAGCAATATGCCTCTTAATTAGGTAGCGTCGAATAAGAAAACTCGCACTGATGTGAGCTTCCGACGATAAATCGACGCCGTTTATTTCGTGTTGGAAGATGAACGAAGAAGGAGAGAAATTCGACAAAAAAGGAGGGGACGAATTGGACGAGGTAAATTGGGGAGAGCGAGTGAAGGAACGCAGAGTTGTTGCCCGAAAAGGGATGGATAAGATCAAGAGGGTTTCAAAAACTAGACTAATCAGCGGTTGCTTGTGTGCGCATTCATATATACATATATGAGTGTATGTATGTGTTTGTGATTTTCAACGAACATGAAGCTTCTTCATTTGGTTTCTATGAAAATTTGTCCCGATAGAAACCTTATTTCAATCTCCCCAAAATTACCTAATACTATTTATAGAGAAAGCGACCCCCTCGTTCCATCCTACATTTTCACAATCCAAACATTCGAAAAGTTTCTAAAAACACTGGAAAGGGAAAATGGAATGGTGTGAGAACAAAAGAGACATTTCCGATGCGAATTGTTGTTTGTGTTTACTTTTTATGATAGAAAAATATATTGATATTGTTAAATTATGTTATTAAAAAAAGGATTTATTGAAAAAATAAAAACAAAAAAGAAATTTGATACTTAAAAAAGAAGTTGTTAGAAACAGGATTCGAATGTGAATGTGAAAAGGAAATAAAAGAGAAAGAAGTTGTGGGAAGAATGTATTTCTTCAATGATTCAATTTTTGAAATTGGATTTTTTTAATTGAAACCCCCTTAAATAAATTAAAATTTTACAAAAATAAAATATCATTGCAAGAAAAAGTCTGCGAATTTCAAAAAATTAACGGAGTTCTCTTAATTTTCATAAAACATGACTAAATCGACAAATTGACTTCAAGTAAGCACATCGCGTATAAAGTTCAATAATAATGAGGCAATTTTGAAAGGAGCAAAATCCATTTTGAAAAAAATAAAATACCGAGCGGAGAATAATCTCTTTAATAGATGTAATTCAATCCAATCCAGTCGTTTTTCACATTAAAACCACTCATTTAGAGTAATTTATTTGTGGAATCTCGACTTTTTTGCCGTTTAATTTATTCGGCCAACCACAGCGTAATGCAAGAGTTCTATTCGGTGGAGTGAGAGGAACGAACAACAGGGACAGAATAAAAGAAGAATAAATTATCGACACATAAACATGGTGATTTGATCATCGCCGCATTTCTATGAGCGGAAAAATGAAGGGGAAAACGAAAATTTTCGGCCGGTCTCGTTTTTTTTCGAACGACTATCAATCGAATAAAAATGACTAGCATTATTTACTTTGCAACAAAAACTGCGATGAATCAGAGCGTTAAGGAAGCGATTGTGCAATGTTATCAACTCATGAATCAATATACCGCGAGTTGTAATTAAATTTTATTTTACAAATGAATAGAAGATGTCGATGTGGCCCAACAATAACAGAAACGAACGAGACAAAGAAACTGGCATTTTGACAGCTGTTTCACAAAATTTTGGCAGGTAACGTCGGAAGGTGTGGTTTCTAATTACGAAGGTAGCTCAAAAGCGATAGGGGAAATAAGGAAACCGCAGAAAAAAACCAATATTCGCAGCACACACACACACATACATAGACACATACGACGGGGCATGGCGCTATGCATATACATACAAGCATTGCGTACGAGACCAGAAAATTGTTTTCAATAGAAATTTTGAAAAAGCAACGATACGGAGGACACAAAAAAATGAAAGGTGCATATTTGTCGAAAATTTATTTTCGTTCAGCAGTTTTATTTAAATAAAAACGATAAACTCAAGAAAGTCAAGGTTTAAATTTAGTTTTACCACATACTTGTCAATTTGAATAAGAACTTATCAAATGCGCGTATTCGCTTGAAAGGTTGAGTTAACTATGCTTGGTTTGTGACATATATTTATTTATATCATAAAACTATGGTATGCTAGAAAGTATATTAATATTACTTGTAGGCAACATCAAAACTATAAAACGACCTCCCATTGGAAAAATAAACGAATATTTATAAACGAATGGAAGTCAACAACACCTCTGAATAATCTAACAATTTTTTCAACATTCACTGGAGTTTTCGAAAAATCGTAGATACTAAAGAAATAGTTTCCCAAAAATTTGCAGAAATTATGCGATTCCGTTTCAATTTGAAAAAAAGAGAGTATTAAATCTATGATACGGCAAAATTTAGTTTTCAGATATTTAAGTTTTTATATGGCATGTGAGTAACAGTTACTCGCAAATAATGCATGGAGAGGAATTTACGATAACTGAGAGATTCAATAAGCATATAAATCAATCGAGCACTAGCGCGAAACATCGGGTCAGTCAGACACGCAAAAAATCAATAAACGATGTGAAAAACTGTACGACCAGCGATCGCCAACCTCTCTCCACCGGTGTGCGGCGTTGTCGTCCTCGACACCAGTCGAACGCATACAAACAGCGACCTCTTGTCTGGCTGGCTCTCCGCGGCCGGCTGCGCTATTTCGTACCGCGGAATGCCTCACTCATAATTATTCGCTATTTTCTGTATCAGGCTGACTGCATTCATTGCCGTTGCGCGGTGTTGGTGCCGATTGTGGCGACGGTGAGGTGGTGGTTGGTGGTGGTGGAGATAGACTGAGGTGTTCATTTATGTATTTACGTACGTATCGGGTGATTGTTTGCATCGGCTCGTCTGCTCTTACACTGACGCAAGGGGAATCTTCATGAAAATATAAGCAGAGAGCACTATCGAGATTGCAAATCCTCATATATGCAATGGTAATAACAAATCAAGCGAGACGGCACTCGATGAACGGATATTCAATAAAGAACACTGCCAAATATAACGCATCAAACAAACAGCTTTTGGCGCTCAGAACAATTTAATCGTTTAACTCACACTAAAAAAAATACGGACCAATTTGGAATGCGATTGTCTTCACATTTGAATTGCCGATTTGTGAACATAATTTTTAGAAATGAATTTTTAAGTATGTTTGGCATTACAGAAAATGCAGATTGGCGCACCATGAGTCCATTTAGTTTTAATGGTCCAATTAAATGGCAGCCCGCGCAATTCAAATTTTTCTAACTCGTTCGTCTACGCAAATACACTACTTTTTAAAATCTTGAAAGCGCCAAAGTACAACATGGGAGATCGTGGGAAAATTTCAACAAGTTAATATTGTGGTACGCATACGACCGATTTGAATGTTTAGAATAAATTATTGCATTTTTAAAATGTTTAAAACAATTTTTTGAATTAATGGGAACATTTTCTTCTACTATGGCGTCATTCAAGTGACAAAAACTGGAACAATGCGAAATCGTAGAAAATCGTTTTTAAAATACAACTTCTACTGTTCATACTTGAGAATTATTAAATATCACTTGACAAAATAGCGAAGACGAATACTCAGAAACATTGTATTAAGAAGATTAATTAAGGTTAGCATCGCTTTAAAAATTTAAAGATGATTTGTGCTCATTTTCTGAATAAAAAACATGTGAATATGAAAATTGGATAAAATATAGAAAAAGTGAAATAAGAATAGACGAATAGATGAAAACAAATCGAGTGAGATTAGGACAAATCTCGTGAGTTGATCTTTTAAGCTAAATATTCACTCTTCTTCAACAATAATTCAAGAAATGTGAAAAAGTTAAATATTTGGGAAAGTGAACCGCTAATTGATGATGAATTTATCAAAAAAAAATCAAGAAAATTCACATTTTCGGCATGAGGAAGACGACCGGAAGATGAGAAGAGCGGAAGTCGATGGTGACGACCGCCTGCAATTCTTGTGACATTTGGCTTGAGAAAAGGGGATTAGGACGAGAGAGCTTTGGCAAAACCCGTTGAGGATTTTATGTGAATTCAGAATATTTTTGAACAATACGTAAAAATTAGATTAGACTTTGTCTTTTTTCCATATATTTATTCAGACGATAATAATAATAATAATTTTTTTAACAAAAACTAACAGTACGTGCGGAAATAAGAATATATTACCACCGGTTTCAAGTGAATGATCAAAATTCAATAAAAAAATAATATTGCGCAGAACAAAAAGCGCAACATATTTATATTAGTTGTTAGAGTTAGACCATCATATACATACAAATTAAAAGAAGTGGCAGTGATTGCATATTTGTTAGAACAAAGAATGTTGAGTATTTAAACGAAACGAAAGAAAGAAATGCGTTTGGTTTTGACAGAATTGAAATTTAAAATTTTACATGTGCTGGCCGAAGAAATTCTAGAGCGCCGGCCGGCCAATACCCGACCGAATAGTACATTTAATAAAAGTTTGGTTTACAGACGTGATATATGCCGTTTTGGTCAAGAAATTCAAGTAGAAAAGTTGACGGCGACTGTCAAGAGTGTAGAATTATTGGAACAACAAGGTAGTTTAATTAAATTTATCTAATGCAATAATTTGAATGTTTCTTTTTCAGCCTTACTGCAATCGGTTGTTTTATAATTTACGCAACGCGACCAATCGGCTATTACAAATCTAAACCAGTTGTTCGTGCAATTGTTAGAAGTCTGTCTACAGGTATTTCTTTTTTTTTACCACCTATTAGCGGACTGGAAACCGTTATACACATAATGTTTCTATAGAAATGGACAATTAGTAGAAAAAATTGAAAAGCATACAGATTAGAAAAAATTTGAAAAATGTTTTATTCAAAAACATTATATGATACAACAAAACGAAATATCTAAAACGAGTGTTGAAAAACCAGCTTTTGGATATTTAGGGCCATTGTACCTCGGAATCGCTCGTTGGAACTATCTTCCACCATTCGAGGATTTGAAGAAGCAATGATAGAAACAATATTTGTGATTGGTGTGTCCGGTTGCGGAAAATCGTCTACCGGAAAAGCGCTAGCTGAAAAAATTGGATTTGACTTCAAAGATGCCGACAACTTCCATTCAACACAAAATATCCAAAAAATGTCGAATGGTCCGCGAAGTTTACTAGCTTTTTTCAATATTTCTTAACAATTTCAGGGATTCCTCTAAATGATCAAGATCGGATGCCTTGGCTGCATTCAATTAACGATTATTGCCGAAATAACAAGAAGATAGTTTTCGCTTGCTCTGCATTGAAATCCTCTTATCGAGATACTTTGAGAAACGGCTTATGCAGTGTATTATTTTTACTATTAAATGTTGACAGGTATACCTTTGAAAGACAAAGAAAGCCAAGAAGTTATACTAATAAAATTACTTTTTAAAGAACTGAATTACAAAAAAGACTGGAGATGAGGATAAACCATTTTATGCATACAAGTCTTCTGGATTCGCAGTTATCCACCTTAGAGTTTCCCACTGCTAATGAAAAAGATGTTGTTATTATTAACTGTAATACACATAAAATTACTCAAATAGTTGATGAAATTGTGAAAACCATAAATCAATTAGTTTGAACTTTTTTTTTGAAAACAACGCAGACAACAATCGCTATAGGAATTAATCAACATCGCGTGCGTGAACTGGATGAGATAATGGAATCATCGCCTTTTTCTCAGGATCCATTGATAAAGATTTTCGCATATCTGAATAGTTTTATTTTGTCCATTAATTACTCCGAATTACTCACCATAGGCGTCTTCATCTCTTTCACCTGTATAATAATCAAGTATCTGCCTATAAACTACATAGCCCAGACTCTGAAATAATAAACTGTAGGTAATGGTAATTCATAAACGAACTTTGTATAATTCAATTGCAGCATGATTTGAAACTCGTACGAAAAGATCCACAAAATATGTATTTTTGCTAAAAAAAATATATTAAAAATAAATAAAATTAAAAAAAAAACGAACTGTTCCGAAATACTCTCCAAATATCCCATCATACTCGCTGCGAGACCTAACCGACGATAATTTGGAGCTACAGAAACAGCGGTCACGTGTCCGTGCCAGCTCAAATCACGCCCTTCTGCTTTTCCCATGACTTAAACATGAAGATTACTATGGATGATTGAAAAATGTTATACTATATCCCATTATTTCTCCATTTGGATGTTCAGCAACTTGGTAATATTCCGAATGATTAACAAGGTAGTACAAGTAGAAATTGAAGCCATACTGAAAAATCCAATTTAAAAAGTATTTACATAGGGACGTCCAGAGGAAAAAAAAACGTTTTCTAACATTTACGAAAAAATTGGAGTGGCATTCTTTAGAAACAGCTATTTGTTCTTTTTTAATTAGCTGAAAAACTAAACTACAACTATAATTAGGCGAAATAGGTGAGCGTTCATATCGAAGGTTACCAATTGTAAAACAAATGGTAATTGTAAACTTCTGGTTAAGATTTTTTTCTATCTCAATAAAAATAATTGATTTCGAATTTTTCTGTTAAATTGAATTTAATAAGAATTTACCGTCTCGGTGTTGATGTCAAGATTAACATTATTGAAGGTTAAAAGATCCATTACATCGAAGGGACGGATAGTAGTCATTGCGCTAGTTTACCCTGAAACTATATTCTTTCCTTTTCACGTGAATAAAAATAAAAATCTTTTTTAGGCGGCCAAAATGTACGAAAATAATTTTTTTTCAAAACTTTTATAGTATCGAGAAAGGCGTCAACGAATTGCAGCTGGCGCATTTAAAAATGTTGCGTAATAAATTGGAGCTTGAAACATCTTCGATTTCAAAAGCAACTTTCAGTTGTCGTAAATATTGTTTTTGAAATAAATATTTAATTAACTGAAGATAACTATTGTCTGCTGAATGACTTGAACTACTTACTGTTCGCCCAAATGATTGTATATTTAATGTAAGTGTGTTTTAATTTTATGTAAAATAATTTATAATTTTCAGCTCTTTTATTCCAAATATTCTACTTTCTCTATCATGCCTGATTGTTTTTACTCTCGTCGTTTTACCTATTCTAGTTTTCTTATTTCCCCAGTATATTCAGTTTATGTTCTTTTTGAATTTTCGTAAGTTTTTTTTGCTACGTGGATTGTCGATCAGCTTTGCTCTTTCAGGTCGTCTGCCTAATACGGATTACAATAATTTATCATCAAATAATGTCATTCCCATAGGAAGAGCTTTTTATCTAAACGGTTCGGGTGGAAAAATTGGGGTTTGGTAAGTTTTTATAGTCGACGTCGATTGTTGTACGCGGATTGATTTACATGGTGTCTGGTCTCACACGGACTAACTGGTTATTTGGGATTTTAGGGGTTGGCTCGATAATTGTTAATTTGAGTGAAGTTAGGAACTAAAGGAAATATTAAACTCGTCAAGAAAAAATAAACAGTTCACGTGAAAACAACGAAATGTGGCGAGACCATTTCGAAAGTCGCATTCGTAAATCTACCTGTGTACAGCAGTCGTCGGACACCGACTATAGTTTAAAAAAAAAATATTCTTGTCCAATTAATCGACGTTGTCTAACATTTCTTACTAATTTTCCAAAACATAAAAATGCATTTTAGGCTTCATTAGTCATTTTGTTTGAAAATAAGGAAGATAAAACCAACAGCAATTAACCAAAACATTTCAGGCATATTCTTCCGAGTGAACTATCGAAAGAATATCGGTCAAATGGTGTTCATCCTACGAATGATGAACTTGAAAAAACCTTGAGCCAGAGAAATTATAAGTAAGTTTTTTTTATCATAAAACTACATTCAACACCTAAATTTAGAATAATTTTCTACGCGCATGGCAATTCTTTTGATCGTACGTTCTACCATCGTGTTGAACTCTATAACTTATTATCCAATATGAATTTCCACGTAATTTGTTTTGATTATCGAGGTTTGGCAACAATTTTCCATAATACCATTTTTGGTACGTGTTTACAGGTTATGGCGATTCTGATGGCTCCCCTACTGAACCAGGAATTGTGTCGGACGCTCGGGTAGTTTATGATTATATCCAGTCAAAGGTTGGAAATAATCCCATCATTGCATGGGGTCATTCAATGGGAACAGGGTAAACGGAATACTTCAATGTTTATGACAAACCATATTTTCAGTGTTTGTTGTAAAGTCGTTCGTGATTTGTCTGTCGAAGAAAAAGCGCCACTTGGGTTAATCTTGGAATCACCTTTCAATAATCTTCAAGATGCAGTTGTAAATCATCCAATTTTTACGGTAAACATTGCTGAAATGAAAAAATATTAGATATGTTTTTTATAGGCATTTTCCTGGATGAATAAGACAATGGTTCGCTACATCTTCATCAAACCATTAAACAGTGTTGGTCTCACAATGCTTTCCGACGAAAGAATAAAATTGTAAGTTTTTGCTGTTGTAAAATCGCTATCAATAGATATTTTTCACTAATTACCCATTTTTTGCATTTTTTCATAGGAAATATTGCCAAGGACAGACGCGGGCCACCAATTAATTGGTCTTGTAAAATAATATGTGATTATACTCCGTCTTTTGACACTTAAAAATATCTAAGGTACTTAAAGTTCATAGAAAATTATGCTCTTTCATATTATTTTAGTAAAGTTAAGCAAAATTCGCTCTGAGGGGTTTTTTTTACATAAGGCCGCAGTTCAAAAGCTACAGTAATCGAACCCCAAATTCGTCCGTCTTTGCTATATTAGTACTTTTTAAAAAATATTTTTAAGTGCACAAGTAGGCTTATTAAAGTTTTAAAGGAACGTTTTTAAATGACATATAAATGAAATTTAATTTTAAAAAAATTTATAAAGCTGCCCATTTGTAAGATGCAATTTTTAAGCAGGACCTGTTTGAAAAAGTGCGGCACGTTTGTTTGAACTTGAACCTATTTATCATATTGGCCCCTAGAATTTTCCACATCGCCGGTAAAAAATCGAAAAAATGAAAATTTTCCATTCTCAGAATAGGCCCATAAAAACCATAAAAGCAGTATGCAATTTGTGCAAAAACTAGTTTAAACCAGTTTTTTGAGTTTTTTTTTTCCAAAATCTGTGTAGCACCAAAATGTTATTGGGTTGGCTTGTCTTTGGCAATAACAAATTCAGGAAATCGAATTTATTGCATGTTTTTATGTAGTTCTTCCTTGATTTCATTGTAATTACAGAATTACTTGTCCAATTCTGATACTCCATGCAGAGGACGATAAAATTCTTCCGGCCAAATTAGGAAAAAAACTTTATGTAAGTGTTGAAAAAAATAAATCAGTTTCTGTATATATCCACTATTTTTCTGAAATCTTGAAATGATGAACTTTTTTCAGGAAGCCGCCCGATCGGCCAAACGTCAAGTGGAATATCAGGAATTTAGCGCTTCTCATCAATATGGTCACAAATTTATCTGTCGGGCTCCAGATTTGTCGAACATAATTCAAGCATTTGTTGAAAAGTTGAGTAAATCTCAATGAATTCGAATAAATTATTAGTTATTATGCGATTCGTTTCACATATTTATATTTCTCTTTCGTTTGCCTTTGTCTCCCTGGTTTTCGCCAGACTGGCTATATGCAAGTAATTGCTTCCGGTTGGACAACTACGAGGTTCTCTGTATTTCTTTACTTTTTTGCTATACAAACTACTATTGATTGATTAATGCAAAATGATACAGAATGTTGCCGATGGAATGGCAAATATTTTGCAAAGTTGCCAAACTTCGGAAGTTTTTGAATTATTTTAACAATTTACAGCATCGGACAAGTTACGGGGATGGAAACTTGTCCAAAAAACACTTCCTCGTATTATAGAATATGGTAGAAGCGAAGGAATTCTACAAGTTAATACCGTAAGTTTGAAATCAGTTCAAGTTTTAAAAAATTATATTAAATTTAGCAGCAAAATGCTTTCAACATTACTGGAATTGTGCAAGCTGCTCAAGAAGAAGCTCATACTCAAAAAGAGCCAAAATCTGGTGACAAAGTGAACCTTCCTACAAACGATATAACCACTATGCACGAAGCTATACCATTTTTACCAGTGCCTGTTGCGATTACTTGTTTAATTTTTAATGTGCTCATTCCTGGGTCTGGTAAATTGAAAAATTGTTGAATTCACATTTGAATTTGAACTTTTAGGAACTATAATTTCCGGCTTTTCGGCACTTTGTATGGGACAACCGCGAATTAACCTTAAAGAAGGTCGAAAACTGATCACATTAGTTGTCAATTTATTGGTAATATTTTGAAAGTTAATTTTGAAAAATTCAATATTCAGGTAGGACTCAGTCAATTTTTCACTATAACATTTTTGTTCGTCGGTTGGTTTTGGTCCATTGCATGGGGTGGTCTACTAATAATTCACTCAAGTATAAATAGTTTTCTTCTTCAATTTTTTTAAATTCGAATTGTTCACTTACATTAGTGCAATATCGAGAAGCATTGCAACAACGACGGCAGGAAGCAGTTGCAACAGCAGCTATCGAAGCTCTCACAAAGGATTCAATTCTTCATCGACGAGATGTTAAAACGCTTGTCAAAAGTCACAAAAAGACGAAAAAGGACAAAGGATAGATTTTTTAAGTTCATTTTTGAGTTTTGAGCAAAAAAAAGCGAATTCAAACAAGCATTTGTCGTAAAACAGAAATAATTTAATAAAAAAAAATATATATATGTCTGAGTAACTTAACAGAATGCATGTTCAGAATCACAGCTGAATCAATTACGTTCCTTTAAAAGAAGAATACAATAAATAACTTAGAGTCGCTATTAATCGGTTTGTAGTTGAAAAGAGTACAGAAACATAAGACAAATGAGCTAGCACCAGATATACATCGTCAAAAAAAAGCAGGTAAAATATGTAGATTAACATTCGATTAAAATCCATCTAAATTCTAGTCATTATTTACAGATCGGTTTAGCGAATCCTTGTCGGACGAATTATGCGAATGATTTGATTGCAAATCAATAAAATTTTGTTGTAGTTCCATCACCGGGGCAGGACCCATGTGTACAATATGCATGAAATCAGAAGGACTCGAAATCTGGATTTGACTTCGACGCTCCGATAGTGGTCTGACAACAGTGTCAATTAAGTATGTGAAGAAAAACATAAAAGAATTTTTTCAAAAATTAACGGTTACCTTTCATCTTTACCGGGAGTTCTGAATGTGAACTTCCTACGATTAACTTTCCTGCCATCGGTGCTTTGCACAACATTCAGTGGAATATCGATTGAATCTTCCTCACCGAGAACGTCATGTAGTAAAATCTTAAAATAAACAATTAGACAAATCTTATAAATAAGAAACTTACAACAATTGGCGAATCATTGAATAAACACATTGACAATGTTCCATCCCTCGTGAGCGGGCGTGCATTTCTGGAATTATAGTTTTTTTTTTAATAATTTTTTATTCTATTCGATTAATGATGTTACTCCGACAATAAGCGAATGGCGAATTGTCGAAACGAATACCACTAACTAAATTTTTGGTGTAAATCAATCTAAAGAGTCAGTTGCGTAATTTCGGTAAGACTTTAAACGAGCCACAAAATTAACATGATTCAATTAAATATCCCGACTACTTTTATCACCTCCATTTGCCTCGCATCCGACCGAGTTAAAATTAGGTCAAATATCGGCAAATCTCACTTTCGTTTATCTTTCATTTCATTCCATTTTCAACGTAATACCGACTCTTTACCAACAATGCTTCTAAGGATTCCAATTCTGTTTGTTATATTATTAAACTTTGCAAAAGCTGAAAATGTCAGAATTTGCAAAGATATTAAAGATTGTAAGACTTGTGCAGAAAGCTACATCCATATTCTAGGATTCAAGGAAGATTGTAGATGGTATGTTTACGCGAGATTTCGATTAAACGTTCTATATTAGGTGTATCGAAACAAAATCATGCGGCGGCCCTCTTTCCTGCCCAATGGGAAAGCCGTTCATACAAAAAGATCCCTTCAGATGTCCTACAACAGTGAGCATACTCTAGAAAAAGTTTATAACCAAATGAATATCAGATTAGCCATGCACCCGGAAAGCGATATTCAGATGCACTTGGTCGATCTTTATTCGCTGTCTCTCTTGCAGTACGTGGAGACAATGCAACGACTTGCCTCTACAACACTCGTCCAGATATTCAGTAAATTTCCAAATTTGGCTACTCTCTAATCCGATTATTCAGTTTTGTCAAGACATACGAGGTTGTCTGTGACGGTGCCGGAAATACGTGTAAAGGTCTTATTGCAATGAGTGAAGAGGCGAAAGCTCTTTACGTGTCTTACAAGGGAAGCACTTTCGGGAAACAACTTCTCGCCGAGTTCTTGCACGGTCTCACAGCACAATTGGGCGCATGGGAGAAGTTTGAGTCAGAAGACGCGGGAGTTATTACTTATTTCCATAATGCTTTTTATCGACTTTTTGTCGACAGTGGTAAGAAATACTAAAAAAATTTCAAAAATACATCATGGATGTCCTCAGGAATGAGAGACGACTTGCTCGATCATCGTAAAAAGCACAGAAACTATCGCGTTTGGGCAAGTCGCATTCAAAAAGTCGTACTATATGCATCTTATTGTCTTAATATAGGTTACTGGCCACTCTCTTGGAGGATCTCTTGCGTCCATGACTGCTCTTCACTTAGTCAAATCGAAAGCTGTGGATTCAAAAAGTATTCGTCTGGTGACATTTGGAGAGCCACGTACTGGTAATATTGCATATGCGAAGGAAGTCGAGCGATATGTGCCCTTCCGGTACCGTGTTGTCAAGAGAAACGATCCAGTGAGCAGTAACCCTCGTAATACATTTAAAAATAAAGAATTCAGGTGCCAAACATGCCAGCTCCTCTCAGTCCTGCAGCTATTCTCACAACTACTATGTACAATCGTCAACCTATGCATTATCGTTTCCTTGTTCATTACAACAACAAAATGGAACGAGGAGATCGTTTTAAGGTAATGTCCAACATCTATCATTCGTTTAATGATATATAATAGACGTGCGAAGTTTCTGACGATCTAGGATGCCGTAATCCGGCTCTTTCTGATGTCACAGATCATATGAGCTACTTCCAAATAGATCAGGATGAATATGTGAAGAGAGATTGTCCCAGAAACGAGCTTATTTTTTAAACATAATAAGTTTTCCTAATAATAAAAATAATAAAAGTTTTAAAATTACCTCAAATTGATTGTCTGCACCCATTCCGCAAGAATTACGTTAAATACATCAATCTAAATGTCGATGTTTATGTTTCTTAATTAATAATCACGAATATGGTACCTCATTTTCCAAATAAACACACAGATATGGCTCATGATACGAGAATGCTTTCGCAACACCGGGGAACATAATTTCCGGCATTCTCGAACGCATTCCATGTTCGTTCACGTATAGCCCAAGCATGTTGAACACGAGCAGATATTCTTCAGGCGATCCAGGCACATTGACAATAAGCTTTGCTTCATAAGATGCTTGTTGGCTGAGGAACTGAAGACTTGTGTCCTCCATATTCACAAGAGCTGAATAACGAATTTTATTTGTAGAAAACTTGGAAAACTTGTGATTTCTTACTAGTATGCTGCAGAATTGCCCCATTTTGCAAATCTGAAGACGAATTATGAAGTCCTTCAGATGTTGTCAAAGACCACGCTCGGAAACCGTGAGGGAAACCGACAAATAGCTTTCCGTTCAGGATGCATATACTTTGAGGGGTTCCAGGCATTGCAAGCTCCTGGTATTTTAAATGATGATATACCAATGATATAAACTTTCCAATTACCTTCCACTTTTTGTGTCGTTTTTCAGATCGATCGATTTGGAAAATGACAACACTCTTCTTCATTGCCACCGCAAAGAATCCAACTTTCGACGAATTTGATGGATGCGCCGCCGAGACGGCCAAAAGGTGGCATCCTTTTGTTTCATTGACTTTGATCCATTTCAAGTCTCTTCCGTCCAATGCCGCACTGGGTACTATCCGAATATGTCGATCTTTGCTTGGTCCAACCATCATCATGAGAAGTTGCTCTTGTTCATCGTACTCCACAAGTTCCACACATCTTTGTTTGTTTTCCTTTTCCCCACCGACAGGTATGAGAATCTGGCGACTAAGGTCGACACAGAAAAGACCATGGTCAGCAAAACCTATGACGGTCTTCGATCGATCGATAATCGCACAGCATTGAGCAACCCGAATTGACGGTAATGTTGTTACATCGAAAGCTTCCTTCACAGCAAATGCTCTTCTATCAGCAAGTTTTGATCGCCGAAGTAACGTCTTCAATTCACTCAGTGCCACAACCCATTTCCTCTTTTCTTCTTCAGTCTCTGCCATGAAAAGTGTATAGAACTTTGACGAAGACACGTATTCCGATGAGGAGTTCAATATTTGGGTTGTTGTGACTCGGAAAATTTTCGAAATATCTGTTTTTTGAGCATGAATGACATCGGCCTCGCTGACACCACAAACGGTGAAATCAGGATCGCGCATGTCAAGTACAAGACGAATTTCATTCTTTACATCTTGCATTTTGTTTTGCCGATCGACAGTACAATCATAAAGATAGAGTTTAAAATCACAAACGACAACGTATGCGAATTGCCAACCCTGGAAATCATGCTGATTTTATCGAATCGAACATTGAGAACTAACCTTTCGAACACCTCCACTTCTTGGCGTTCTCACCATTCCTTCATAAGCAGTTCCAACTCCACGCGTTGGATCTATTCCCAACGGTCTTCGATCTTCTTCAGGAACCGGACATGACGGTGATACCCTTTCAGCACATGACACGTGGCAAGCGTACTGACAGCTTTGGCAGAAGTAACCCTGACGATCAAGACCAATTAAAATTGAAGTGCAATGTCCACATTTCGTTGGGGTCTTGATCTTCGATCGTTCGAAATTGTGTCCCCGCTCACCAAAAGATGGTGTTGGAGCCTTCATAACTTGCTTTGGCCGCATGTAGCGCGCATCTTCGCCTCCATGACGTCGAGATATGTCAGAACTTAATGGAATTGCATTCTCATAGGATGGAGCTTGAGAAGCACGAGAAAGTTGTTCTTGTCGCAATAGGGAGCTATTTGAAATTTCGTATTCGTTATTCATACTTGATATCATTAAATCTCGAGTGATTGTGGATGATACTGCAATTATCTTAATCGAAGGTAACCACATGAATATATTACTTACGCGCTGTTTCGGAAGCATTAATGGCAGATTCATTTTTCGCTTTTAGCATCGCAACTTCTCTCATCACTGACGAAAGCCGCTTTTCAGTATCCTCCAATCGCGCGGTCGCTGTCAAAAACTGCTCTCTCGTTGATTTGAGCTCGAGTTTCAATTTCAGCTTTGCATCAATTTCCGCTTGGAGTTGTCGTTGCAAATCCAAACCATCCTTGCGAGCAACCTAAAATACAAAAATATACCGCCGAAGACGAATGAATTAAACAAATTAAAATGAGAAAACGAGTATAAAATTAGCGATTTTAGCGTGAAAATAAAATTTTTCGATGATTCTTCTTCTGTCTTCAATAAAAAAACAGATTGATCTGCAACATACATTGTGACTTCTACGAGATCCCCATCCACTTGGTGTGCTTTGATAGTTGCATGCAGCTAAAGGCGAGTTGTTCTTCAGCGATTCCACATCCCCTGTTATCTTCCTTGTCAGGTTTTCCATCTCTTCGCGTGTTGCCTTCTCTTCATTCACCCAATTGAACAACTCGAGAAGTTGCTGTTCGGTTAGCGTTCCACGAGGTATAGCAGCCCTAAAATTTATAAAAACATACTCAAACCTTGAAAAAATTAGAAAAAAAAACTAACAATTGCTGAGAAAGCTTTGCAATTTCATCGCGAAGACCTTGATTCTCAACATTAAGCTGAGCGACATTGTCTTGAAGCATTTTCTGTGCTCGTTCATAATGAGACTGCAAATTGAATTATAAAAAATAGGAAAATGACAAAGGTATAACTTACCTCTAGCGATTTGAGTTCCTGCTCGGCTGCTGAGCTCATTTTTACACGTTCTTCTTCAAATTTGGCTTTTAGTTTCTTGATTTCAGCTTCCTTTTCTTCGTGGAGCTTTTGAAGATTAGCAATGTCAGACTTCGCTGCAGACAAATCTTCAGACAAGTTTTCAGCGCTATGCGCTCTTTCTTCAGATTTCTTTACTTCGACAACGACTTCTTCTTGCTCTATAATAAAAAATGTTTGATTATAATATTGAAAATCTCTTACTCTTCTTCAATGCCCTGTTTTCTGCATCAAATTCTTGAATTTTTTCTTCCAAATCATGAATTGTCTCCTCCAAAGATTTTTTCTCTTCAATAAGCTTTCGTCCATAATTTCGTTCATTAAGAAGAGCCTCGCTAATTTCTTTCAATTCGTTCTGAGCATCGTCACGTTCTTTCAAGGCAGAAGCTTTTTCGGAGGTTAACTGGCTTATCGTGTCAATCGATGTATCAATTTCCTGTAAAAGCCAATAATTTCGATTAAAATAAAAGAGCTAATAAAAACCCTTTGAAGCTCCGTCTTTTCCAATATCAATTGCCTGTTTTTCTCCTTCAATTCTTTCGCTTTCTTATCGAGCTCTTCAATATCTTTCGGCTTCTGCTGAGGTGTCGATTGTTCGTCTTCGAGTCTTTTGTTAAGAATTTGAATTTCGTCTCTTAATTGCGCAATTATCGCCTCGTAATTTCGATCTTCTTCCGTTTTCGCGGTTTCTGCAGAACGTTGAGTAATAATATCGTGAGCATCTAAAATATTTTGCCTTAACATAATCTCAAATAATACACAATTTACCTTTAAGTTTCCTTAAGAGCTCCATCTTTTCGTTCTCAAGTTCTTTTAATGCTATTTCGGTAACATCGGAAGGAGACGATTGAATTTGCCGAATTTCGTCCCGCAAAGATCGAGCATCAGAGAGTAAGCTAAAACGAAAATATTAGAACCATCGTTCAATTATTTGATCTAAAGTTCTACTGATTTATTAAAAAAAATGTTCTTCAAATAACAACTCCTGACCTTCCATGTGTATAAGTAAATCCAACAAACGGAAGATGGTTCCCCGTAAAAGCGGCAAGAACTCGAGGAGGTTGTGCTTCCTGTTTAAAATAATAATGCCAATAAAATGCTTGATAAGCTTACATGAGTACAATCGTTTGCGTCAATTTCAATGTCGAAATTGGAAGTATCTTCCGGACTTGACACTTCCGGTTTGTATGGAGGAGACGCTGAAAAAAATCAAGTTTGAGAAATCCGAAATTCGAAATCCAACTTACAAGGCCAATGTTCATTGACTCATACTTTTTGACTTGACTCATGATTTTTGACTCATAAAAATTGTATCATGATTTTTTATTCTTTGACTCATGATTTTTGACTAGTGATTTTTGACGATTTTTTTTGACTAACAATTTTTGACTAATGATTTTCTGAATTTTTTTTAGTTGAGATTCCTGCAGTTTTTTTCAGTATTCAATTCTGTTTTTTTTTTTGGCCAATATTGATGGGTAAGAAGCTGAAGGGTGGGAGGAATTGGGAGAAATGTTAACACAGTTTTTATTCGATAACATATTTATTAAAAACTTTTAAAATTAATCAATCATTGAAATTTTCGATAGATCATTATACCGTTAAAACTTTATCAATATGGTACTTCTAACAAAACAGCCTTCAAAAAACTTCTCAAAGTATAACAATGTCTTATTTTTTGAATATACCGTTTTTCCTGAATTTTGATGAGAAATCGAAAATTATGTCGTTTTAAAACAGGCCTGGCCGTATAAGCTAAAATAATTTGCAAAATAAATTAATAAAAAATCACTTATCGCGTTATTCCATCCATTTCCCTCTTTTATTCACGCTCAATAATGAATGATATCGAATAAAAACTGTGTTTAGTTGTTTTCATTAAACTAACGGAGACTACTAAAAATATCAAATCATACATATCATTTGGCCTACTACGGATATTCGTTTAATGTTACAGTCGATTCCTTCGGTGGATCCGCTTAGCTGGGATTACGCTTCTCATTGAAATCGATAAGCGATGAAATGCCAAAAAAAAAAAACAATTTTTTAAGCTTACAGAAGTTAAAAGAACTTTTTTTCCTTTCAGTAATAATCTTCCCCCCATTCAGTAATAACATTTCTCCCAATTCCTCCCACCCTTTAGCTTCTTACCCATCAATATTGGCCAAAAAAAAAACAGAATTGAATACTGAAAAAACTGCAGGAATCTCAACTAAAAAAATTCAGAAAATCATTAGTCAAAAATTGTTAGTCAAAAAAAAATTAGTCAAAAATCACTAGTCAAAAATCATGAGTCAAAGAATAAAAAATCATGATACAATTTTTATGAGTCAAAAATCATGAGTCAAGTCAAAAAGTATGAGTCAATGAACATTGGCCAACTTAGGCCAATGTTCATTGACTCAACTTACAATCTCTTATCGTTTCCCAGCATATTCCTTCAAAAAATGGATGCTTCCTGAAGTCATCTAATCCGTTTCTTCCAAACCGAACTTCTCTTGGACAAATAAGTTGACGTATTAAATCTTTAGCTTCTTCTGTGACAGTCCAGTCGATTTCATCGTCCGGAAAGTCAAGCATATCCTGTCCAATGATAATTTTCAGCATAAGCTGTATGTCATTTCAAGCCTTACTTGATGGCTCATGATTTTTCCGTATGTATCGACGAGACGTTCCGAATAAAATGGTGTAGTTCCATAGAGCATTTCATACATACAGATGCCAAGCGACCACCAATCACATTCTTTACCATAACGCCCCTTTCCATCTTCCATAGCCCGAAGAATTTCCGGTGATATATAATCCGGAGTTCCAACAGCTACATTTGAAGCAACAGATCCATCAGGTAGAAGACGTAAACAACTTCCAAAATCAGCTAGTCGAATATGACCTTGGCGATCGAGAAGAACGTTATCAGGTTTAACATCTCTGAACATTTTATTTTTGGCTCCTTGACAATTTTTATTGTAGAAACTAACCTATGAACGTATCCTAGCTTATGAAGAGAATCAATTGCTAAAACCATTTCGGCAATGTAAAATTTTGCCATTGACTCCGGAATGTGGTCAACAAATTTCGAGAGTAATGTCAACATATCACCGCCGATATAGTAATCCATAACGAAATACTATAAAAATTCGAAATATAAAGACAAATAGAAAGCTTCAATAAGTTACCAGATTCTTTTCATCCTGAAATGCATAATGCAAGTTCGTGATCCACCTCCGATCACCGTACACCAAAACATCACGCTCTTCCCGGAAGCAAGCGGTCTCAGCACGCTTCACCATTTCCCATTTGTTCAATATTTTCATAGCATAAATCTCTCCAACACCGCGTAATCGAACAAGAGCAACTTCACCGAATGCACCTTTTCCGATTACCTGAATTATTGACGCACGTTTGTAACTTGACATGCAAAAAATAATTTTTACCTTCAAAACTTCAAAGTCATCTTTACATAACCGCAATGCTTTGGCTTTATTGATAACTGATTTTACTGAAAATAAAATGTTTGAGTCTATTAGTTGGTTTTTATGATTTATACCGGTTTCGACAAACTCTGCAATACATTTTTCCTTCCGTAACGTGCTGTTGCAACATTCATCGTAAAGGCAAATAAGAGAATCTGGAAATTGTTTTTTTGTGATCGCAATTTTCATCATTCTTTTTTTATACCCCTCAATTTCAAATATTTTTCAGTAAGAACAACAATCGAATAAGAAAATATATATAAACAAAAATTAGAAACAGTGATCGGTGTTACTCCTGGCCGCTGACACACAATACGCAAACTTGCACATTAAATTTCTCAAATTCGAGTTTAGGTATTCATTTAGATATTCAATTTTCAACAGAAACCAATTTTCAAAATATATTCAATAAATAATACTCAGAATGTCTTTAAGTACCACTTTCTATTTCTTAAATTATAAAGAGAAATGATACACTAAGGCGCCAAAACTGGTACCTATCAAATTACATTTAGCGAAGAAATTTCGGGAAAGAAAAACAGATTTAAATAATATTATACACATCATATATACAAATACTATTTATGTTATTCAGTGTCAAGTTTATAAATTTTCAATAATAATAGTAATAATAGTTAATTGATCTCACCGATTAATGTTTCAAATGAAAGTGCTTCACTTTGTTTACTGGGCCCATCCAGGTAAACTTCTTCTAATGATCGTAGCCGAGCAGGGGCCACCTGATCCGGTGGTCTGTCGGCCATCTGAAAATATCGCATTTTAGCGCCATCTTATCAATATGAACATTTTACAACTTCGAAAAAAATTAAACCGAATGCATTCGGCACAGGTTTGTCACATTTTTATCTGTTACAGACAAGTTTGAGTAAATATACCAAATTTTCATACAGAAAACGGGGCTGGTTGATGGCGGGTGGGTTTGGAGAAAGAATGAAACGAGAATGAAAAGGATGAGGACAGTATGAGGGAAGCGAAAGAATGAATGCAAACACGCAAAATTGTCGCGAGTGATATTGATTTTCCGAATCGCTGATTTATGCTAACTGACAATTCATCAACAATATTTTGCATTTGAAATATATGCAATGTGACAAAAATTATTAGGCTAAAAAAAAATAAAATAAACAAAGATACCTTTCAAATCAACAGGAATAAAATCCATACTAAAAATGCGAACAGTACACTTTAGCAATTCAGTGCTTGAAAAATTGGCGAATTTGTCATTTTTACCTATTGTAATAACATAAAATTTGTCAAATTTGACGGTACTGTAAACAAGTTAAATAAACTGAGGTTAGTAAGGCAATTGAAAATAATTTAGGCGCAAACTTATAAAATCGGAAGGAATCACACAATTTTATATGTGAATCTTCACTAGAAGAACGTTAGAGAAGCCATAAAAGACGACCGTGAAATAAAATGAAACGAAAAGAGCGACCTTACATGTAACACTTCAGAATAAAAAATAGAGTTGTTGGAGTTTTGGACGTGTTTTTAGGAAGCCAGAAAGAATCAATTCGAAATTTCGAAGACACCAGTGTAAACTATCGGATTTTTGCAATTGGAGAAAAGGGAGTAGTGGTTTAAGTTGCGAGAGTGAGGGAAACACGAAGAGAGGAACGCGCGCGGAATACGCAAACGTGGCGCGGTTTGCGCAAATGCCGTGCTCTCCCTCATCGTTCGGTCAGTCAGTCGGCCCGTCGGCCGGTCGGCTGGTCGACCTCCGCCTCTCCTCTCCCCTCAATTCACCACTCTCCCACTTTCGCCTTCTGTGCCAAAAACGATATATTTTATGCGATATTCTTGAGCAGATGCGCGATCTTGTGAGTGTTGGTGCACATTTGAAACGGAACGAAGATTAGGAGGATCGTCGAGTGGAGACTAACAAATCAATCTTGCCGCCAACTTGCATAAATTTGGTTCTAATGAATTCGTTCATTGGTGCGCAAGCACGAACTCAATGAGGCTTTCAAATTAGACAAATATCTGGAATATCATGGACATTACAAATATCATCTCTCCCAAGAACTGTTGAAATGTTGATAATAAACTTAAAGTTTTTTAACTCACATTTTTTTCGAAAGATTTTAAAATTTGGGATTTTATATTTTCCATTAAGTCGATGGTTCGAATATATTCATTCTTCTTTTCCTTGAATATTTCGTATTGACGATTAACTGATGATTGGTTTCCTTAAATTTCAAGCGATGCACGAAAACGGAAAGGAGTAACAATTGAAATATTATAATATGATAAGTAATTACTTATGTTAAGAATTATGCAAGAAATAGACGCAAAAACACATAAATTAGGATTTCAACAAATTTCGTTATAAACAGGAGCTAGTGCTCGATGACGAAATACTGAGTGCACTTGTGCTGTGAGTGTAAAGTGACCAGTGTGACTAGTCGAATCGGAAGGACATTACACAACATTCTTGAAACAAAACCTCATTGTGGAGTTCTTTTTTTTCAAGAAATAATGATCGCAACGAAAACTATGGCAGGCTCAAACGGTGGCCGATTGTGGGCACAGTCTGAAGTGCTGAGCATCGCTGAGCACTTTTTAGCCCGCTACGCAACACTCTCCGTCATCGCAGAACTGGTTCTGACGATATTATTACCAGCAACGTAATGTTTGTTACAAGACAAATTTCGAGTGGACAATCTTGTTAAGATTCCACTGATTTGTCCACGCGAAAAGATGCTCAAAAACATCAAATTTAATATGTAGCGTAACCAATGTAGTGTAGGAATACCATGCACTTATCTGCCACAAATATTTTCACCGTTTAATTGCAATTATTACAATCGCAAAAATAAAACGAGCGCCATGAATAATTTAGGACTTTCGTTTTTTTGGAGTAGTAATTCAAATTTCGATTTAATCGGTGGGAATTCGGGTGCCAAGTTACAGATAACCTGCAAATCAAACTCGCCGCATCGTTTTTTTCCCCAAAAAAAAACGTCTACCGTAATTATTCTCTGTTGCTAAGCATGTGCGGTTCGAGTTCACTCCCTTTCATTTTTTCTTTATATAAACGATAAACCGTTTATATCAACACGCCTAAACTACAAGGTCTTGCAGCGAGACATTTTTTTAGCGTTTATTTGGGAAACGCACTATAAACATACAATTTTTAATTTAAAAAAATAATAAAATTTAATTTTTCTAAATACGTAAAAATTGTTTTCATTTCAACTAATTTTATTTGAAAAAAGTAATGTTCAAAGCTCCCAATAGCTACAAGATTATTTGCAAAGGATGCAATCGTTTAGTGACTCGAAGCGAAACAATAGCAGTAAAACGGAACTTCGAGTAAATCAAATTAATTCCAAAATTCAGAAAAAAGTGGTTCGAGTGGAAAATATGATTTATCACACAGCTTGCTTCAAATGCTCTCAATGCGAGGTATCGCGAAATGTTGAAATAGTGGATTAAATAGGACATTTTTTGACAGAAAACTATTGGGACGCGGTTGTTTCATAAATCGGAAAGCGGTAATGCGGTGTACTGTCTAGATTGCGACTTGATAAAATCAAGTCCGATTTGTCACGGCTGCGATCGAAACACATTTGAGACCTGCGTGAAGGCATTTAACGCTGAGTGGCACTACGCCTGTTTCAAGTGCAAAGCGTGCAATTTGCCAGTACAAAGTTTGTGTTTATATTTTATAAACTGGAAGCAGTAACAATATGAACACTTAAATCCGTGGAATAGACCTATTAAAACGACTGACTTTCGAGATATTTTAGAAGTGCAAGCATTTGAATATTCGCAAGATGAAATACAATTAGAGTTTTCTAAAGTTAACAAATTTGAGATATGGAGTTCGTTCTTCACGAGGGATTCGCTTACGATGAAGATTGCTATTATTATGAAATAAAAGAAGTCAAAAAGTTCTAAACAATAAATAATGGTTGGGCCTTTATGACTCATGCTTTTTAACAAATTAATCATCTCTGAAAAAGAAAAAATGTTTATTAATATTATTATTAAAGACCAACAATGAACATAACAAAAAAACTACCTATGAAACGCGAAAACTAAAAAAAATTACTCGGAACCCAGTTCAACTCGTACGAAATCAGAAACTCTGGCGTTATGCGATTGCAGATATTCATAGACAGATTGGCTCGGGTTCAACATAAATGATTGTCGGAGAAGAGATGTCTCAGATTCATCAATATTTGTTACCTGACAATTTTTTATTATGTCAAATGGTTTCAGGGACCGTTTTACCACAATAGGCTCTGCAAACTCATCATTGCTCTCAGAAGTAGCTGTCGCATCAGTTTTTGTTACTGGGGGTTCGCCCAGTTTTTCTGGCGACATTCCGATGACATGCTGGCAGAGTTGAGCAGCAAGTTGCTCAGTACCGATAGAGCCTTGTGGAGTGTGATCAATTGCAATTAATGAAACGAATCTTCCCATGACGACATCACCCGACGATTCTGAATAGCCGATTTTTAAACTAAAAAACGCTTCTACCCTACTACCTTTTGGATGAGCTGATCCATAAAGATGGGTACCCTTTGGAGCTTTATAAGCTTTCAAACGCTTCAAAACCATATTTTCTCCTAACTTTCCAATTGAAAGCGATAAGACATCACGAAGATTCTTTCCGTCCTTATTTACAATAGCTTCTGGATCATAAGATACTTCTTTTAGTGTGGAATTATCGGTAGAAGCCAGATCCTTTTTCGCTTTTTCCAATAAACTCACTGTCAAATCTTGTAGCTGAAAAGGCTCATCGGATTCAAAATGTTTTAATGCATACCAATTGTTTAAAATGATCTGCTCTTGCCACGAAATCAGTCTCGCAAGTTAATTCGACAATAGCTGCCACGTCTTTGTCACTAACAATTGACACCAATCCTTGCGAAGTGGCTCGAGAGCCTAATTTGGCGGCTTTCGCCCAACCTTCTTTCGCCGCTGCTTCTCTTAACCATTTTTCAGCAGCATCCATTTGGTCTTCACCAAATTGAACCAATGCCTTTCTACAGTTGACGTAACTGTATCCAGTACGTTTACGAAGAGCCATTAACGCCTAATGGTAAAATCAATTGATATTTTAGAATTCAAAATCGCTTACTTCTTTCGAAACTTTCCTTTCCGCTTCAGCAAAAGAACGAGTTGTAGTAGAAAAGAATCGTGAAATTGCAATTCTGGCTAACATCTGAAAAAATTAATAAATTAGCTAACAGAAAAATATCTTTATATAATTGCATCAGACAATTCATGCAATATTGTTTTTACTCTTCGTTACTCAAACGAAATATCATGTTTTTTAATTATTTTGTTTTAATTGATATTTATAATATCAGGAATATGAATTTCTTTCATATTAACAAAAAAACATTAAAATATTGAAAAATATTGACGCATTCAATGTGCTAAAGAAATGCGCCAATAAAGGCTTGGCGCAAATTACAACCTATTAGCGGTAAATTCAAAAATTCAAACTCTGAAGAATCGTGTTTTTTATGTTGATGATTTATCACTAAATTATGAATAAGAATTTTATTTCAGATGGCGGAAGTTCGAGCCGTTGAAAAGCCGCAACTTGATTACGTTCAATTAATACAAGAATTTGTTGATAAGCGAGGTCAATCAATCCAGAAAACTTTGGTTAAAAAATTGTGGTCTGTTCATGAAGATATTTTAAACAATTGCGATGATTTCCAACTGCGAATGATGTTCTTTACACCAACTATTGCTTCTTGCTCTGAGGGTAAATATTAAAAATTTTTACTGAGAGTATCAAAAACATTCCAGGTGTTAAATTATTGGCGTCGTTCTTTACTAAAATAACTACACCTACTGTATTTCGGCTTATTCAAAAATTAATAGTGGAATATGGGGCTACGACCTCGGATTGCCAAAAGTTTGGAGAAATCATCAGGACTGCATGGAATATGGCGGATCATGTTTGTCAATATGACTTGAAAGAAGAAATTGAGACCAATATTATCGCGGGTACGTCATTAAGAATATTGTAGAATTTTTGAAAAAAAATACATTTTCAGAAGTGTGCTATAGCGCTGTTTATGCTCATAAACCATACTGTCAACGATATCAGGATATCCTCGGTCCATTAGCAATTGAAAAGAAGAGCAACAAAGAATTTGAAGAAATGATTATTTCAAAACTTAATTCATGTCTTTTTCAAGGATTATCGGTAAATAAGGTTTTTATTGAATGAAAATTCAGAATTTCAGTCTGTGAACGATATTGTTCGTGCATCTTCAGCTGACGTATTTTTTAAATTCTACCCACTAACTGATTCTGATCCAGAGGTAAAGTATCAATGATTTAATATTTCATTTTGTTTTTTTTTCTAGATAATGGCGAAAAATTTGCAAGAACAGCACAAGATTATGCTTGACCTTCTCAATGACTCGTCAATTCCCATACGAGTAGATGCAATTAAAAATGTTTACTTATTTCTCAAATCCTTAATGTTAATATATCTCTTTTTAGGTTCTGCGATGTCTTGGTGAATATTGGCTGGTGATTCCTAAGGACGTCGTTCGTGTCCTTTTCAGCCATATTGTTGATACTTTGTCTAACGATTCTGTAGTATCAGTTCGAGTTGCGGTTTATGAAGGATTGATGAAAGTGGCACTAATTCCAGCTTGCATGAATGCGTTTGAACATGCTCTCAAGTGTGTTTGTCCGAGTGGAATTAATGACAAATCCGACAAAGTTCGTCTTTCCACTTTCCAGCTTCTCAATTTGCTGAAGAAACACAAATTCATCAAGGTAGTTAGATCGTAATCCGATTAAGTAATTACCGTTTTCATTAAGGTATTTGATATTGTTTCAAAAGATGAAATAATCGCAAGGCTTGATGTTGAATTAGTTGAGGATGTTCGTAAAAAGATTGTTCCTCTCGTTCACATGGCAAGAAAACAGATAGTGTAATAATTAAAACTTATTTTTGAAGCTTCTTCCAATTTCCAAAGAATTTGATGAAAATTATTATAAACCAAGAATCAACTACATAATTGGAAAAAGTCGATTAGCCATTCTAACATATTTTCGCTTACTTTATCCAATGAACCTTATTGAAATCGATGATGCAAGTAAGTAAATGTTTCATTTTAATGAAGACAATATGAATTGTAGTAAAACTAACCGAAATGCTTCTTATCTGGGCTTATCGATATCTGAGAGTGAAATCGAATGAATCTCCACTTGCTGGTTCGGAAAATAATTTCATTCGAAATATATTAATTTATTCATTTCAGAAGATTCTACTGAATATAAGCGAGCACGAGTATATCTCGAATGCGCTGTCGTCATCTATTTATCTATAAGAGCTAACTTTATTGCAAACGAGAAGGCGGCAGAAAAAAAGAAGATTGAAAAAATTCTAGCTAAACTAATCGAAGAGGTTTTTGACAAATATCGGGTAAAATTTGTCTATTTGTGGGATTATTTCTTAATTTAAATTTAGGATACTCCGATTATTGGAACAGCAACAGCAATCAGCGGTCATATGCCGAAAGATGTTTTGAAAACTATGGCGAGTACCATGTTTTCAATGCTCGATAATGATGAAGCTGCTGAGGAAGTTATTGAACCATTTTTGGAAACTGTGTTCCATTATAATACGGAAATGCTTTTGGAGAATATTGACAAAGGTCTCGCAATTCTTCCAGAATACGTAAAAAGTTTGAAAGACCCAAAGAAGGCAACTTCATTTGAAAAGGTTTTTTTTTAATATTATCGCTATGTGCGAACAAACAATTTTTTTAAAGAATTCCGATCCAGACCAATTTTCGAAAGCATTACGATTTTTGAAATATATTACAAAAAGTCATACAACGAACGTTGTCATAAATACGCAGGATATGTACAGAATGACGATATCCGAATATATTAAGGTAATCCTTATTTGAAACCAATGAGAAATATCATGAAATTAAGAAATTGGATTATGTTCGGACTGTTATTGATCTATATATTAGTAAAGAGCCATCGGCTTCGAAGATATTCGAAAATGAGGAGCCATTATTTGTTGCCCTTGAAATGAGATTAATTTTGAAAACACTGCTTATCACATATTCGGTATGTTTTGTTTTTTCACATCGTAAATGGAATGTTTGATTCAGAGTAATATTGATGAAGAATCGCTTAAAGAAATAATTGAGTATCAAAATGATATTGTTGAATTTCTCGATTGGTTCAAGGCAAATATTGTTGCGAAACTAGGACAAATTCCTGAAGACAAAATTGATTTTGTTGTGAAAATCGCAAAAAGTGTTCTCGAGACAGTATCTGTGTGCTTTTCTGCTTGGAACTTCTCACAGCAACTGGAACTGACGAAGGAAAACGATGATGGAATGGAAGAGGATGAAATGCAGTCATCAAAAAGTGTCATCAATGTGCTCTCACAGTAAGTTTTCGATTTTGTTTTAGATATAATCATTACAATTTTTAGGGTTGTGATATCGTTCTGCAACAGTAGTACACCCATGGAACTTTTTGCACCGGTTCTCAAAATGGCAGCCACTATGTGTGACTATGAGGTTTATTTTATTTTAAAAATAAAAATAGCGCAGAAAAGCTGGAAATACGTATTCGGCGTTCCTCCAGTAATACACACGTGTCCAAAATTGTTAACACTTTATCATTATTTTTTAATCTCTTCTAAAACTGAAAAATGCAGTTCTTCAATTTTTTGTGTTAAAAAATAAGTTTGGTGCTGTTTCTAGGTAAAATATCAGTTAAAATTCGATGATTTGTGAAAATTGGCGAACAATTCGTAAACTTACACGACTTACTGCGACACTTGCCGAACATTTCGTTTTTTTTATTATTTATTAAATCTTTCGTTTTAAAGTACGCTGAATGTCATTCGACAATGATGAATGTTCTCGATTTTGCTCCCAAATGGATCAAAAAGTTTATTGAATTTGAAGAAGAGGCTGATATTAACGAGAAGGGTAATATTAATCGATGAGAGTATTTAAATACGAACTTTTCAACTATTCAGAATTGTCCGATGCACTAAAACTTTTGTTCAAGAAATTATTAGATACAGATGTTTGGACGGATAACTCTCAAAAGAAGTTGGCCAATTTAATTGTATTACTTTCGATTGCCGAACTAACTGATGCTGCAGACGAGGTTTGTACTAGAAACAATCCATAGGGTATATTCTTATTATAATCGTTGCCAAATTTAATATATTTTCATTTTAACAATTCATGTTTTAGGTTGAAATTGAGGATCCATCTTCTCACGATTATGTTCCGCCGAAACTTGTGTCGATTATGGTTCTGAAATTTGTGATTAAGGAGAAAACCTTGTTGAAGTAATCACGATTGCTTGAATCTCAATATATTTATTTATATTTTTATTTCAGAACCTTTCTGGTTGAGTTGAAAGCACTGTTAACGTCGCAAAAGTTTATAAACAACGATATATCTGCCGATATTTGCGCTGTTCGTCTTGGCGCTGTTGGTCAACTCCTTGTTATGATTCAAAATGGCACTAAAGAAGCTCAAGGTAATATCTCATATTTATTTACATGAGTTGATAAGAAGTTTGCTGATTATCTTTTTTTAGATTATGTGACAAATCTAATGCAAACTTGCAAGGAAATGACATCGAAGGTTCTGGAGGAAAACGAAGATGTCAAAGCGTTTTATCGGTCAAGTTTACAAACGCTTTTAAAACTTTAATTGATTTCAATGTAAATTTTCTTTTTTTTGTATAAATTTGTGGTGGTTAAACAATTTTTATAATAAATTCAAAATTTCGGACAAAAAAGTTGTTCAGAATTTATTTTATTAATCTCTCGGAAAAATCCTTTTTTCATCATATTATTCGTATAATAGAAAACTATTGTACAGATTTTACGAAAAATACAACACAATTTCAGCTTTTCATTCGCTTTTATCTATTTATTTCATTCGATTATTTGACAACGTCCACACTCGCAATTTTAACATTATTCCCATTGGTGGCAATTTTCTAAGCAAACAGTAGTTTTTTTTCCAACAAACATCAAAATTTTTATTGCATTCGTAAAAAATTTTGGCTTCGTTTTTTTCTCGAATCGTACATGTGATTTGTATATCGATCATGGTCATTCAAGTCGGCACCAAGTTTGTAGAAGAATTCGAGCTCAAGCCTATTCCTGGACACAATGACGAGGTTTGCTGTTTACTTGCCGGGGAAATTCTAGTTTAGGTACCAATTAATTGGCCGATTAATTAATTAGTCAAATTTTGAACAGCGGGAGAGGTGGGGGGAAACAAAAATAGATGAAAATTTGGCGAGTGGGATTGAAAACATTGCCAAAATGAGGCGAATGAAAACATTGCCAATAATGGAGGTTTGTCCGGTGTACCCAGATCCCGAATTCGTCGCTTCGCCGAATGTGCGTAGCGCGTCTGACATTATTGTCGCCGATCCATTCTCGACGTTTGCTCCTCGAGTCCAGGTAAAGAAAAGTGCACCTCGCGCACGTCTTTTCATTTCGTCTCTTTTGCGGTGGTTAAATGGACCCCTTGACAACCAGAAAAAAACCACTGGCTGTATAGTTTTTGAGGTCTTCAAGTGAGTTTTCATTGAGAAAACTCTTTCGCTCACACACTTTTTGTTATTGTTTTGAATTTACAGTCTCTCGTTTAGATGAATCATTATTCGCTTATTCATAATTGTCTCATTCTTTTGTTTTGTTCTATTTTTATTGAAATTAAGGTTTTTCGTTTTGAGTCAACGTTCAGTTTTATTTTATATTCTTTTCGAATATTCTCAAGCCGCGTGAAAATATTCTCAGATTTTTCTACTGAAATTTTAATTTGGCTGAAAACACGCGAAATGAAATTTTGTTCGTCCATTTTATATTTTGAATATAATTTTGGTCAAAAAAGGAATAATGAGCTCCGAATCCAGGAATAGCAACGAGCAAGCGCCGCTTTTCAGTTCCCGCCACAAAGAGGTTTTCACATAGTTTATTATTATTGCCGATAGTCGTCTCCAAACCACACCACTTTTATTCTTCTTCCTTCGTTCGATATTCCGAATATATGCAGTCCATCTGCCGAAAATAGACAGCAAAATCGAAACGTTTCTTCGGTGAATTGTTTTCGTTGAATAAATTACCGGAAGCCATCGATTTCACGGTGCTCCAATTTTATTATTGTCGTCGAACGAAAAAAGAGAGGTGGTTTTTCGGTTGTTGATGCGTTTTTTTTTTCATCTTCGTCTTACTTCTTCCATTTATGCACACAAAACCTTTTGCGGCAATTTTCGGTGTCTCTGAGTGTAATAGCTGCCGAATGTGCCCTTTGATGGAGTAATTGCAGTGCTTTTTTGGGGGTTTCGTAGTGTTTCGACACAAGATTACTGTAGGATACTGGAAACCTTCATCTATTCATAAAATATTTAGATTTAAAGTTAAAAAAAAATAGATTTTGCAGCAGAATACCACGAAAACCTCAAGCTCGACCATGGCTGATGATGAAAAGGAGCATTCAATTGTCTCCAGATGCGCTGCAGAATTTGTAGCAGTGCTCCTGTTCGTTTACATTGGTTTGAAGCGAGCGATTAACAAGACGATAATCGAATTCAGGATCGATGCAAGCAACTGGTGTCGGAATCCATGACGGTGTTCTTCATGCTGCGATAGCTCATGGTGTTTGCATCTTCGTTCTGGCGGCTACATTTGGTGGTGTTAGCGGAGCTCATGTCAATCCAGCGGTCACCCTAGGAGTCGCACTAGTTGGTCGAATTTCGCCGATTCACGCGATTTGCTATGTTGCTGCCCAGCTGCTCGGTAGCATATTTGGAGCCCTCCTCGTTCGGGTACATTTGAAAATGCTCTTCAAAAATGAATTTTTATTAAATTCTACAGATATCGTTGAACTACCAGATTTACCATACGATTGCCGCGGGTGCAACGCTTTGTGGAAATGGCATTGGATGGCACGAGGTTTGTCATATAATATGTATTTTTATCTTTTTATATATGTTTATATTACTTATTTTCAACCCTTCCATTTTTTTTCAATTTCAACAGCCTTTATGATTATAATGATTTTTGGCAATATACAATTGGAATTAAAACCAATCCAAAATTTTGAAATCATTTCTTAGAGTTGGTATGGTTGAGTGATTCTTAACGATAGAAATATTATTTAATCATCTTCGGACATTTTCGGGGACACACGACCGTTGTCGTATGTACTTCTGCGTGAAATTAGTGGAAATTCAAACAGGGCCCAGACGACGGAAATTGAGAATATGATGATTTATGTAATTCATTTTAAACAAGAATTAAACGTTTTAATTTCAATCACACATTTCACACTATAGAGTCTATAGCTAATGTGAAAATAATTTTTTTGTTGAAAAACAAACAATAAACGTAGGTAAATATATTTTAAATTCCCACAAAAAAAATTCTGATAACTTGCGCAACAAAATACAGTTCATTTCAGGGTCTCGCAGCTGAAATCGTAACCACTTTTATTCTGGTGCAAACCGTTTTAATGTGTGCCGTTGATACAGAGAAAAACCGTTTGGCACCGCTTGCGATTGGATTTTCTCTGATTATTGAAATTCTTGCAGCGTTCGTCTTTTGTTTATACAATCCAAAATTAATCTGATTCAATTGCAGCGGATCGATCTCGGGAGCTTCAATGAATCCCGCCCGTTCATTCGGGCCAAACATCCTTGGTCAAATATTCCTCGACAAAGACCATTTGGATAAATTATATATGTTTTGGCCTTATCATTGGATTTATTACATTGGTCCATGCTTCGGATCATTCTTGGCCGCTGCTCTTTACAGAATCTTTTTTGCTCGCGATTTTCGGCTACTCGCTTAATAATTTGATCGCATTTATCTTAAATAGTGGATAAAATAAGCTAATACGTTTTACGTTTTTATTTTATCAATAAACGCAAATAAATGATTGGGTAGAAGAATACATGAACACATTTTAATCTGGAAACATGTGTATATGTAAAAACTTGAAAAAAATAATATTTTTTAAGCATAATTTAAATGCAATAACAACAACAAAAGAGATTTTGACTTGCAAGCAAAATTATTGACATTGGCCGCGTGATATTCTTCAGCTTCTGACCCAACTTCAAATCTTTTGGAGATTTATTTGGAAAAATAAAAACGTGAATAAAAAGAAAATCGATTCAGATCATTTTCGTAATTGATAAGCTGGTCCCATCTGGCGAAATCGCACAAATCTCATTTCTCCCCTTTTTTGTGCTCTGGTTTCCCATAATGTAAGTTTTTCCCACAATTTAGTATTATTTTCCATCTAAGGGTCATGTCTTTGATAAATCAAAAATTAATAAGAAATCTTCAAAGTTAATTAAGTTTCTCCATTTCATCAAAAACATTATGGGCTTAAATAGCCAACATTTTGAGCATTTATATTTTGCTCGCTTTTCTCAGAACAACAATTTTTGGAAAAATAAATAAAATGTAATCAATAATTCATATATTTTTTATAAGAGTTTTTACTAAATCTCACTTTTTTTTTTGAGAGAAAACCGTAATCTGAATGGGGGTGTTCATGTAATAAAAAATGAAAAAAAAAATGCAAATTTTTCCAATGACGGAATAAAGAAAAAAAAAACACGCACATTTAATGTAATTGTTTTTCCATTTTCTGTAAAAAGAATACATTCCATGAATATATAACTGATAATTAATAGTTTTGTCCTTATGACCCCTTAAACTTTTTACGAATTCATAGCAACGTCTGACATCAATCTACATATTGACATCTGTGACTTTGAGGAATTCTTAGACAGATGATAGCAATTCAAATATTACTAACGTCAATATAAATATTTTGATTATCAAATTTTTATTGAAATAATATATTGAAACGAATACAAGCAAGTACTTCTATCAAATATCAAGATTTGCATTGAAAATCCATTAGTAATCAGTTTTATAGGCGTTTCCTCTCCATTCAATGAGATAAGTCTTCAATTAATGCATGTCATTCATTTCTTCATGTATTTCATATTATATTCGTATTTATGAATTTAATCATTTTTTAGAATGACGTAAGTTTCATTTAAAACGTGCATTTGAGGAGCAAGATTATGATTCCCATTTTTCATCTTTCGTCGTCTCAACATTTCAGTTTTCCTTTAGCAAGAGATTTTCTTTTTTTTTCAATGCGTACATACGCATGTTATCAGCACACACAAAATGCATACCAACTGAAATCTGTTGTTGGCTCTTTTTCTGGCTTCATTCACATCCTCTTAGTCTCTTTTACTCTCTCGTCGTTCACTTTTTATGCCTCCGTTTCCTCGAAGTGTTTAATTAGTTTTAGCTCGTTCAAAAAGTTCAAAAATTTTGTTGCATAAAATGATTTGTTTATATTGAGTCATTTATTCAAATGTTTATACTCATATATCAACAAATTTTGTTTCAATTTATTTTCCCGACGGAAATGTTTGAAGGATTACATAATGATAATTGAATTTTGTGATTAATTTGAATTGATAAGAAGCGCTTTATGATCAAATGCCCTCTTTATTGTAGTGTGTGTGTGCGTGTGCACACAATATCCGGTCGCACCCCAATGTTTTTTTTTTCTTCAAATGTCTTTTTCGTTGTTTTTTGATTATCGATTTCGTTTTTTGCAGTAGACGCGATGACGGAACAAGTGCACTTTCGTAAGTTATTTTTTTTACCTCAAAATGGATTTGACTATTTTGTTGTTTCGCGCCATAATTTAAGCAAATCGATATTAATTCGGAGAGTGCCTGTTGGAACCCAAATAAGATCAAACTGATAAGGATCCAATTTTTGAAACGTAATTGCCCCATTTTAACAAATCGGGCAAATTCCCGAAATTTCGATCCCATTCGGCCTCGTTCATAATTTCGAATCTTATTTTTGAGTGAAAATCGCCAGAGAAGTTCAACGAAATCAAACTTCAAAAAAAAACATTCTTGATATTTTCTTATCGCGAATTTTAAATTCCGCATGCAAGTTTCTGAATGATAACGGGTTCAGTGGTGCAATAAATTAAATAGCTGCGAAAAGCGGTAAAAAATCATTGAAATTTGAAATATCAAACATCATTGAAATTAATATTTTCAATTGATTGTGTGAGTGTATTTTTTTTAGCGTTTCTCCATCATCGTTCCCGCCGTCTTCATGTTATTATTCTCCTCATGTACGCATTTTTCTGCCTTTGTCAAATGACAGCTCCAATTGGTTTATCTTTATCATGCATGTGCAATTCAACAGCAGTTGCTTTATTAGAATCAAAGTAAGATATGTGGTGGTTAATGCCAAATGGGACCTGCCGAAGATGCCAAAATAATTTACGGGCTGATCTCTTAAAAATGGCTATTGATTTTTTTTTTCATATTTTGCGGATATTTTTATGCCATTTCTAGTTCAAAAACTCAAACTTCGATTAAAATTAGGTTTTCAGTTGATATTATTTATATACATTTCCAACAGAAATTTTCAGACTTCGTTCTGAAAAAAATTAGCAGACTTGCAGGTAGGGATTTCTTCAGTCAATACAAAATTTTTCGTAGATTTTATGAGCTAATTAAAAAAAACCGTCAATGTAGTTGTAAACGACCTATGTTGATAGAGCAGCAACTTCTCATTAGTGATATTCCATGGAACCATAGAAAAATGAGACCATCAATTTTTAGAAATTGACCCGATTATCTATTTTGGCATTTTTGGCCCTATTTGGGATTTTCCGCATATATTTATTCATTTCTATCTAATCTTATGTTCAATTTCAGTAAAACTGTCTATCGATCGGTTGATTTGTTAGATATTTCTAGCACTGTGGACAACCAAAGTTGTACCTCTCTTCAAGGGAAAGTTGTGAAAGATTATGGGGTATGTTTTGTATGAAAATGTTTGAAAACACCTGATAATTCATACTCCAGGGGAATTTTGTTTGGTCGGTCAAAATGCAGGGATATGTGGTGTCCGCATTGTTCGTTGGAGGATTCATTATGGCGTATCCAGCTGGATTCATAGTCGATCGATACAGTGCTCGACACATGATGTCCTTATCCATCGGACTTCTTGTTTTTGCTTCTGTCATTTTTCCAACACTTGCTTCTTTTTTCGGACCATACGGAGCAATATTCTCTCGGTTCCTTATGGGTTTCAGCGAGGCTAGTGTCTTTGTATTCTATTTTTTACTTATATTAAAAAATTCAAATCAAACTTTTACTCATATACTATTTCTTTAAGGTAATGATGATACCTGCTTTAAACGCAGTTGTAACAAAATGGATCCCGTTACACGAAAAAAGCTTGGCTGCTTCCATGTTCACTGCCGGGAATCAAGTTGCTGGAATGACGGGAACTCCATTGGCAGCTGAGTTATGCGCGAGCTCTCTTGGTTGGCCGGCGATTTTCTACACCGGAGCCATGTTTGGAATTGTGTTTCTCATTTTATGGCATTTGACAGTTCGCAATTCGCCGAGCAGCACCAAATGGATCCACGAGAAGGAAATCGAGTATATCAAATATCATATTCCAACGAAAAGAAATTCGATCGATGCAGTGAAGAAATCGGTACCATGGAAAAGTATGCTGACTTCGCTTCCATTTTGGGCACTCATTGTAAATTCGTTTATGGGAAATATGATGATTGCTTTGATCTTCGTGTACATTCCAGTATATTTCAAAGATGTTCTGATGTTGGATGTTCAAGCGGTATTTCAAATTTTCTATTTCAATATGATATAACGTTTGCCTATCATTTCAGAATGGATTTTACAGCGCCATTCCTCATTTTTCAAATTTGATTTCAAAATTGATTTGGGGATATTTCATGGACAAATTGAGGCAGAAAAACGTTCTTTCAAACACAGCAACGGTTCGATTCTCGCAAGCAACAGGTATTTCAATGAGAGAGTTGACTTTTGTTTGAATACGTGATTTAGCAATGTTTGGAATATCGATTTCCTGCTTCTTTTTGAGATATATGGATTGCTCCACACCAATTTACTCACTTTTATTATTGAGCAGTGAGCTATTGTATAGCTTAATTCAATGAAAATCAGAGTGATTCAGGTGTTTCGGCATTCTTTGGTGTCTCGATTTCTGGATTTTATACATCACTTCTGTCCGTTGCACCATCGCATATTGGTGTGATCACAAGCATTTCAACTGTTATAGGTATTTCCGATAGCGAAGATAAAAAAAGTTTCGTATCTATTTTAGGTTTTATTGGTCGCATAATTATTCCTCAAATCATATCATATTTCAAAACTGTTGTAAGTACCAACTTCTGTTTGTTTCGAAGCTTATTCAACGCATTTTCTAGGGTACTATGGAAGAATGGGGTCAAGTATTTCTGATCTACGTGTTTGCTAGCTTCATATCAGCCTTGATTTTCGGGTTATTTGGATCTGGAGAAGTCCAAGAATGGGATTATTCAAAGACACATCCAGCCGCAGGCATCGCATTGAAAGCTCTTCAAGATGGACAAGAAGACGAAGATTTAGATATTTTAGATTAATCTAATAATTCCACGTGGAAATTTCACTTTGAAAACAAAATTCTATTCGGGTATGACCTTATAGTGAATGCTTTATCAGAAATAAATTAATATGAGCATTTGATGGGTACAATATGTACGTACTGTAAAAATTACATAAACTTGTAATTTTTGCAAAATTTTGGAAAATATGTCTAGGCGGAATGGCAAACGAGATTGGTCATTAGCTTTGTTGTGCTTCTGATTGTTGTAATTACTGCAACGAAGCCATCTTTTGATGTTGTTGTTGCTGCTTCTGATCTGCTGCATCGGCAGCAGCCTTCTCGAACAAACGCCCGAGTTGTTCATTCATTGGACCTGCAATCATCTAATGATATTTATCTTCTCAGTTTGTGTTTGTTTGAACTACATGCAAGTCGGTCAAAATACTTTTAAACGAATTGATTAACTAAATGTCTCAAAATTAAAAGGTGCAAAAAGTTAGTAACCAGGAAACGCAGCTTGATGATGTTGATATGGAATGTGCGGAGGCTGTCGTTGCAGTTGCGGACCATAGTTGAGATGGGTCACCGAGTTCTCAGCACTTTGTCGGACGGCTTTCACACCGCGATCGATGCCTGCAATTAGTGGGTTAGTTGTGTTGCACGTGTCGGGTTAGGAATGCAGATTGTCTCGAGTGCTTTTGTGCGATGTGCTATTTTGGGCATAAGAGAAACAAAGAGAGACCTTGTGTGTTCGTACCTGTCCTCAGTTGCTGCCATGTGTTGCGAAGCTGATTGCTCATCAATCTTACGTCTTGGTCAATTCCAGCTTCATCGAGGCTTGCCTGTAAAATTTTTTTGATAATTGAGAATTTCTGAAAAAAAGAAAGTTACCTTAAACTTTGCGACAACATCTTTGATTGCAGCAAGAAGTTCAGTGTTCGGCTAAAAATGATATATTTCAAAAAAATAATTAAATAATTTCAATTTTTCACAATCTTCAATGTAAACATTTTATGTGTGTTATTTATTTTAATGGGATCAACGCACTGCACTTACACCGTCAAACGCTTTTTGCAAATCTCTCGCAAAAATGTCAGTCTGTTTCTGCAAATCGAGATTATTGTTATAGATATTTGTCAATTTCGTTCTAGCAATTTCATTTTCGGCTACGATGAATGAGAGAGGTTTTAGGCATTCGAAAATGTGTTAAAACCCTTTGCTTTCACCATTCCCGAAATCACCACCACCATCGGGAAAAACACATCAAAAAGTGATTTGTGTTGAACAAATATTAGTCATCTTTTTGATGTGATTGGATCATTAAAAATGGAATAAAAAATGCTGATCAATAAGATCCAATTATCCCGAACACCAAATTAAAACCAAGCGATAGAAAAGAAATAGAAGAAAAGCGCCCACCAAAAGATATTCGAGAAGCAACATGCCTTTCGGATTGCGCGTCGTCATCGGCGCAGCGGTCGAATTCTCCGTGGAGGGTTTTTTAAATTTCAAAGGCTTCCAACTGTTGCCGACGATTATTGGCCTAAACGGACCAATCGTGGTAAGAGGTCTTCGTTCGCGGAACAAATCGCGCTCGTTCGAGTCGGCACTATGCCGGCATATATACCTTGGTGGTTTCGTTCCTTCTCGTGTCGTCGGGAGATCCTCGGTGGTCGTTATTTCTGTGGTTGTTGTCGTCGTACTGGCTTCAGTACTTCCAACTAGCTTTTCTGTGGTTTTTGTTGTTGGAGTTGTTGAAGTCTCTTCAACAACCATAGTAGCGGGGGTGGTAGAATGCTCTTCTTTAGTCGTTGGTGATCCCGTTGAGGTAGTTGTTGTGCTAGTAGCGATGGTTGTTGGAATTTCGCTAGTCGATCCTTTGTGGGTAACTTTCTTCCACATTTTCCACCCGCTTCTAGTTGTAGATTCGACCTTAGGATGAGGAAGAATTGTTGAATAAATGCTCTTCAAGCTCTTTGGCATTTTTTGAGTTGTGGTGGTTGTGGTTGGCTCAGTGGTCGTCTTGACAGTGCTTTTTGGTGTGATTCGTCGTGGAATTGGTTTTGGTGTTGTTGAAGCCAAAATTCTTGGAATCTTAGTAGACCATGGTTTTCTTCTCAAAAGAAGCTTATGATATCGTTTGAGAGCTGACGAATAGTTCATCTGAATGGAGAAACTTAAAAAATGATACTGTGAAGAGAAATCGTGGGTAGTGTTTGTGTGAGACAAATGAGAAACACGGACAATCGGCTCTCGGCTTACAGTTGATGATGATGCTTCTAGTTCTCGTGATGTGTGGAAAGGAACACAACAAACTTGAAACCAATTTATCAGTGAAGAACATAACAGTTAGGTGTACAATGAAAGAGCCGGATGAAATGAATCCTGATAAAATGGCTTCGTTGTAATGAGGAGCAAACAAAATAAATAAGGGGCAACCCATTTGTCGAAAACATGCACAAAACCGGGTGGTCGAGGGATATAAGCAAGAACTGTGATGGCTTCAAATATTGAATACTCGAAAGTCGCGAACAACCAAAATAAAATATACCAAAATCAGTTTTTATGGGTTTGTTGAGGGAAAAATTTCAGATAATTTGATTTAAATAAAAGTTAGTAAAAATTGAAGAAATCTTTTAAATGACTTTAAACCAATCAATTATAAATAGAATCATTAATCAAGTAGAACGATCATAAATAGAACAAATTAAAATTTACACACCTTATATAGTAAGTACTCTTTTTTCAGAATGTTTTTCATTAAATGTTAAATTTTTTAAATTTTAGCTTTTAACCATTTTAATAATTAATGCGAGGCCTTTTTAGAAACCCTACTATTATTTTTGTTTTGCATAAAATTAATTTAGGAAAAGATTTTTGATAGTTGCCCAATCAACGAATTGATTAACAAAATAGAGGGCTCGCATTTGATCATACCAGCGCGCAATCTGCTGTCGAGTTTCGACAATCGGCGCCAACGCGATCAGTTTTTTGACGCCGCGCAATTCGGGTGTGCTCATTGTTGTGCTACTCGTGGCGATGCGAACCACATTATAGGGACTCGCGCTATTGCTAGTGTACCAAACGGGACTCAACACACGACCCGGATGATGCTGTGGCAAACGGCGGTGATTGTGGTGCAATTGGTGCTGGTGCAGTTGGTGCCTACTCACGTCGGTTCCACTAGCTGATTGGCCTCCGTTCGCGGATGGGAATCGGCGATTTTGTAGTTGATTGAGTGAAGCTCCTGACGTCAATGCATTCAGATTCTCGTATGGTTGACGATTCTGATACGACGGATAGCTGAAATGATAGTCGGTGAATTAAATTGATATCCGAACTAATGTTTTAATTATTTTTTTTTCAGGGGGTTTCCGGTTCACTTCGTTTCATTATTTGATTCGGATTGTTTCCTTACTTTGCAAAATGATTGCTCTGAATTCCGGGTCTCTCATACGTTGGTTGTTCACGTCTTGTCTCATAAGTTGGCTCCATACGCTCATAATACGCCGGAGCTGCTTGTGGCACAGTCTGCGGTCTAGCTTGCTTCGACATCTGATACCACGCCGGGATGCCATCCATCGACTGTTCCGCTGGCGCCGCTTGCACATTGGCGGGAAGTGCCTGAACAGGCTGACGCTGTTGCGCAAACTGGGCTCCAACACATGCGATCACCGTAGAAACAAGAAGCAATCTTCTGAAATCAGTGAGTTGTTCAAATTCAAGAGGTCATGCTCTCAGACACTTATGTCGTTTTCATCTTGTCCAGTTTTTCGGGCAAAAATTCTCAAAAGTGGTGGGAGGGTTCGCGGAAAACAGGGTCATGATTGGGAGATTGTACAAATAGAAGCGGGTTGAGTGTTTGTGGTCAAATGTTAAAATGATTCATTATTGATGTATATTTAAAGTGGTATTTGTGGCCATTTTATAAATAGCCACGTTTTCTGATCTGTGCTATTTATAGAATAAAATATACCTAATAAAAGTTGGAATCAAGGGAAATTATTATTATGATAAAAATTCTATATTCTTTTATATACAAGAACCGCTATTGATGTGAATTGCATATAATTTCGTTGCGAAACTTTTAGGTTATCATCTTTACATAAAGAAGATCGTATGTAAATGATAATGATGACCCGATTCAGATACTTAAAAAAACCCCCATTAAACAATGTTTTAGATTTCATATATAAAATATATAATAGATTAATAAAACGAATAAATGAACATACCTGAACATGATGATTTGAGTTGGTCAGCGAGCTGCCCAACTTCTTCTTGAGACTTTAAAAAGTGAAAGTGAATTTGATGAAGGTGGGGTCAAGATTGTTTCGGACAACACACACTCTCACACTCACACAGGACACTCGAAAACGTCTCGGTCTTTATCTGCGCTCGCGCTTCGCCTCTTTTGTAGGCTCTCCGGAGAGCCGACGGCCGGCCCCGATGAAATAGCGCTCGTTGCGCGGAGCTTCGCGCGCTTCGTGATCTCGCCGCGTCCGCGAGACGCCGCTGCTGATGGTGCGAACACAAAAAAACGATCATCGCGCCGGTTTTGAGGTGCAAATGCGGTTTCAAAACACATCGTGTGCTCGAATTGGGACGGCGAGCAAAAATTTGAGTCAGGTTAAAGAATTACAAGGCACGTTTATAAAAAAGTCTATTGAAAATAAGAGAGGACAAAATATTTCCATTGGGATAATAAAAAACAAAATTTTTTTTTTTGATATTTTCTGTCAATAATATTAACATTTAATAGATAGTGGCTTATAATTGAATAAAAATAAATGTTGGATAAACAAAAACAACACTGTGGTTGTTTACAAATGTTGATGGTTTTGATCGCATCGGTTTCTTTTGGTTCTTTACCATCGCAAAAAACAAGAACCTTCGTCACTGTAGTTTAATTTTGCGATTAAAATCATCTTAATAATTAAAATGATTTTTCGTGATTTTTGGATAACAAAGTAACTTTTAGTTTTCAAGTTTTTTTTAAGCGAAAGTTAACAATAATGATGTTATAAAAAAACAAGCAATATTGTGAATCCTCGTATTTTTTGGGACAGTAATTCAAATTTCGATATAAATTTCGAGAATTCGGGTATCCAACTAAGTGTATATTATTTTTCGTGAACGTACTAAATAATTCTGTTGAAAGAATTGAAGAGAGATGTTTTTAGTGTCCCTTCTCGAATTATTTAACAGCTTGTGAACATTTCAATTTTTATTATTCCCTTTTGTATAAGCTTATTGGAATTAATGGTTCAACCAGAAATTGCTTGTCGATAGTCTTAAAAGGTGACAATTGGCGCTATTCGCGTTCATTGAGATCAGAGGACGAAAAAAATCTCCAAACGAATTTGAAAAACAAACAATTCGAAATGTCTTTTGTCTTTGTTATTATCACCTCCGACCCACTCTCGTTCGTTGTTTTTTTTTCAATTCATTCCGACCGAAATGATCACTGTCATTCATTTTTTCTGCAAAAAAAGTGAGCCGCGGGGCACACACTCCAAATATATCCAAATGAACAAACATGGACGGATGAGAATGGATACGAGGTTAAATATGATGGGATGAATTTTTAAATATGGTGGGAGGGATTTGACATTTCGAATTACCTGATAATCATTCAGAATAAATTTATAAACATCGAATTCGAATGTGACTACCGTATATGAAAGAATATGACCATCTGCTAAAACTCGTGTGTTCTCCATTGTTCTCCAATTAACAGTTTCACTCACCGACAAAGAGACCGCGAGCCGACAAAAGAGAGGCTACCGTAATCAGGGCGGTGCCAAGTGCACACCATTCTGTGCTCCAAATGCGTGCAATACAAAATCCGTACGAATCACAACGATTTTGCATTTGTACGCATTCAAAGCACATTTTGGCAATAACATGCCAGACGAATGTCTATTCCTCCTTTTATATCAGCAATTACCGTAGTCTCGAAATAGAAGAAGCCTTTGAATCATGCACACCTGCTGGATTAAAGAATACGGTAGCCATGCATCAATTTTGATCAATAATAATTATTGCTTCACAATTTTCAAACATTCCATTTTTTAATTTATCTTGTTGACACCTATGTATGTACAAATGAATGTATTTATTGGGTGTCTCATGTGAGTAATTTTTGACGGTTCCTTAACCCAATTTTGTTAATTTTTATGAATTTAAAGTTAATTGGTCATTTTAACCTCCAAAATTGACAAAATTATATGTATTTGGCAAATTTGAATTCTCAAACGCGTTTATTATTGAACGTATTTTTTTGTCCACACTATTGAAGTTTACGGTAATTTTTATTATAAATCAAAAGGCATTGATTTAAATTGCAAGGGATTCCAATCATTCCTCTAAACAAACAAACATCTATTTATCAATAAATTACCTTCAATTAAAGAAATAGAGTTTACGATTATGGAAAATTTGAAGATTTTCGAGTTAGGCCAACATTTTTCATTTTTCAAACGTTTTCTCAAAAATTGACATTTAATGAAACGTTGCTGCAAAATGATAGAAGATTTATCAAGTTTCAATTTCTTTATGGAAATTTCTAAAACATCATTTTCAAAGGATTTATTGATCAGCTGAAACGAAATGTGTGTAAAATTGTGTCTGCTTGTAAGCAGAAAAATAAAACGAGAAAAATACGACAGAACACGAGCGTTCCGAGCGTTGGAATTTTTCTTCTTCAAGATTTCGTTTTTTTTTAATATTGGGTTTTCTGATAATAGTTAAATGAAGCATGTATAGGAAATAAAAAATAAATGAAATTTGTACTGTCCATATTTCGCTATTTCTTTAAAATAAAAAAAAATGATTTTCGATATCTATAATTATGAAACATAACGAATAAAATTGAGAAATTTTCGTGAAATACACTGTCTTTGTTTGACAACTCTCATAAATATATTTTTTCTCGTTTGTTCTCAATTATTTGTATTTAACATATTTTCACGTTTTCGTTAATTTCTTTTCCATTATTTATTTTAGTTTCCATTATTTGAATGCGGTTGTTATTCATTTTGAGTCTATTTCAATCTACAGTCATTTCTCTCGGCATTTCGAATACGGTTAGTGTGCGAAAGAATAAACTAATGCAGATATTGGAGAAAAACTCAAAAAATAAACGGCTACAATTCGTTTTTATATTCGAAATCTGAATTGGGTTGTTTAAGCCAGTTTTTTGCACTTTCCATAGTATCATAATATGTATGAATGTTGTTTTTTTTTTTAATTTAGAAAATTGAATTTTGCGATGCATTTGGCATTACGAGCGAGAAATTGAATGGTACGACAATTGTGTTTGCTAAAAGCATGCACAAAAACTTTACGGAGGTTCTCTATAATAATTGTCATATCTGATTTGTTCGTTTTTATTTAGAAATCGGATGAAAATTATATCGAAAAGTTTATAAAGTGTTATACGAAATACAGCGGTGTTCAAATAATTTCATTAATATTTGGAGATGATTGTTATGTGAAATCTGTTGATAGTGAAACGAAAAGTTAAAATGTTTGTCGATGCTTCTCAAATTTGGTTTCAGAGCCACAAGAAATTCGAAGGAATAATCTTGCATTCGTTTCGTTTCAAATTGCACAAATTTGTGAGAAATCCGTCATTTACAAACAGATTGATTCGACTGTGGCGAATGGTTGTCGTTTTTGTGATTTCCGATCATTTTATCGAAATTTTTTTAGGAAATGTTTTAAATTTGAATATTGTTCGAGGTTGTGAGAATATTCGCGAATGCAAAGAGCACAATCAAAATTCAACAGCAATAACTCGTCCAGTTTATATTGATAAATCCCGAAAATATCACGGTAAACGCGATATTATCTTCTTTGTTTCACTTTACACTATTGACTTTTGCTTAAATTCAAAACTGAAATTGTTTTTAGAAACATTGGAAGTTGTTGCTTTGAATTCGGTTGATAATCTGACGTCGAATACTCACATCACTGGTCAGTATTTCAACTTGCTCGCAACTGGCAAACAGTATTTCTCATATTTTGATATCGAAGAAAATTCGTTTCGAATTGTTTAGACCTTTGCGTCCATTTTGGCCAACTCTCGCCGCTGTTCTCATCATTATATTCTTTTTCGTAACTGGTTTGCTCGCATGCGTCTACTCGTTACTCAGTTACGCTCTGATTGAAGAAGGTATACGGTAGCGGGCGGAGCAGGTGGAAGATGCTCGTGATTACTGTAGCTCAGCAGATGGTCAACCGCCATTTTGCAGATTTTCGAATGCGTAATGATGAGCGCGAGTGGTTGGCTGCGGTCGCCCGAAGACAGCAAATCCCTAGGAGTCCGATTGTGATTTTTAATGATGACGCTTCAACAGCGGTATTGAAGAAGATAAATACTTTATGAGTTGAATGCTTTAGACAGCAATTGGAGCGCCTAGTCGCACTTCTGTAGACTCAACTCAATTATCCGAAACGGTATGAAATTGGGTCATTGATTTCCGAGAGATATGAGATGTGTTGTAGTTTTTAGGAACCTCTTCTACACAGGCGTCCACATTAAGTGTCATTAAATGATTTCTATGAAATGTGAAATTTGAGAGTCAAGAAACCATATTTATAATAAACATTATTATGCTTTAAACCAGTAGTTTCAACGATTTCGAATATTCACGCATTTTGCGCATTTCTTCGAACTTTTCGACGAGTCGGAAATCGCCGAAGAAGCGCATTATTCGCGACTGCTGACATTTGTGCTGTAATTTATCATTTACTTATTTGGAATACTTCTATAGCGTATCAACCTTGTTGCATTTGTTGGTCTTCAATTGCTCTTTGTTGCGCTGACGCGAATTTCTCGACAATCATTGATATTGGAAATGCGAGAACAATGATTCCGCAGATCGATGTCGACGTTGCTACGAGTTTACCTACTAAAACTCAAAAAGTTCTCGTTTTTTTTTTTTAATTTTAAAAACTCACGTGTTGTTACGGGCTTCGCATCTCCATAGCCTACTGTTGCCATTGTCACCACGCACCACCAACAACCGGCAGGAATACTGTAGAAATCTGTGTGGGGTTCATCCTTTTCCAAATAATACATTATTGTGGAAAAGAACACAATTCCAGTTATCAAAAACATGCTCAGCATGCTCAGTTCGGTGATAGATGATTTCAATGTGTGGCCGAATGTCTGCAAAACGTTCGCTGAGGCAGTGCATCGATTAGATCGACCAACCTGCAGACTGGTGCTGTAGCGCGCTAGTTTGAACACTCTCGCCATTCGAAGAACTCGCAAAACGCGAACAACCAGCATTGCGCCTAAAAATATCTTGTTTCTCTTTTTGAATTGATAATTTTAAATGTTATTATAGTTTATTCCTTCATATAATTAATACTAATGTTATTAATTGATTATAATAAAAATCTAGGAAGAGTAAATAGTTTTTTGATTAGTAGTATTTAGTAAGTAAAAAAAGAAATATCAGAGAGATGCTTTTGAGTATTATTAGATTCAACTTCTCACCGAGAAATGGCCAACCGACATGATATCCTGTAACACCTTCACATTCTAACTATTTGATTATTCGAAACCAATATTGAGAAATGAAATTAAAATGTTTGAAAACTGTGAATCTCACCGGTGAATTCTTTCAATCTCGATTCAATTCCAAATAAGGGAAGACAAAGTTCGAGATAAAACGGAAGAATTGTCGAGAGATCAATGATATTCAATGTTTTCTTGATGAATTGCTTCTTTCTCGGATAAATGATAAATCTGAAAAAAAGAAGACATAATTGATTTGATTGAAATATTCGAAAATACCTTATTAAATATTCGAATGTGAACCAAGAAATGCACACATATTCGAGAATAGTGAGGGGTAAATTTGGCGAATCAGTTGGTTTGTAGACAAAATCCGACGGAAGAATCGGGGTTTCAGTCGCATCAAATTTGTTTCCTGGAAATTGGCATTTGAATCAATTTTTTTGGAGAATAGTAAACCTTCGTTGGCTTTGCTTCGAACATGCATTAAATGATAAGCAGCCGCATTTGAGGAATCCATTTGAAATTCAGGCATCGAACCGAGAATTAATCCAACAACCGAAGCGAATACAAAGAAAACGGAGAGAAGTGCGAATACGGCAGCCATCAGAGAGGATTGTGGATCTTCAAGAAATTTCCAGATGGCTAGTCGAGCATCGCACAGGATGGCACCATCAAAGTCGGCGAGAAAATCGTCTTCATTGAACGAATGTCCTCGTGAGACTTTGCGGCAATTCTCGTTTGGAAGTTGGCAGCACGCTGACAGCTGATCCGGTCCGATTTTCCAGAACTCGAGCTCTTCTTTAAACCTTTCCAGACACACATTTTGTGGTTTATGAAGACTCCCTGAGACACATTCTTCAATTTTATCGAACATTTCGGTGCCTACCAGTGACAAAAAAGTCCATAACATGATCAACAAGCTTTGTGTTTCTTTCCAAATAATATTCTCCGGTTTTTTCGTCGAATCCATCAACCATTGTCAGCCTGCAATTAGACTGCCATTTATGGTCTCAAACGCCTAACAACAATACCTTTTCTCGTGTGACGAATCGAGTAATTCGTGCATTTTCGTCCATTCGGTTGTATATAATTCGACACGAACAAGATACGATTTTCCGCCGACATTGAGCCGCATATACGTGTCTGATGCGCCTGAAAATAATGCGGATCGCATTTCAAAATGACGAGAAAATTTGGAGAAGAAGAAGAAGGAAAAGAAGAATGAACAACACACGAGATGAGCATTTCTATTTAGAGACGACCAACCTGATTCGTTTAAATCGGAGTTGGGACCCGAAATCGGAGCCGGGGTGAATGCGACACGTCTGCTCATGCTCGCCGCAGCGGCCGCAGCCTGCTCTTCTGCTTGAAGACGCTGCAATTTATCGAATAAGAAAACAAGTCGAGACGACCCTAATTATGTTTTATGTCTTTCCACAAAATACCATTTTATTTTCTTGTGTTGATTTTGATACTGAAAGGTCATAGAAAACTATTAAAAGATGCTTCTGGATGTACGCATTGATTTTCCACGTTCTATTTTCAAAAAAATATGAATGAAAAATAAAACTTAAGCGAATTTTTATGAAATTAAAATTTTTTAAAATGACATTTCATGTTCAAGATATCAAGATTACAGGAGCATCAAATTTTCTTGAAATAATACAACATTTTTGAACTATTTTTGTCGCTCCGTTGAATTTTCAATCAATTAGACAAATAATTCATGATTCAGAGAAACTAATTTTCAAGAAAACCTATTCATAGGACATTTTCAGATTCACAAGCACGCAAATCGGATTAATATTCTGAATAGTTTGGAGCATAAAAATAAGAATAGAAATTGAAAGAAAAACGAGAGAAGTAGAGAGACTTCATAACCTTCTGCGAGATTCTCGAAGGTCTGTCGAAATTGTTTTTCGAAATTTTAAATTAAACGTAATACAATATTTGGGAGTACACATTTAGTAAAAAATCGCGATTTATGAATAAAAGAACGATTGGAAAGTCAAAAAGAAAAACACGTGGTTTGTCTGAGAAACACGCGAAATCGTTGAATACTTCTTTATTATCGTGAAAAAAAAAACATGGTCAAGAAAGGTAATAAAGGCTTTGGGAAAATGTGTATTTTTTGTTTTTTTTTTTGAGCGCATAAAAGTGAAAAAATATGGATGAATTCACAGGCAAGCGATATATAAAAAAGCCGGTGAAAAACTTGTGACCTTTTTCCGCACGAGAGAGCAAAATGGAAACTTCTCGAGAGTATCGCGAATCACTCCTTTTTATTCTTTCTCTTCTCACTTTATTCAATTTTCGATTCGTTCGTCAAAAATTGTTCAAGTGATATTTAAAGTGAAAAAAAGACAACAGTATTATATATATATGTATATGCTCAGGCGATGAGTGGATTTATATGCAGAATACTATTGGGATATTTTTTGTCACGCATGTTTTATGGGATTATTTTATTCGAGAAGATTTCTGGTTGGCCGCGAATGAATATGATATGAATTATTCCCACCAACTCCTATTATTCTCCTAATATGTATATGCAAAAATCTTAGTATGAGAGAAATGATTTGAATCTGCTGATTCTTGCCTTGTTTGTTCAAACCTTTCAGATAAAATTTAATATGTTTTGAAGATTAGCGTGCTAAAACGATTGATATTCACGCGTTTCATATCAAAATATTACTTGACTTTCATTTAATCTTGATTATGAATATTTAGTTATTTTGAATTTTCAAAAGTTGTCATCAAGTGAAATGGGCGTAAAGCATTGGGCATATCGACGCAGATGTGTATGTAGTTTCCACTGTGGAAGCATTATGTCGTCACAGGAGCCTGGATCGTGCGCAAACCCTACATTCATATGCCTGGGATGAAACAATGTGGAAACATGTGACATACGAGGATGTTCCATGGAAATTCCGTGAGGATTGTACGTATGGTATATGTAAGTATGGATCACATGTGGATGTGGTATATGGATCATATGTGGATGACATATAGGGGCCTGATGCCAATTGGTCAGATTTTTCTAAGAGTTTCATTCGAAAAATAAATGAGTCTTACCTTACAATGAATTCCTCCCATAGAATTCACGAATGAGTAGAACTATCCACAACCAAATAAGCCAAAATAGAACTCATAAATGCTCTTATGTTTTATGGTGTTTGACGTTTTTGGTGGATTTTTTACGAGCTACACTTATTACAAGCAAACCCAAATTTTCCTAAAAGTGTTTTTTTTTGATAATTATAACATTTATAAAAAATTGACAATAGAAGTTTCGAATGCTGCTGACATCGGACGGGAAATTGGCTCAATGCCAAAAAAAACAATAGCAGAGGTCTTTTAGCAAATTTAAAAGTGTAGATTTACGAGGCAAGCATTAAGACAGGTTAAAAGCGCACAACAAAAGAGAGTGTTGTTAAACTTTTGGCATTTCGCCAATTTTTCGTAGTCTCGCGACGACGACAATATAAAATTTGGTCATAAATGATTTCAAAACCAAGCGAATATGTATATGCGAAACGATTAACCGTCTCAGTTAATCGATTATGACTAAATTTTGGAATCTAATTAAAATAATCCGATTTACGATGAAAGAAATAAACTTTGAAATCAGGCGATTTCAGCGAAAGTTTTGCTGCTTTGAAAATAAGCAAGATGAAGCCCGTCGATTATGAGAACTTGACATCAAAAAATTGTATTTATAATATATTTTTAACCACAAATTTTGGGTCTAAACATTCACATATTTGAGCCAGCAACACGAGATCCTATCTTTATGATTATTCGGCCCGAATTGCGAGCTTGACTCGAGGATGGCGCTTCATATTCTACTATACAAGGAGAAGGTTCACATTCAATTTTGCAGGGGTTGTGTTTTTACATTATTCTAAATTATTGCGACATAATTTATAAACTCGAACTCACAAGATATTTTTGAACACACGAATTGAATTGTGAATCGAACAGATTAATAGAAGCATATGTTCAAGAAACCCCGCGAAAGGGGTTTTGAATCAACTAATCTTACCTCGACTTGCTGCTCAATACTTAATAAATGGCGATTAAAGTCTACATGATTCGGACAATGACGATGATAGACTTGATGATATTTGGTCCTCACCTGCGAGGCGCACGTCCTTTTCAAACGATACGAGAGCATTGTCGTCGTCTCGTTTAAAGAACGCCGCCGTCGATTTTTTCGTGACCGCTTCCCCCCGTTTTGACTTCGTCGTTGGTATTGAGGCAGACGAAATAGTATGTGAATCGATGAGAGAATTGTGAGAGCCTCTGACACAGGTATTATTTAGTAGACGGGCCGAATATAATCAGTGATAAATTGACATTGAAATAGCGGTTTGAACGATGAGAGACGAGAATAATAATGAGGGGATTGAGCAACAAATTTTTGAGAAAAGCCGCTCGATATGTTCACATTATTTGTTTATTTTTCGAAATTCTCCGTCTGAAAAAAAAAAGAAAAAAATATGAAGTTTCGAATATGAGTTTTCTTAATGAATCTAGCAAAGTGTTTTATAATTCGAAAAAAAAAACGCATGGCGAATGCGATATTCAAAAGGTTTCCGAATTTGAAGCACTTGCAAATATCAGATATTGTCGTTAAAAATATTAAAAGATATTCTAAAAATTGAAAAACGTTGGCTATAATTTCACACGGAATTTGCTGGCAAATTATTTCAAAAATGTGAAAAAAATTATTAAAAGAAGAAAAAACACACTGCGTAATCCTGTTCAAGTGAAACACTTCTTTCTCATCGTCTAACTTTAAAAGGAATGAAAAAATATATATCTAAATTGAGAAAAGAGCTACCAATCTAGCATAATATGTATGTCTAATCGATCAAAAGTGCTTACTCGCTTAAAAAAAAAGAAAATGATATGAAATCGAATTAAATGCGGAAAAAGCTGAGGAATTGTGAATGAAAATTGAGATATTTGTTGAAATATGTAAATCGGCAATTAATGCCTCTTCGCTTGCCTATTTCCAATTCTCCTGTGTATTTCTTATGTGCTGGGAAAATTAATATGACGAACAGCTGAATATGCGAGAATATGTACTTTCGCACGCTCTCTCAACGAATTCCATGGGTTTAAAAGGAAGTTGAAAAATATGATGAGAAACAACAATAAATCTCGATGGTGAAAATTTGCAAATTTCAAATCGACTAATTTTCGATTTGTATGACTTCCACATTAAAAAAAAAGTGATTTCGCTTGGCAACATTTTCACTTTGTGTATGAATTAAATTGAACGTTTCATGATGAACTTGTAAATTATGAATTTTTCATCTATTGATTATGAAAAAAAAAACACAGCTCTCAAGAAGTTATTTTTTGTGCTAGTCTTCATTTGGTTAATTGTATTCATTTCATCTTGTCAATATTTTCATATACACTACTTACCCCCCATTGGACGATTTTGCGGATCTGACGGAACGAGTTCTGCCGACGTTGCGATCGTCTAGTTCGGGCGAGCATTGCGAAGAAATGATGCGCATCTTCACTCGACAACCTTTTGTATAATCCTTTTTCTCAAGTGGCTTGATTCAAATTGAAAATTTCTTATTTCTTGATTTTTTTTTGGAATTTCCGATTTTCTATCTTCCATGCATGCCATATTTTCATTAGAAAATTTTGAAAACTTTATCAGAAATCATTGATTAGAATCAATTTTTTTTTGAAAAAAAAAACAACTTATTTGATTAAATATATTTTTGTCGGACGAATTAAATTTAGAAGTTGCATATATAATTTGAGAATTAAAATTTGTCAAAACCAAATGAATAGGAAATTTCAATCTCAGAATTTTTGAATCGAATTGACTAAATGCATATAGTTGAAGACGGACAAATTTAAGATAATGATTAAAATTTTAGAGCCAAGGTCTTGGCAAGACGACACCCTTGAAATCATTTTCAATTTGATCTACAGCTGTTGGAAATGCATGGAAAATTACAGTAATTAAAGGTGTTGGAAAACATATGTACATTTCGCTCTAAGATTGAAAATTTTTAAAGTCGTTCGACTATTCTGTTGTGAAATTCGTCCGTCTTCGACAATACATTCATTTCGGGCGATATTTCAAGCAGTGTTAATTAATGACATTTTCGACGACGATTCTGAGCCAGCTAGCATCTCGGCAGAATGAAATATGCTCTTCTGTTTTTTAATAGTCTCGATTGCGTCGTCCAGCGATTTGTAGCTTCGCTTCAGACTTGGTTGAGGGTTCTCATCACGACGAAGAAGCTGAAAATCAACAAAATTTACGAACATTTTTCGGAGCACATAAAAATAAGAACCTTGAGTTCCTTGCGAGTTATTGTGGCTGGTAATTGGACAGTAAAGGCAACAGGACCATTGGAAACACTGTAAATTTTTTATAAATTCAAGCATTTTCATAACTGTGTGAAAACCTTTGTCTATAAGTGTCTCTTCCAGATGGAATTACAGTTGATTGCAATTTTATAGTAGTTGGCGAAAGTTGACATTCTGGAAAAAAGATTGCGTCTCGTCAAGAAAAAATCCGTTGATTCCATCGCTTTTGCTACATTTCTACTCAATTTTCCTATCAATCTCGAATTCGCCCCTTTTCATTTAGCAGGTAGGTTGAAAGTGCATTGATATCACATCGCGAAAATGAGAAAAATAAAAAGAGATAGGCGCGAAACCAATCCGGTTACGGACCATAAATTTCGCGGTGTTTATTGCCGACAAATTGACATTGCTCGTGTCTCTCGGATTCCAGCACTCTTGTCGGCGGCGGCGACGAAAAAAAAATACTGACCCACGGCAAAAGTCTCGAGGGACGCTCTTGATGTTGAGCACAAATTTGTTGGTTGATTAATTGTCTCGATTTGCGAGAAACAACGAGGAGGTGATGATGACGAGCAAGATTTCATTTCTTAATGCGATCTGCTAGTGGTCTCGAGAGGAATCAAAAATGAATTTGTCGAGTTGTTCGAATTCCAATTCATCAGAATAGATGAAATCGGGGAGAAAACTGCCAAGTGGGACATTTTAAAGCGCACGATGTGAACGGATCGCCAATATCAACTGAACGTTGAGTAAAATGTTCCGAAATTCCACATCGATCCCCAAATTCTTTGTTTCGTTCGTTTTTGTTCGGCAATTTACAAAGGATAAATCTTCGCAAAAGGTTCCCATGCTTATCGTTGTCCAATTTACAAGTCCATATTTCAAATTTTCCGGCAAACCCCGCCGATGCGCAACACATGCCTCACCGAATGACATTTCAAAGAGACGGAACGGATTACTGTAGATTGGGCATTGCGATGAGGGACGGGATGAAGGACACGAAAATCAACAAGGACGGTTACAACGAACCCGTGTTGGATGAGTTTGACGAGCTCGGTACCACCGACTCCGCCGAATGCTTGAGTTGTCGCTCGATTTGATCTAGAGCCCGACGTTTCGTATTCAAGGCACACAACGAGCATCTAGATAAAAATCGATCGGAATTTGAAATTATAATTGATCACTTACGGACATGTTCTATAAGGACACTTTTGTTTATGACCTTTTTTGGGTTGATTGAAAATTCCATGATTGGCGCATAATTGGCACATGTATTGCTCCTTCGGCATCTTGTTTTAATGATTATAATAATTATTATTGTTACGCGAAATTCGAATAATTTTCGAGCGATGTATTATATCAATAGCGGAATCATTGATAGAAAATAAGGTAATTTTTTAATGAATAAGAATTAATACTATTCATATGGTTTCCGAAGTTTCCACCTCGTTGGATTTCAATGAAATTCTTCATTACAAATGTGATATATTGTGTTAAAATTAAAAATAAATGGTTAATCAATTGAAGGATGTTCACAAAAAAAAAACGGTGGAATTGGACTATAAATAAATGAAAACAAGAACAAACTGAGAGAACTTTTGAACGTTCGTTCATTTCGTCCGAAAAATTATGAGGGCGTGGTGTGTTGTAAACCGTGTTTCGGACCAATCAGCGGCGCTGCCAAATAAAGGGGGCGTGGCATATATATTCCAATTTGACAAATGGCGATCGTTTGCACTCACTCGAACACCAGCACAAATTGTTTTTTCTTCTCTTTGCCGAAGACGACGACGACAGAAAAACGGAAAACTAGAGCCATAAAATATGGATTTCGAATCTCGGTTCTTCACGTATTTCTTCTGTGTGAGCGGTGAAAAATTGGTTGGAGGTGCAAAGAATTTTTGCGGCTCTTCCACCGGTTTATGAACGACAAGGTATTATTAGTAGGTGACATATTGTCACGGGATTTCGCTACGAAATTCCGAGAATGTCTGGTCGGCTCGCAACGGTTCACAATGATCTTCTGCATAGTCTAATTCTATCGGGGGATATTGCAGAATATTGACATTTTAATATGAAGCTGAAATTGAATAAACTGTTTAATTAGTTAATAATGCTTTTGAGGCAATTAACATTTGTTTTTAAATTTTCAATACAGTTTGAATTTTCGAATTACCGCCAAACGAGAACATCAATTCTTCAATATTTGTGTGAATTCTGTTCAATTTTTTCAGGATCTCTAATCTGATTCTTCATAATTAATATGCATGCGAAACCGTGCTCATAAATAATCCAAGTGCAAATCAATCAGAGTAATTGCCGATGAAATTCGTTGCCAATTTGTTTTTTGTCGCCCTAACACTCTTCAATTGTCCTCCTACTCGCTGTCGTCGTCGCCTCGAACCACCTTCATAAATCTGCTAACAAATGTTCATATTTCAATCTGTCGTACGCAAATAGTTCGCAAATCGTTGCGAGACGCAGACGCCTGCCTGTTTCGCTAATTAATATTCCACACCAATATTTTGTGGTGACACGAGCTGTTTTTTTGGAGGGTTCCTGTTAGAATCGGATGAATTCAACTAAGCAAGCATTTCCTGGTCGCCGATGAAGAATTATTTGAATTTGAAAGAAACAAGTTCACAATTCTCTTGAAAAGTACCTATTGACTTAGAAAATAGTTAGTTCAGAAGAATTCTGGAGGCTCACAATAGGTTTTTTTCATTAGGATTTTATTGAATTTCTTATCGCAAACTTTCCACACGCAAAAAATTTCAAAAAATCGTTTTGATAACTATATTCCAATCATTCCGAAACTGTACGGTATCAACTGTTTTCTCAAGATTCGAATCAGCGATGGCTTTGAGTTGAATCCTACTGGGAAACGAAGCCTTCGAAATTTTGTCGTCTGCTGTCCTATGGTAATTCGTGCTAGGCGTGTCACCCAATTCAAAATCATCGAGAATTCGTTTTCAAGTCAAAACGTATAAACTATTATTCAATTCCGCATACATATTTATGCGGAAATTGACCATTTGGATTCAGATTGACATGTCGACATCACCTGTGACTCAACGCCTTCCACACTATTTCGCGCGGAATTTTGGCCTTGAATCAAAAAATGGAATTTAAGCGCTTCTCGTCACCTCTTTGAACGCCAATCGTATATGACCACAAACTGTTCAAACAGAAATTGTCTGGGAAAGGAGGCAGTTGATATCTATAAAGTCAATTGGATTGCAATGAGTCTGATTGAGTTCAAATAGATCGTCTCAAAATGAGATTCCAAAATAAAAAAAATGATACTCCAAAATGAAAATTAATTATTTGGAAAACGAACAATTCCAAACGTTTGCTTTCTTGCCGTTAAGGAGGGTTTTTTTCTAATTTTCATTTATCTGGAAATTCAATTAATTGGATTTGTTCAATCACGGTAAAATATTGATCCCTTTCAAAAAAACCATTTATAAAGATTTCACCTTTAAATGAATGTGCGAGATCTCAAATTTAGAAATAGTTGTAATACAACGGAAATTAAACAGGGTTTATTGAATATTTACGAAAAATTAAAAAAAAATGTTAAAGTCATGCACAATTAAATGGATTAAAAGTATTTTCTTTTCAGACTTATTGCGTCCAACGCAGAGATATTCAATGATTTGCGATTCAAATCGTATAATATCACATTTGGAATTAAACTGTTGTATTATCATCGCAAAAAACGAGCGCCTTGCTCTTTTTCGAGGCAGTAATTCAATTTTCGATTTAAAAAGAGGAAATTTGGCTACCGTACTCTGGATAACCTGCGAAGCAGAGCTGCACGGAACTTTTCTTCTAAAAAAAAGAACTAATTTTCTAAAAACCGAAGACGGAAGGCGAAACAAAAAATTTAAAAAAAAACTTTTACGGAATATGGAAAAAGGAACGATTTTTTTATTTTACGGAATACGGAACACAAACTTAATCTAATTCGAATACTTTAAAATTAACGGTGCAGAATGTGAGATTTTCCAAGTGCTCATTCGGCAAGGACCTTCTTTTTGTCGAACAATTTTTTTTCTGGTTGTGCTAAAAACCCTCTTTGATTCGCTAGACTTGCTAGGTATTGAGAGATATCTCAAGCGGAACACGGAACAGGAAAATGTTACGGAAAACGGAAGACGGAATTCCGTGCTGCTCTTCTGCGAAGCTAACTCCCCGTAAATAGGCGTAGAGTGCTCGTTTTTAGCTAATGTAATACATTTTCATTATCTTTCGTACATTTTTTTTGAGAATATTAAAAAGAACTCTAATGAGCAGCAGGAAGTTTTGGCCTTGATTTCTGAATTCTACACGTTGTTTTTTTTTTCTCTTTTTTCTTCATCATGCTTTTTTCGACAAAATTACTCATCATTCGAATGCAAATGGCAATATTTAGTGTCATCACTCTGCGATAAGAATGCGTCGATTTTGAGAAAATCGCAGCCGACTGCAAATGCGCAATTTTGTGTGCAAATGAGACGGCGACTAACGATAATTATGCGCGTCGCCTATTTTGTGCACATTTCTTCGGCATTCATCAATTTTTTCTGTTCACTGTAATATGTTTCTTACTCGACTTTTCCAATCATTTTGACGTGCATCTTGTTGTTTTTGATTGATTCGTACCACCATCATTTGGAATGCAAATTTTAGACGCCCAAAATAATTTTTTCCCACACTTTACGTTGTGTCTTTGTTTGGTTTTGTAAAGCTACTAGCAAAACAACAAATTTGCGCACTGTTTCCCATTTTATATTGAAGGTCTCTTCATTTTTCTAAAAAAAAAACGAATTGAATTGTCGAATAGCAAATCTAACATTCGGATGATGCCATTAAAAAGGCAACGTCCCTTTTTTCTAAAGAAAACATCTGCTGCTAACTTAGAACTCAAACATCCTAAGATTTTCCGAAAGTAGAAATATGTGCAGATTACTTTATTTGTCATACAAATACAAGATGGAAACGTGCTTTTGGGACCACTGAAAAGCTTCGGGAAAAGCGACGAAACGCTGTTTGCAACAAGTTTCCCACGGGATTTTGCCTGTTCAAACTTGGGGTCCTTCCTTTTCATTCCACACCACACTTCACATTTTGAATTTGTTCGATGTCAGATACGTGAATTTGTCATATTTCTTGAAAAGCGCTGATCCAAATTACACATTATGCATGTTGCTTTTACAGCCCTTATTTTTTTTCCAAAATTTTACAAATACGATTTTTAGTCTTAGACTGGAATAATTCGATACCTCTCATATTTCAAATCAATATAAAAATCTACTTGAGCACATTTGAAGTACCATCAAGCTGTGCTCGATGATATTATTAATTATGCTTATGTTCTGAAAATTGTAAGTTTGACTAATTCCTGAATATACTGTCATTTTCTCGATATTTAAGCGAAAAATATAAAATTCCTGGATAGACTACAGACTTGAGGCATCCTCTTTTTGATGAAATGATGATTTGGAAAAAAATTGTGCGAGGTCCGACAAATCTAATTTTGGCACCCATTTTTCCTTTTCTGGACTTCATGTTCAACTTATCCTCTTTTTTATTACAAATCTCGTATCGTGAGCATAAATGACTGAAGAGATTCTTTGCAATTCAATCTAATCATTTCTAACAATTTTGTTTTAATCTTTATCTTTTCGATACTTAAAACACCTGGCTCTTCCAGTATTTAAATTGTTCGACTCATTTTCCTTTTTAATCACCGCAGGATGAGTTTCTATTAATTCCCGCACGACTCACCCGGTTCCCGGAATCTCAAAACAATTTTCTGCTAGAGTTTTATGAAACAAAAAAATTATTCGAGTAAAATCGAATAGAGTTCACAAAGCGAGGAGATTTCTTTATGAATATCGTTTTGAAGAATGGTGATTAATTTCGACGATGAATTATTTCTGCTGGTGAAACGATGAACAATTATTATGCAATGTTTCACATTTATATCTAAAAGATATGTATATAATGAAATTCGAATTTGACAGCTTCACCAGATCACCATTGGGTGTTACCGTGGTGTGAATATTTGATAAATTTCGTCTACAATATACATATTTATATATTATTTCGGTTTTTATTTCAATTGATAAAAATTTCATTAAATTTTCTTAAAAATTGTTGAAATTTTCAATGAGATCACAGTTTTCCTTAAAATATCGACATCGGATTGACTTTCTCAGGGAATTTTTCGCGAGTTCGCCCGGGGTCGAGGGGCGAACGCGCCCGGTGTGCGGGGCGAGTTCGGCCCGTACTCGCTGCGAACTCGCCCCGCACACCGGGCGAGCTCGCCCCTCGACCCGGGCGAGTTCGCCCCTCAACCCGGGCGCGTTCGCCCTTCTTCTCAAGCGAGTTCACCCCACACACCGGGCGAGTTCGCCCTTCGCATGTCTCACCATATATATATACCATACCATATATATATATATATCCACATATATATATATCCACCATATATATATATATATATATATATATATATATATATATATATATATATATATATATATATATATATAGTGGATATATATATATAGTGGATATATATATATATATGGTATGGTATATATATAGGTGAGAATGCGAAGGGCGAACTCGCCCGGTGTGTGGGGTGAACTCGCTTGAGAAGAAGGGCGAACGCGCCCGGGTTGAGGGGCGAACTCGCCCGGGTCGAGGGGCGAGCTCGCCCGGTGGCGGGGCGAGTTCGCAGCGAGACGCCCAACACACCGGGCGAGCTCGCCCCTCGACCCGGGCGAGTTCGCCCCTCAACCCGGGCGCGTTCGCCCTTCTTCTCAAGCGAGTTCACCCCACACACCGGGCGAGTTCGCCCTTCGCATGTCTCACCATATATATATACCATACCATATATATATATATATCCACATATATATATATCCACCATATATATATATATATATATATATATATATATATATATATATATATATATATATATATATATATATATATATATATATATATATATATATATATATATATATATATATATTATATATATATATATATATATATATATATAAGCATACGTATCGATATATTTTTATTAAAAAACAAGATTATTAACACACAACAATAAAACATAGAAAAAAAAATTAATTAAATAAATAAATGAAATAAACAATGCAATTTTAAAGATTTTGAGATCTTTTCATTATAACGACACTAAATTAGTTAATTGTTGAAAATCTCATAAAAACGATCAATGATGAATGAAATGAACATCACAACACTTTTAGAGAAAACAACTAATAAATTACGGGCTTCATCCGTTTAAACAACTCAATTTTTTTTAATTTGAACCTGACAGGTCTAGTGACTGCCGAGAATACTTTGCCACATAGACAATTACTTTTGAATTTCGATCACGAGTTTCAAACCAGAAATATGATTAGTAAAAAACACTATTTAATAATCAATTACCGTGAATATTGGAGGCGGTCCTGTTAGAATTTCCATCAATCTATCTAGCCTCTCGCAATTCTTCATTGACATTTTCGTTTTCAGGACAAATTCAACATAGGACTTCAATCGAAAATCTTAACAAAATTTTTTTTTAACAATGCGTGATGATCGTGAAACATTTCGCGAAAAAGTTGGGTAAAACTTTATCACCGGGAAAGTTTTTGCACATCTCATGTGTACATTATTACCGCTGTATTGCAGCAGAAAAAAGCAACAAATTGATTCGTTATCAAAATAAGTGCAATTATTTCATATACTCACCGGTTTCATCATAAATGTCTTCTACTTTGTACGACATCTGGTGCATCTGCGGCTCGTTTTCATCATTATTCTTTGGTTTATCTTCGCTCTCTACTTCGTTTAAACATCCGCTGCTATCATCTAAAGATTAAAACATTTCCAACCATATTCTGTTTATATGTAGATTGTTTACCTTCATCAAATCTCTCAATTTCTTTGGCGCAAAAGTTATCTTGCTCTTCGCAGATTTTCAGGACATCGTTAGCGTCCGTTTCTTCATTAAGTTCCAGAAGAACTTCCTTCTGGATTTTCAGCCAATTTTCTGAAATTTGTCATTTTTTTGCTACATCATAATATCTTACTTGTGTAGTTTTTCCTTCTACTATGTTTGTCCATTTAAAAAAGTGGCTACGCTGAAAAAAATGTTAATTAAAAACAAAAACGCTGCAAAACGAATTTTTAAGAACGAAATTAATATTCAACGAATGATTTTTTAAACAACGATTGTTTACTTCAATTTTAAATAAGCCTGTTATGTTTCATTTTACAGAAAAAATTAAATTACGAAGAAAAATGGAGAAAAAAAGAGAAAAAAAAATTTAAATTGCATGAGAAGTAGCAGGTATTCAATGGGGCGCATTTGCATTTCGGCATGTGTAACCTTGAGGCGGGTTCGCGGTGAGCTCGCGGTGGAGGGGCGAGCTCGGGGCGAAAGGGGCGAGCTTGGCGCGAGCTCGCGGTGAAAGGGGCGAGCTTCGGGCGCGTTCGCCCCTCGACCCCGGGCGAACTCGCGAAAAATTCCCTGAGTTATGCAAAAAAAAATTGAATTTAATTGAATCTAATGAGAAATAGAGAAGGATGGGTTTTTTGTTGCACAAAATAGGAAATAAACTATTATTTTCTAGTTTGCATCAATTCCGCATATGCATTTTTTCATTCTCAAATATGATGTGCACAAACACTCGCATATCTATATTTGACAAGAAACGCAACATCTCATATTTTCTATAGTTTTCATTCATTATTCATATGTGTATATATTTTGTTAGCTTCAATTTTTTTTTTTGAAAATATGTCTCGATTTTTTCTCTTATAACCAAAACCAAACCGACACAAAAATAAGTCAAACAAATCGTTTATAACCGACCGAATAACAATTAAGATTCGATGTGCACATATTTGTTGTGTTTTTGACATAAAAGCTTCATCCATTCTTTCTTTTTTCTTTTCTTTCTGCCTATTCTAACCGAGCTAATTATCGACATCCCATGACGTGAATGTTTCGGTTTTTTAAATCTGATTTCGAGTCAACATTATTTTGTTTTAATCTATTCTCTATTCTATTTTCCGCCAAACTGGATTAACAGAACTATAAAGGTACGAAAACCAGAGAACATTTTGCGTCTCATTCTGAATGGTCTTATGATAATTCATAAAATCCTATTGAATTTTATAGCAGCTTCTTCTACTTTCTGTTTGTTTATCAGCGAAATTTAGGAGAGTTCGCTGATAGCGGGCGGTTCCGCCCTGAATCGGCGCATGCTCGCCACGACGCTCTTCCGAAAAGGGCAAGTTGTGGGCGACCCCTGGGCAATTCGTCTCTAACATAAGCCTCAGGGCGAATTGCTCCAAAATTCGCCGAATTGAAAAGGGTTTACGAAAAATTGTGACTTTCGTCAAAGGCTTTGAAGTTCAGGATTCCCAAATTTCGGTAGACCTCGGGTTTTCAATTTTTTTTAATTTGTCGTGAAATTATTGAATAAAAAAGAGTCATGCCTATTTTTGGCACCAAAACATCTCGTGTCTGATTGAATAAACTCGCAAACGTGACACAATTTGTCACCCTCAAAATCTAGTTTTGAATTTCGAATATTTTTCTGGTGTTCGAATGCCGAACAAGACATCACGTCATGCACTTTTTGAAATTTCCCTCAGAAATCTCTTCATTGTGCTTCAGATAAAGGAATACATTGGCATAATGCAATAAGTTTTCGGAAAAATCTCTAATGCATTTCCAAAAAAATGAATAGTTTTTTTGAAATTCGATGCGCATTTCCGTTCGCCGCATTTCATTCGATTTTTTTATCCTTTTTGAAACCAAGGTTTTCGAAATTTATTCTTAAATTCTTAAAACCGATTCGTTGTCCTTTATGTGCATATATCAAATGAACTGAGGCCGCCCTTTCCGAATGGCGATATGTTGATCCGGAAAAGATTTCTTCACTCATTTAAAAAAGTACAACATGATTGTTTTAGAACCCTTTTTACCAAATGTTTGAATAGAAAACGAGCCATGATAATCTTTTTAGAAATAATGAGAATAATGATTGTGCTTGAAAAATAAATAATCTGGCTTTCTTTCCATTATTCTGGTTTATTTGACGAGCTTCCGGTTCCCGTTGACCTTTTTTGTTCACCTTTGAGTAGCTCGAGATAATTTTCCAAAACGAACCTCTTTCGAACAATTTCATTTCCTTTTTCTCATTCGATTACCGTCTCTACCAAGAGGTTCCAAATGCTGCTGATTGGCACTACATATTTCATGGCCTCGGATAATTCGATTGGAATCCATTTCCAAACATGAATTCACCGTCGTTGTCGATGATGAAGAAGAGTGGTGAAAAGGAGAAAAACTCAATTTCCATTCCTTTCATTTCTATCCAAAAATGCTTGTTTTTTTAGACATTTTTTTCACACAAAAAGCAGAAGAAGATTTTTTTAGTTTATTGGTTTCTGGTCACATCTGTGCTTGAGGATAATTTCAATTTTTAAAGTTTTACGATGTTTTAATTATTTTGTTTGTTTTTGTCTGCAAATTTACGCTGTTCAGAAAACACTGGCAACATTCGAGGTTCATGAATAATTTGCGACAAACTGCTCCAATTGCAATTAAAAAAAGGTTCCTGACACAAAAAATTTACTGACTGCTTGATATTCTTTTATGGTATATACAACAAGCAATTTTCAATGGTTTCTTGCAAAAAATTGAAAAGTCTTGACTAATTACGAAAATAATTAAAAGGCAGGCTCAATATTTATCTGTTCACTGGTTTTATTATGTTCCAAAAAGATTTCCGGTCGTTACAAATAAAAAGAACTCCCACCTCCATTCTATTTTATCTATTTCTATATTTAGAAACTGCGCGAATAACTTTTGGAATAAGTTTAAAAAGAAGATTCACGGGACTGTTGACTTATTTAGAAGTTTCTCTCATTTCTGAACAGGCTCATACCAATGTATCTAGGCATTCTTCCAACTCGTGTGTAAGAAAGGATTGAGAAAATGCAATTTGTTTTAAAATGATGTTTGAGCTGTGAAAACCATTCATCAATTCACATCTTTTAATGATACCGAGTCGTTTTTTGTCAAAATGAAACCAAAAAGGCAGTCCCAAAAATTATTTTATATACCTAAGCACAAAGACCTCTCGAAAGGTCATCAATTCTGTAAATAACATAATTGGATGTTAATCGTGGACGATGCTTTCTCATTGGAAGAATTATTTCCAATTTGAGATTTATTTTCCGACTACCGAATTACAGATGCGATTTTCTTGAACTCCATTGTTTTCTTTTTGTTGCCTAACATTCGTTCTCTACATTTCCATCCAACACATATTTTTCCCTTCTAATGAGCTCAATTGTTTTCTGTCTATTCTCTATCTATTTGAATTTGTTTATCTTGCCTTATTTGCTGCTAAATACTTGTTCAAATCTATTTCTCTCAATTGTAAATTTAGAAAGACGTGAGTTCCAGTAATTTTGAGAATTTTTGATCATCCAAACGGCCCTACCTACCTATTATCTTGACATTAAGACATGATTCGACTTTGGATTCAAAAAATATGTCAGACAGTTAAATTTAACACATAATTTTTGATGTCGAAAAAAACTGGCAATGACATTGTTTGCAACACCTACTCATTCTTTCAAAAAAATGTCTCCGCCATTCGTGGTTTTTATAATAACGTTGGACCAATTAAGGTAGGAAAATGGCGACGTTTTTTTTCTTCGAAGCATTTGCAAATGCTATACGAGCACATATTTTGTTCAGTTTTCTCAAATTTTCCATCCCTCCCAAAATGACTACCGTACTTGTCATTTTTCAAAGTTTCGTACCACCTACTTGTGACCTTTGAATAATTGAACAGAGCGTGCCTATTTTCGGTGGGCCTTCCATTTGAAATTGGCATGAAATATTGGTGTTTATAAAACTATTTCACATTCAATTTTTCGTTTTTTTTTACAGGTGTCAAAGCTGGACGTGGATCCATACCAAACTTTTAATGATACTGCGAATTACTCGATGAATGCTGACTCAAATCGAACCAATGACTATTATGACGGTAATTTCGAGAATCTAAGAAAACCAATTGAAATTGAACGATTAAGGTCATATCGAAGATAGCTGCTCCTACACAGAGCCAGTATACGTACGTGAGCGATTTTATATGGTCGCCATATTTGGGACACTTGTCGCAATTGTTAACATCATCGAAAACACATTTCTATCGATAATGCTGTTTAAAAAGTAAGCGAAATAAGGCGATTTCGAAAAGAAAAAATCAGAAATTAAAGGAAATCGTATCGCTCAAGTCATATGCTTTATTTGGGCTTGCTCGCTTTCTTCGACGTCTGGATGGCAATTGCCTACATTCCATTAATGAGTTTAAACTTGTTTGTAGATTATTACAAATCTGTAGTGCTATTACGAGCTTGGTAATGATTCTGATAAAAGTATTTGATAGTTCAAGATGGTTTCAGGTTCATGTACATGCTGCCGATGATCACAATTTCTCATATTGCCATGACAGCCTCTTCATTTCTTATGGTTCGAATTTTCGCACAAAATATTTTTCAAGCGAAAATGCTGTTTTTTTTTTTTCAGGTGGCTGCTTCTTTAGAACGATATGTCGTTACAGTACATCCGACAAAAACGAAATGGCTTCAGAGGAATCGAAAATGTATTGCTGGATTCAGTATAATTCTTGGAGCCGCTTGCAAGTTCTCGCAGCTGTTTGAAATGACGGTAAACTTAATTGAATAGGACGCAATTATGAATGATATGTTTGAGATTGATTACAAACAGGAATGCTATGGGACGATGCGAGAATATCAGCTGAGTTTGTCTCCGTTGGCACAGAATCCGGTATATAGTTATTGGCGAATAATGTAATTGTTACTTCAAAAAGGCGATTCTACTGAAACTCAATTTCAGATTTCGTACAATATTCACAATTCTTATTCCATTTTTTCTATTGGCTTTAATAAACGGGCGAATTGTGGTGGTCCTGAGTAGAAATGAGTACAAATTCTTGCAATCCACAAAACTCAGCGATGCGAAAAGAAAGGTGTAATATTTTATAACCCTTCTTTTTTTATTATATATGTACATATGTATATCTTTTTTCTTTTTTAAATTTAGACTGCTGTAAGAAATGCGACACGGACATTGGTTTTGTGCGTTTTCACTTATCTTCTTTCAAATGTTCTGAATGTTATTATCATTCTTTGGGAATACATCGATATTGAAATGCTCACTGTTGATTTTGAGACTTTCTACATGTTCGCTGTCGATGTGGTATAAATCTCGAAATTGATTTAAGTGAAAACCTCCAATCATTTCTAGGTTTCTCTTTCTACCATATTTGCCGGCGCTCTACGTCTTCCGATATATGCTGCTTGCCAAGAAAATTTGCGAAAAGAATTTCTGGATCAACTCAAAATTATATTATCCTTCAATCGTTATAAGGGCTATGGTCCGACGGCGAAAGCAGTTGTTGAAGATATTGAAGATCGACGGACGCCTGAGCCCAACGGCGAGACGAAGCCGTACCCAATTCTATTCTCTTTGGGTGAGCACACATTTTCATTTCTACTAAAAATCTAGACAGACCACAAAAGAGGATTTGCATGCATAATGTCACCTACGCTCTCAAAAAACGGAAAATTGAGGGTGGAGTGACCTTCGGTTTCAAAATATTAAAAAAAAACGAATTTCGAAGAAAATAATGTTGATAAGATTAAATAAAACCTGGTTTATACGTTTTTATGAGTGAGTGTATTAATTTACGAAATTCTTTCAAAAATCATATTTGCTTCCTTCTTTTTTTTTACAAATTATTTTTGTTGAAAAAAAATTTTTAAACCCTCTTACGTATAATAATAATTCTGGGGTTATAGCGGGACTAAATTTCCATGTTTGATACTTGATATTTGGGAATGTGCGAGCTCGAATGAATATGAGCAACCAACATGATATATTGCAGGCACCGTTCTTCTGGTCGAATCAGCCACTGCGAATTGCGAAGCCACACCGACGTGTAAAGTCATCCACAAAAGCAGCCAGACAGAAAGTGATCGTCTGTTGTGCGAAAAAGTTCAAAGTGTTTGATGTGGACGGGTCGATTGCCATTCATAAATATTATTGATTTCTTTTCTCAAAAAAAAAAAGACAAACTAAATAAATATTTATAAAAAAAGTCGGTGGTGATAAAATGAAATTTGCATAAATTTGTTATAGGGCGAGGGTGTGCCATTTGCATTTCGCGTCGATCCGCGAGTTCCGCCCATTCTCATTTTGCTCCGAGTGTTATTGTTGTTGACCAGCCGAGGAGCGCTCGTTTTTCGATTTCGCCGCAGTGGCTCGCAGTTCACTTTGTCAATGAGTAGCAGTTTCGCCGATGACGTTGATCAGGTAACCAATCTAAGACTCATCATTCTTGAGAATCGAGAGCGGTATGTCTCGCTGTGTTATTTTAAGATGGTGTCGCTCGAAAAAAAAATAGACACCGGAGATTACGATCTTCTTTTTTCATCTTTCTCGCGCCTACCGTCCTAGCGATACAAAATTTTGATATTATTTATTCGCTCACATTTATTTTGAGCGAAGGAATGATTTTCGATTTTGCCGAACAGCCTGTGGTAGGTGTTTTTTTGTGCTGCTTTTTAAAAATTTCAAATTTCTCACCATGTCCATGTTTGGGCTCGCGATGCTCAAAAATGTTATTCAAGTACCGACGGCGACCGCAGCCGCTAATAAGAGCAAGAAACAGTGAACATGACCGGTGATAAGAGGATTTGCAAACACTCTTCAAAATACGTTTTGACTCATCGCTTATTATGTTTTTGTTATTGTTTTTGGTAGTACAAAACGCCGGTCGATTGTTTGAGCTACGGGGGGACCAAAACGAATCCAGACGGCCCAATGAACATATGTGCAGTGGGATACACTTCATTTCAATCGTTATGAAAAAATCTTCAAAAATCACACTCGAATTCACTTTTTCGAATTTGAAGTGACAGCAAGTCCCGAAATGTGGAATAGGTTTTCCTTTACAAACAAATAATTATTCGTTTTAATTTTCATTATTCTAACAATTTTCGACTACCTACCTGATGTGATGAGTTTCCAAATTTTTTATTGAAATTCGCTTGACATACTAAGAGTAGATATCTCTAGTATATCTCAATGAGAAATCTACATTTTCTTTGAATGATGTCATTGGAACTTTTCGGTACCAAGTTTACTCAAAACCGAATGGAAATTATCGTTTTGTCAATTGAATACGGGAAAAAAGTAATGATATTTTTCAAAAACATGTGCAATAGCAGGAAACTGGTTCCGTCACAAATATTGATTAAATAGTATTTATTTTTTGGCGAAGTGGAAAAAATCCGAATTTTGAAGGTATATTTAATGCAAAATATACGTGATTGTTTGTTGTTCTGTGCGATTTCATAGGTCACCTGCTCCAGAATATTACACATTTAATTTGCGCGCGCAGGTTTCGACTTTTATCAAAAACGTTTATTAAACAGGGGGGAGGGGAGAAGTTTTTCGATATTTCGAATTAATTGTTGTTAACTAAATGCGATTCAGAATGCCTCACGGCTGATTCATCAAGTGCTTCATGACGCTTTCATGGTTTCGGAGCTCGGCAATTACACGGCCGCCGTTGCAGTTCTTGACAAACCACCGGCATGGCAAAGTGAGTTTTTTGTCAGCTGAATCGCGAGAAAAAATCAGAGAATTGCATGTGGATTTTATTTGAAACATATGTTTCCCATCGCTCATTCCATTCCAACATTCTACTATTCTTATTATTATTATATTATTTGATTGCAGCTTGGGGTGTTGGATTTGCGATAGTTTCTGGATGTAGTTTTTCGGCGCCGCTGGGAATTCTCCTTCTACCGTGCTTCTCAAAATCACTGTACGAACGAATCATGACATTCCTGGTGGCTGTTGGAATTGGCGCTCTATCGGGTTCCACTATCTTCATAATGTTGCCACAAGTGCGTTTACAAAAAGCGAATTCTTGAACTGAGACAATTGATTTTTAGGCGTTTCATCTTGGAGAATTTGAGCATATGGATTATCACACAAAATCATTGATTATTCTATGCGCTTTATACGTGTTTTTCACAGTAGATCGCATACTACAATACATTTTAGAGTTCAGGTAATTATTTCAAAAAAAAAATTATACCATTCTGATATACCCGTTGAAACGAATTCAAACAATCGCTTAGCTTGAAAATTTGCCAGTCAAGTCTTTCCTCGATAATATCAAATTTTATTTTGTAATAACATTTTTCATAGAATGTTTTTTCTTCAGGAGACGACGTCAGACAAAACGCAGAATTCATGCCTCTACAATAGCATCAATTATGAATACACCGAACATGAAAAGAAAAGAAAATGGGGTGATAAAATGTGATATTGACCAAGTAGTTGAATGAAAATGAGTTTAAGGAAGAAAAGGAAAAAGTTGAATCAATTGATAATAACACATTAAAAGTTCCGGAGTTCAATCATAACAAGCTAACCAGAAAAGATTCGGAAAAATCGGAAGCCGAAAAATCGGAAATTCATGAAAAGGAGCTTGCTGAATTAGCGGTATCAGATCAAAAATAAATGTGTGCAACAAATCAAGTGATTTTCAGAATGATTTGGAAATTGCACTAACTAATAATGTATTAGCCAGAACGGTAGGAAATTGATTAATATTATTTTAAGTGCATGTCGATTAGTTGTTCAGTTTTCCACTCGGCGAAGGGTGGCGGTTGTTAGCAGCGGATTGGATGAGATTGAATTCCGAACTCAGAAAAATGCAGCACATGTTCCGATTCAACATCAAGGCAATAATGTGAGAATCGATATTTTTGAAAAATTGATATTTCAAATTTGAAGGCGTCACAGTTTTTGGACGCTGTGAACAATGAATTCCAGAAGAGGATCACTCCATTGTCAACAAGACCTTCTAGTCCAGTCCATTTAGAGGACGGAAAAGAGCATGTCGAAATGCAAAATAAGACGAATGACGAAGATTCAATGTCGGTTTCGATCAGAGTTGTTGAAAAGAAAGTGATCGAGCCGGCAGCAATGGAAGTCGCTTCTGTCGCCTATATGATTATATTCGGATCGTCGGCCAATAATTTCGTCGACGGAATGTCCATGGGAGCTGCTTTTTCAGACAATTTACTTCGGGGTCTTAGCATCGGAATTGCAGTCATTTCTCAGCAATTTCCACAGGAACTTGGTACATTGGCAATCCTTGTGAAATCTGGCTTAGGTCTCAAAAAGACCTTACTTTTCAACATGGTGCCAATTGTATTGAGTTTCCTCGGATTTTCAATCGGAGTCTTGCTTGACAACGTCGATGATTCATATGACGAATACATTTTCGCAATATCATCTGGAATGTACATGTATATTTTCCTAGGAACACTGGTAGCAAAGACATTCAATTTGGAAAGTTTTGTGAAAAATTGGATTCCAGATTCCGGAAATTCGTGAATCCACAAATGAGCTGATTAAAGAGAATCTCCGTGAGAGCATTGTTGTCTCTTTCCTTCAAGCATTTGGCATATTATTCGGCACAACATTTATGTACTACATGAGCCGATTCAATTCAATCAGTTTTTAAAGAATTTCGTCATATTGATGATCTAATAATTGTATTACTTAAAATTAAAATTTACGGGTTGCTTGTTTGGTCTTCTTATCTTAATATTTAAAATTCCCATTTATTTAAATTTGTTAATGAAAATTAATAAACTCTTTAAATAAATATAATAAATAATCCATGTAACAAATGATTTAAAAGTGCAAATGCTCATTGCAGAAAGATCGAACTGGATGTGCATGGAAATTGAGTTTTGGCACAGTCATTGGCGGGCTACATTTGATCGGACTTGATACATCGGCCGGCAGAACACCTAATTCAATTCTGGCTTCACTCGAATCATCATCATCAGTGGATCCCTTTTGTTTCGCAATTTCTAGAGATTGCCGCAAGTTGCGCTGCTTCATTACTTCGAGATAAGCGAACATTCCGATAGTGAATATCATCGATACAACAACACTGAAATTATATAAAAAGAAATTAATTCAAGCACGGAATGGGCGTTTTACAGCATGAGGAGAATGTAGGTAAAGTCGATACAGCAGCCATCAATGCAGCAAAATTTGCCGAATTCGCACTGAAAGAAAACTCTTGAATTTAAACTATTTTTTTCGAAAAATATAATAAGAAAAATGTTGAATTTAAATAGTTATCAATTTCAAAAATTCAGCTCAATTTTTACTGGAAAAGGAAAATCAATAAATAATATGTATATGTATAATAAAAGTACACAACGTGTTTTTAAAAATCGATTTTATGTGAAAAGATGAAAAGTATATTAATTTTATGGCAAAATTAAGCATTGGGGCAAAATTTAAAATATTTATCTTCGAAATTTGTTCTTCTTGAGAAAATATGTTCACAAAACAACAATCTACTAATCTTACTTCTCGAATGTCATCGTTGTACGTGCAATTCGTTGACGAGTAATACATTACGAAATATTTCTATAACTAATCTGCCGAAGAAGCGAAACACACATCCGAGAGATTATCCGAGCAGTGAGCGCTTTGCGTGTTTTGAGCAACACATTTATGGGCATTATTTATTGCGCAAAAGCAACATCAGTTATAATATGAATATTGTTCAGGTGTCATTCCAAATATGGCGAGTCCAATCATTTTGAAAAAGGCTACTGCAAGCACGTAGTGCATTGTGAAGAAAATGTGATCGAATTCAATTTTCGAACGGTACTGAATAGAATCAATTATCAGTGTTTCAAGTTGATAGGTTTTACCTCAATCGTAAATTGAATCAACACAATTGCTAGAGAAGTATAAACCAATGCAAGGAATAAGAATCCAATGCTGAGATATTTGTGGAAGAAGAGTCCATGAAGAAAATGAGCGAGAAATGACGTTCCGAACACAGCTCCGAGCACTTTTTCGCGGCGCAATCCAAGCCCGACTACTGCTGGGTAGACGAATGAAGTGAGGAATGGGGTGAGGATCATGAAAGGAGCATCCAAGTAGTGTCGCTGATTAACATATCCAATCAGAATTGCCTGTTCGAATATAAAACTCGCTGCCACAATACGACGGTTTTTCTCGGAAAGGCGTGTTGCTCCACGATTCTGAAAATTTCTTTAAATTTAGCAACCACTCGAGTTTTCTTCTTGATTTCTCAAAATTGGAAGCCTTACTACAAATGTGTGACATGCGATTCCTGGGATAACAAACATTATCAGCAATGCGACACCCAAGTCAATTAGGAACAATCCGATGATATGAGCTGCGAGGTATGATCCAATGAATGCTCCAACGCCAGTGACCAACAAAAGGAAAACAGCATTGGCAAACATCTTGGAGATGTGGAATTCTTGATAATCACCCGGTGGATTCAATTTGAGAAGAGACATTCCCACTTCTTGCAATTTGTCGGCAATTATTTGCTGAAACATTCAGACACAACCTTCTTCATCGTTCTCTTTTTTCTCCTTCTAAATTACCGAAGTGACCATAAGCCATTGTCCCGCGCCGATTGCTTCGCTCTTCCAAACTTTGAAATGGTCATCGTAGAAATCATTGAGGTCATCTTTGATTTCCCAATATTTCTAAATATTTCGCGTATTTTTCGCAGTAGACACGAATGAGCGACCTTGACGGTACGACCGACCGCCGAAACCGCATTCTCGCTTCTCTCGTTCACAACATTCGCCAGATTCTCATAATTTCCGCTAGCATCTAAAAACGTGGTAATGATTGTAAGCTTCCACACACCAGTACCTTTCTTTTCCGATTTTGCTTTATCCGTCTTCTCAGTCATGTTTAGTTTTCCCTAATAAATCTTACTGATAATGTGCGTCAATAATTCGAATTCTGATATATTCGAATGTCACGTTTTCAGTTTTAATTCGTTTGCCTTAAATTTCCGATTAATCATGAACGCCGATATCAGCGCGGCTTCTAATTTCCTCTTATCATCAAGATCTTTGCATTTTGGGTACGAATTCTTGTCTCGCTTGCAAAGGCCAAACATCTAAGGGAATTCACGAGAAATTGCGGCCGCAACGCTTCGGTTTCCAGTTTTCTGTACATTCTACATTACGGTTGCAATTGTTGCGCGAGGCAAAAGAAATGCGCCGACGATTTCCGGGTTCAAACTCTAATGATTCTATGCAGAGTTCGAAAAAAAAAACAATAGAAAATCCTTTTTTTTAATTCTAAAATTCCAATGTACCTCTAATATGGTCTGTGAATGATTCTCCAAAATCGGCATGGTGGGATGATTTTTCAATATTATATGTATTAATATTTTCAAAGAAATATTCCCTAACCTCGACTTTCATTTTTTCATTAAGTTTCAAGCCAGTCTCTCTTTGGAACACAAAGAAAATAAATCAACTTCCCGTGATGTGCCAACTCAAAACATCCATTTCAAACTTTTAGACATTTCTCATCATTGATTTCTAAATTTTTTTCAAATCTTAGTTCGATCTAACCAGCCAACAATAACTATTTATGCGCTAAAAAAGGAACAAATGACTTAATTATTCTTTTCGACAATATTTAGAAACATTACATAAAATATTATTCAAAATATTTGATACTTAAGCCGTTGAGCCGAATGTGTTGAGCCGAACACTTTAGTTTGAATGCGTGTGCTTTTTTCTAATTCATATTTAATTGTTGGAAAAATCCGGTTTTCAATTGAAACTATCGTGTGACCATTGCAATTTGGCAGAGGGTGAGGCCCTTGGGTCATCTGTTCTCGTTGGTGTTGATTGTTGTGAGCGAATGTTTCTACTTTTTGAAATTATCGTGATTCTTTCTAGTTTTTATCTCACACTTTCAATGCACTCTCATATTTAATTCTAATTATCCTATTTTTGATTCAACAATTAGGGTTTTTTTTTTACAATTTTTTGCTGCACTTTTTTTTACAATTATCAATTCGCCGTCGCATGATCAGCAATTCGTTTTTGTTTCAATCTTGCCTTCAAAAAATGTCGAATTATTGCCCATGATTTTTTTGATTCTGAATAACTCTTAAACTCTTTTGAATTGAGAAAAATGTATGTAGTATATACCATGAAAAACCAGTTTTTTTTGTAGACAATTTATTTGTGAATGTCAGATTATACATTGAATAGAGATTTTTGTTGTTTGCACTTGATGAAATCATCAACATCTAATTAAGGATAGGTCAAATATCCATACAAAACACGTTCTTCTAGAATTGCAATTATCGGTTGTGCGATGAAACTCACATGAAACGTGCAGTACCTCGAAATTTGTTGGTAATACACCAAACTTGTCCCGTCCTTGTGAATCAATCCTCACCACTCAATCAATTTCGAGCGAGACGCGACCTTTCGTCCAAACATCATTTTGGGCCCGATCGACCGTCTCCTCTGTTATTTTTCATTTCCATCCACTACTTTTTCGAATGTTTACTTTCCTCAGATGCATGTCCTCATCGTTTAATCGTGAATATCAAATACTGATAACCAATTGAAAATGCAAAACAAGCGATAATTGACAATCATTTCGATTGCAGTTCAATCATGCCTTCGGTTGACCGAGACATTGAAAATGTGCCCATCAACACACCGCCACCATATATGGACCCAGCGAATGCAATTGCGAAGAAGAAAATGTCCCGAATCCGTGGGTTTTCTTTTTCTCAAATATCATCATCGTTTGAAGCGCTGAACATTTTTATTTTCAGGCAAGGAATCAATGAGTCACATGAAGCCGTGTGAGCATTGCGGAGCTCCACCAGCAGCTCAATTGGCAAATCAGCCACATGAGAAAGGTGCAATCCAGTTATAGCCGAACATCATTCGTTGTTCTTGCAGTTCTTATCTGGCCAGCGGCTCGACCCGTCAACCACATCCATCAGGATTCGCGTCAATTCATCTGCTACGTTTTTATCATCGCCTTTGTCATTTTCTTGCTTTTCGCTGCCTGCAAATATCTGCCATGAAATGCACACACGGACACCGAATATCACAGAAATACAAGATATTTTGAAAATTCGAACGAAATTCATGGGGAGGGAGGGGGTATTCCATGGCTTTGTTCACTTTCATTGCCTACATTTTTCATTGTTTTGTGCATTTCATTTAATTAACAACAATCCAATAAATAACAATAATCTTTATTGATAACATAATCACCATTCTGGAATATCCATTGGTCTCCAAGCGAATACTTGTCTTTGACGGCTCGCCATTTTATAATCGTCGATATTATGTGGAGTCAAAGCGGAGTTATCGACCACCTGAAAATCATTTTCGATTTTATCTAGTATGAAATCCATTGAAAACTATGTACAGTAATTATTTAAGCCGAAAATTTATTCTTAGCGTGCTATGAACAAAAATGGAAGATGCGTTGACCTAAATGTATCAAATTCGTCCGCCTTTGACAACAACAAAATTTTAAATATTAAAATGCGAATTTTTGTTTCAAATTCAGAACTTGAAGCATTTCGACATGATTTCAAGTTTTTGGAAAGCAATTTCATTGATTTGAATTGTCGTCGGATGACCGATTTTGGCTGAATAGCGCGACTGTGGCCATTTGGCAGCAACCCAGGGATGGTCCCGAGGCGAAGTGCTTCATCGTTGCAATTCGACACGTATGCATGTTGCGAGACCCAAGAGTGCTCGATCGACGGTCGCGCGACTTTGAAAATATGTTTGAATTAAAACAATGCACGAACTTTTCCATTTCCGAGTCCCCATAGATTATCGAAACGCGCCGGAAGATATTTTTTGATAACATCCCCTGAATGAGCCTGCAAACACGAATTATTTCATTTCCTCAGGGTGGATGAAAATTAACCGGACTATATAAAGTTCAATGTATTTTAATAAATGTTGGTCTTGGTGTTCTGTATAAGGTTGTATAAGGTTTCCTATCCTAACTTCAGCGTTATAGAATATTTAGTAATTTCCTTATTTGGGCAGGTCCCATAATATCAAGAGACGTGCGGATAAAAAACATCTCAAAAGCTTATGCGTTTTTCAGACTAATTGAAGCTCATAGTCAAACTAACAAAATTCTAAGCCCAAATGCCTTTTTTGTTGGAATTTAAAAAATTTTTAAGGAGTTCGCATAATGGAGATGAGCCAACTTTTTCTCTCGAGTTTTGGAACTCTTCGAATATTTCGTTGTGCCATTTCGCTAAAACTCAGCCGATTTACGTGAAACTTGACATGATGTCAATAATAATAATAATATTTCAAACCAAATTGTTTCAAAACTATTTCAATTCAAAATAAGGAAGCTTGAAATTTTAATCCGGGTAATTTTCAGCCACTCTGTAATGTTTCTTTCTAATGTATCCAATTGAAAATTCACCTGCATTTGTCCCATATTCGTTTGAAAGTTCACCACTCTTTGCTGTCTCCAATTCGCCTAAATTATATTAAAAATCCAAACGATTTAAATGGATAATGAACCTCAACAAAAGTAATGCACAAAATGGTAATTGTCAGAGCCTTGAGTGACATTTCCTGAAGAAGAACCTATAAATTATAATATTTTGTGGCTCAATGGGCATCTGGATAAAAGCAAAAACGGAACAAATAGGATGACACAAGTCAATATTCTTCTTCTGCTTCTTCTCGAGACTGGCATCTCGTTAGCGAGCCACAAACAAAGCCGAAAAAGTGCCAACACCAAAATTCGATTTTTTCGCACTTGATTTTGTTGTGGGAGGGAAATTCGGCACATCATTTTTTGGTGTACTTAGTGGTTCGGATTCGTAAAATTTGATGAACGTAATTTCGTTTTCCTAATAGAATCGAGGCACAAAGAACAATATGTAGGCTCAAATTTGATGGAATCGGAAGAAAAAAAACAAATGAATAAAGACACAATCATCCAGTCAAACTGGTTATTTTGCATTCTATGGCTCATTTAGATCATTTTTAATTTAAAAAATGGCAAGTCAAAAGATGCATCTGTAAATATACCAAGGTACTGCAGTTTGAGGACGTCTTTTTTTAAAGTTAATTCTTAGCTCGCTCGTTTTTTCCACTGAGAATGCTCTAAACAAGCTCTTCTTTAAAATCACTTTCATTAAAAAAAAATAAAAGCAAGAAATATTTTATTATCAGGGTTTTCAATTTTTTAAATCAATTTTTCAATTGTAACAATTATACAGACAATGATATTTGAAACGAAAAAAAATATACATATCGTTTTGGGTTTCTATCACATTTCGATTGTCGAGAAACTCGTAACGATGTATCATATTGTCAACGGTTGGATAATTGGGATAAAAAAATTTTTACAGAGGAACGGCATCGGGAGCAATTTTCTAACAATGTCATTGGTGTTCTGCTGGGTGGCGAATGGAACAAAAATAGAACAATACACATCGACCCGTTTTGTGCGAAAAGAAAGAAAATAGAGACGAGTGGCGAAACTAGAGTTGAAACGGAAGATGAATAACAGACTAAACAGAATTCGTTAGTCTTGAAAACAAAGGAAAAGCCCAGAGCAGATTTAGTATACAATATGTTAGATTTGGTATTCCGGATTGGGAAAAGTGGAAACGGAATTGGTCAGATCAACTTCGAAGTCAACTGTATCGCTACTTGTCGAGCTGCGACGTTCACCACTACGTTCGCCCTGGCATTGATCTGAGACGGATTGAAGACTTGAAGAGCGGTAGGGATTCGAATTCGACAATGAAATGCCTGAAACAACAAACACAATGAATTTTGGAATTGAAAAAGAATTTCTGCGGTGATGATAAAATACGACGAAAATTGAACATCAACTTACCAGAATCTGTCGAGGTGGCTTGATGACTGACAGAATCGACAGTGGTGACCTCGTTTTCGGCAGAAACTGAAAATTCACAATCAACATGCCGAATCTTGAACTTTTTAGTACTTTTTTCGTTCTCCTGAGACAAAACCGGCGCTGATGTGGTTGTTTGGAATAGACGTAGATCGATACTTGATAGGTCTTGTGAGCTGAGATTCTGAATGTTGAAACAATTATAATTATTGAAATAGTTCGATTAATGGAAACCTTCTTTGCGGGCAGAGCGTCTTCAGATAGCTGTGCCTTCTTCTTCGCAGCTGCTTCCTCCTTTGATCTAGCCAACGCTTTTTCTCTTTCTTCCTTGTCCATGTACCAAATGGTGATGGCGTATCGCGGCTTATACACCGGCATCACTTCATGCGGATTGCGGCGATCTGACCAGAAAAAGACGAGGCGGTCAGCTCTTGGATCGATGTCCATCGGCGTCATCGATGTTTCCGGATAGAGTCTTAATGTTCCTCCATCTTTTCCCATATCCCAATTCTCGTTGCAATAATAAATCGTGGTAATACACCGGCCATCTTTAACCGGATTATCAACATGTTTCACATAACGCGTGCCATTTCCGGGATAAATAGCAAGCATTGCCTAAAATGGAAATGAACAATAATTGGAATGTCGTTCGATTATGACGAATTACCCTTGATCGGCCACCGATGTTGTAATCGATTCTTTGTTTAAAGTGTTGAATGACGGAATCGATCATTGAGATCAAAAGGCGGACTGTGTCTGCACCATGGGCACGAGGATCATTACCATCGTACCAGTAGATCTGAAAATTAAATTAATTAAATGCTAATTAGTAAAATTGGGTAATTACCCGATCTGATCGAATATCCTTGATGTGCACTTCATCCTTGTTTTTCGCTTCCATCAGCTGGCCAGCGCTGAATAGACCCCGTGTATACAATGATTCGATTTCTCTGAAAGTTTTTTTAGTTTGCCAAAAACATTAAACAGCGATCCATACTGTGCAGTTGCTCTTGTGTGATTTTTTCCAAGGAAATTGTCAACCACTGCCCAGCCGAACTCGTTTAGACTGCGTATCACGTGTTCGGAAATGTAGCGCAGACGAAGAATCATCGCCTGATGTAGATTCAGAGCGAGTCCCTTGTTCTGCAAATGCTTTTGGTGTTCTTGTATCGTCGTCTGCAAAACGAGACATTGAGTGAGTCCAAGAGGCGCAGCGCAACGCCAGACGAGGAGAACACCACAACATATAACGCGAGATTCCCCTGTGCCCCTCCGTGGCCGTGTGGCCTAATGGATAAGGCGTCGGTCTCCTAAACCGAAGACTGCAGGTTCGAGTCCTGCCTCGGTCGTCAAGTTTTGCGAGATGTGTGTGGTCTTACCTCGTCAAGCTTGGTGGAAAGGAGCGGGGGAAGTGAAAGTGGGAGTTTGGGCAAGAGTGAAGATTTCAATTAAATCGTTGCGGGACAAATGAAGTGTTTGCCTCGCTAATTGCCTTTTTACCCGAGCCGACCCCCGCAGCTTTCAGCGAATAAGATTAGTGCTTACCGAATAAACGAGATTCTTGTTATGGTCTTTGTACTTGGGACGAATATCTGCGGACCCAGTTGGAGTTGGGCGCTTCCTGGCCCGTGCATGGTTACGACTTTGGCAAGAGCTACCGCCCTCAATGATCTGAAATTAAATCGCCTTTATTATAAGATATTAACTCATTTTCTTTCATATTTGCTTTTGAACTTCGAGGGTAAACTCTTGTGAAATGCTGACACATACCGTATTAGAAACGAAAAACTACAGAAACCCTCAACGATGGTCAAACATCGTGACGCACTAATAAAACTGCCAGAAAACGTGATAATGGCAAAAACGCATGCAATTTTATAATTATATTTGTTTAACCGCAAATTGAGTCAAACTACATATTCCGATCAAAAAAATACTTATGTAAAAAAAGAGGTTTGAGAATGAGTAAGCTACCGTATGCCTCCCGTACGGAGTCCATCGATGATGATGGTGATGATTATGAGAACTCTCTGAAGATGAGGTGATTGTTCGTATCGGCATTATCGGCCTTTTACGAAGTTGAAATCAGTTTCTGAAACCCGATGGGTGAGAGAATAGTTATGGCTTATGCAGACTCAAAGAGAAAACAACGAGAAGAAATAGAAAATATGTACGAAAATGGCAACAACGTGTGTGTTCCTCCTCAATTATTTAGATCTTATGAACATTGTGATGATGTTGATCCACTGAGATTCAACCGACGGGAACCAAGTAGGAAAGCGAGGTGATGGTGTCGGTGGCCGACGAGAAATCAGCATCTCGTGCGGCATACGACAGAGACGCAGACACTCGGCGCGCACGCACGATTCCTTGTATTCTGCACGTTTCGGTCCGAATGTTGGCTACTGCTAGCAGCGCGGAATTTCACAGCGATTGTGCACAAAAACATGCAAATGTCACGCAGGAACAATAATCGCCGACTGAGCTATATTTGGAAATAATTATTAGTTCGCATTAACGGATAAACAAAAAAAACCAAATGCGTCGAGTGGCACGTACATAGGTGTCGAAACATGGTTTAATGTTTCGAAAAAAAAACCAACTAAGAAATCAAAAAACAACGATACTAGAACTAGATGATACTCTAGAACTGAGAATTTGTAAAATTGACTCGTTTACGTCACTCATGTCGCTTTGCAGAAAAAAAATGAATGCAACCTGATATGACAGAGAGTAAAAATTGAACCGAACTTCACCGTCACCCATCGGCATATACAGTGACCACAGTTGTCGATCAGTATGTGTGACAACTTGTGTGAAGTTAGTTGTAGGTGTGGCACGATTGACGACTACATTCTGACGACTTCTATTTTTTCAGTAGTCTCTTATTTTGATTAAAAATGAATAATCCAATTCTTCAGAAAATCTTTCTCAGTTCCAAGCAAATAAATTATTGCATTTTTTAAACTCCCCTGGGGAGCTTCTAATTGAAACTCGAAGTCTTCAACACTAAAACAAAGCGCAGAGATGTTAATAAATTCCCTTAATTCTTTATGCCGGATAACTATGTCCTCAACTCGAATTAATTATTATGTGCATCATAAGCATGTGCAAAATGAAAAAAAAAAGAAAAAATTTTAATTTTGTTCCAAAATTGTTTCAATTTTTCGCGTTTCTTTTTTCAAATAATTTAGGTAGTAATAAGACTGAGAAAAATTGCGAGAAAAGCATATAAAACGGAGCCGTACTTCCGCATTTGGCATTCATGAAAACACGACGCTGGCGTGTCGAATGAATGAAGAAAGGATTGAATTGGCACGCTAGAAACGACGAAGCAATCTACAGTATACAAAAAGTTGAAATCATCTTGATTAATGGCAATAATGAAAGAACACAATCGATGCTGATTACCAAATATCACAAGAAAACAGAAAATAGAAAAATATCTTTTTTAAAAATCTAAAGGAAATGAGAGTAATGTTTGGATATTAAAAATTCCAAGCACGATTATAAATTTCGTGGAATTTCAAAATCGAGCGAGTGACTCGAAAACAAATTCAATTCTAGGAAAGATTTGAATTCTGATAAGATCAATTATTAAACAATCACAATGATTCATTGCAGAGTTCTCAATTTAAATAAATCATGCCAAACGAAAGACGCGCAAAGTTATGACGAAAAAATTCGCGGTCTCACGCCATCAATCATGGGTATCGTTACAAATTCATGAAATCAAAAGGGGAAAGCCGATTAGAATTTCATATGAAAACCGCTAGGTGGTTTTGAGGCGAATTGAAGACCGACGCTATTGATATCGCTTTTTGATTAGTTGCCGTCCGTCACTCTAGAGGATTTTTTTGTAAACGCATGCACGTAGGCTGAATTGTTCACTCGGCATGTTTTTTATCAGCTCTCGCCGTTAAACGATTCGCCAATTATTGCACAATGCAAGACACAAACCGAGCTGCCCGGACGGTATTACGTCATACATTGTTTGATTTGCGCTCTTATGCATTCCCTTCGAAAGCTTCTCATAACGAAATTACGATAATAATATGTTGGATATATTTAGGGAGGTGCGAGGAAGACGAAAAAAAAAAGAAACAGATGAGCGCTTAATGCGATTTATTGGACTATTCGAAATTATGGAAGTCACGTATACCCAATAGAACATCGTTGGCTCATTGGAAAATTCACATTTTTTTCCACGATGAGAATGTACTTTGTTACTTTGAGAGGGAGAATGAGAGAGAGAGAGAAATAGATAACCGACGACGTTCCTCGTGCTTTTTAATTGACAGATCTGTTTAGCAAGTGTCAGCTCCGCCGAAAACTAATGACCGGTGGGGAGAAAGAACAGCTATTTTATCTTTTCATTATATAACTCGCCTGGATATCCGGATCATCAGTCTCAATAATCCTCTCTCCTTCATCCATCGGCTCGCTCTTCGGCTCGGTCTTTGGCTCATTCTTCGTGATAACTCTGATTGGTACCGTAATCTCACGGGGCGGCTGCGGTGGTGCCACTGGCGGAGAGATTATTGAGATCTTGTCCCAGTTAATGCCACTCAATGATGATAATATTGCTGTTTTGAGAAAATAAGTTAATAGCGTGAAAAAAAACAATTGAGTGAAACCTGGAATCAGCGGATTAAATATCGTACTTCGGTATGGCCGGAATGCACTAGATTCGCCCGAAAACGGTGGTATGGTGGGATTCGGAAGAGAACTTGAAAGCTGGATCGAGTCGGAACCAAGATTCGTAAATTGTGGAATTGCGACAATGCTTTGAGGAATCGCAACATCTTGAATGATTTGTTTCAGTTTGAAAAAAAAAAACATTAAAAATGAATACCCTTTGATGTCGATGGCTCGGTTGGATTGAACGGTACAATTCCTTTCTCCTGCACTGCTTTACAAACCATCTTATGAGTCTTCCAGTCAACTTGCTGAAACCAATGGTCTGTGTTTCTCGGAATTCAAGTTTCCTTCTCATAAATGGACTTATTCACGCAAAATAAATAAATTTTTTTATTGCACATTTTTCCAATGCAAGCATGTACAAAATGCACATTTAATGTAATTTTCTATTTTTTGTCAAAAAAAAAATGTCGTGTATTAGTGGAAAAATATTTAGTTTTGAACTCATCACACGATGTTGGATGTGTTCAAATGAGCAACCGAAATTTCCACTTAGATTCGTTTAAGAAGGAGTGCGAGGACAATTTGAGAAAAATCACATAGTTTGTATATAAACCACGTATGCCGGATTATTAAAAAAAAACAGCGAACACTTTCAAATGACCATTATTTGAACTCTTATTCTAGTTAAAATATATATACTGATATTGATGAGATGAGTTAAAACTAAGACATCAAAGAACAATGAGCAGAATATCATCGAACTGGATGTGTGTCTTCGTGGAGCAAAACATTTAACGATTTGCGATCAAAATAATAGTTTTCTCTTAATGTTGGTTCAAAATAAAGTAGCAGATTGTTATTTTGGGTATTAATAAGGAATCCGGCGACCAATGTGTTGGGGTAGATTTACGCGAATGCGAGTTTCGCCACATGTGAATGTTTACTTTGTGGGTTCACGTGAACTGCTCATCTTTGTTGATTTTAACAACAATGAAATAATAAATTATCGATATACATATGTAAGAATATGGCAAAATAGTATATTTGGCGAAGACCATAGCGAAAGATTCTCGCCCGTAAATCAACCCCTGCACAAATTAGTCACAAGGCGATTAAAAAAAACAAGAGAATTGAACGAGAACGTTTCGAAAGGATTCAAATGAATACCTGATGCTCTTTTGAGCAATAAGCGACTGTTCCGCAAAAAAGACACGGCTGAAGTTTCTTGTGTGACTCGGTACATTCGTCACCGCAGTATCCGCATTTCGAGACTGCGCATGCTCTATTATTTTTAGGAATCTGAAAATTCAATATAAACAAGTAAAATTGGAATTCTCACAATTTCTCTGAACGCAGACGTTGTGGATGTGAATTTATCTTCAGATTCGGTTTCGCTCATCATCGATTTGTCATAAAAGTTACTGAAATGTTGCATAATAAAAGGGAATCGAATGGGGTGAATAATGGCACGCCCACGATAATAATTAATGAGTAACATAGGATGAAATGAGTAACAGATGGTTCGATTTATTGAAGGCTCGTTGGATTCTGAAGAATCATTAAAAAACCAATTTCGAAAAGAAGCGTTGAATAAACAAAACACGACAGATCGCTTATTTGAATTCGGTAAATTATGCATCTCTCTGAGGCTCGTGCGAGAATTCAATAGCAACGACAAAATATGCATAAGAGGAATTAATTTGCTCGAAAAAACCAACAATTATACGAGCGTTGGGTCAAATCTCTCGAAATTTGACGTGGGTTCTGTGATCAAATTGATATCGACATTTCGCGAAAATTCTTTCAAAAAAACTTCAATGAAGTCGTTTGGACATAAAATTCTTTAGACAAAGTAGCAAAATGCTTTTGATTTAGTCGCCTCTTTCAGTAGCCAAACATTTCGAAACGATACGAACAGCTAGCCGTAAATCTGATATGTTACGTCATCAATAGACGACATGAGACGCTAAACGGATCACGTGCGTGTAACAATAATCTTTGATCATCTCGGGCATTCGGAATTAAATGCTCATTATTTCGGCAGTTTGAACTAATAATTTGAATGATTAAAGGAAGAGAGAGTTATAGAGAACGAGAGATAGTGAAAATTCAAATGTCAAACGGCCGAAAAAATGCGGGACGTCGGCCGCAGAATTGTTCATTGTCTACGTGCGAAATCACAAAAAATGATCGAGGCGATGCGGCGAAACAGCGCTTCGAAGCGAGCGACGCGATAGACGACGCGACATGCGAGATAGTGAAGAGACTCGAGACGGGACGACGCAGGTCGACATGCTCGACCGCTGGTGTTCGAACATCGAATTGCCCAACTCCGAGAATGCGCCGCTTACGTGGAATTCCGAATAATGCTTGACGGATGCTGACACTTATTTATATCGTCGAAGCACCGCCTTTCAAGGTTGGCTTCGATTGGGCAAAAATTAAAAAAAAACGAGAACTAACAATATAAATGTGAGCAGCTGTTTTAGGGAAATCACATTCATGCGCGAATTATTCGAGATTTGTGTCAAAGCGTATAAACCCATTTGAACGAATCAACCACATCTAAGAACAAATCCTTCTGGGATTTCGAGGCTTACGCGGATTTTCAAGGATTTTTCGGAGCCGAATACGTGAGATAATGTGAATAAAATTTTAAAGCGATGAAATTCAAAAAAATTTAATTTTGTTCCAAATATTAAAAAAATGTTAATTAAAAAAACAACACTAATAAATGCTTGTTGACGTGCTATTTTTTTCGATTTCATTTCTAATTTTTTTGGGCGGGTCGCTGTCGCCCGCCCACACGAAAGTCCTACAATTTTCTGTTGAAATTCGAACAATAGAAACAAATGTCCAACGGGAGCCCAGAGACGGGACCCTGTTTTGTTTTTTTGACATTCTCTCCTATTTCTAGTATAGTTTTTCTTAGAATTGGAAGAAGGAATGGGTTCACAAACCTATGACTTGCGGTAATTTACACTTTTCTCTCCACAACACTCGAACGAAATTCTCGCTTGACCGATAACCATGCGATCGCAATTGTATGTAGACACTACTCGAAATATGGCAAAAATTGGGTAACTCACGCAAACCATTTTTGGAACGTGGTGGGGCGGAGCTAAAGGCGGAGGATGACGTACAAAATAAAGATATTCGAGCAGATTAGAGGTTATCAGTTTTTCGTAATATTCTAAATTGTTTGCCAGAATATTTGATTGGATTTGCCTCAGTTTATAAGGAATTCAACGTTTAGACTACACACGCTATGAATATTGAATATTTTCGAGTGGAATGTTTGATTTTCTCCAAAATACCAAATATCACATTCGTCTGATTTTTGCAGACAATCACACTATATTCAAATTTTCCAATTAAAAATCCAAATTTTATTGATAATTATAATAAAATGAGATCTAGACTATTATTAAAGTCAATATGTTTTGAGTAAAAACAAAAAAGCTAATAATATTTTAATTATTGTAGGCAGAAAAAAAGTGAGAAACTGCGCGATTCGGAAGTGAAAAATGTCATTTTATTAGCTTGATAAGATGATCGCACTTGTCAACGTTCGGATAGCAGAGATCAATCAATTGCCTACGTGCATAACCAGAAGTGGGAATGACTGTTGCAAACGAAGACACAAAAGGAACACAAAATACGATGGAGTGTGTGTAGGCGAATGACGCAGAGAGCACTGGTGTACAGTTTGAGAAGACTGGTAAATACATCGTCGAATTGCACACTGCTATCGATAATGGTGAAACGTGTTCTTTTTTTTTAGCCGAGTTGTGGACGTGTTTTTTATCAAAAATGGTGATTGTGACTATAAATCTCACATCGAAAAACAGTTGTATTAATCGGATTTGAGAATTTATATCGGATATAATAATGATAATTAACATTTTATTTTTGTGAAATATTATCGCTCGAATGTGGATTGCGCGCTCTACTGTATGGTTGGGTCCCGAAACATATGTGTCGATTTACGCGTGGGGATTTTTACGCAGCGTTGTGTACTCTGGTAACTCAAAACCAATTGGATTCGACAAAATTCGACTTCTGAATCAACCTTATCCTATTGGAAATTCTACGGATAAGATTGGAAAATTGTCGGATCCGATTCGCTTTTTTGGGTATTTTCGTATCCGATTGGTAATTTGTCGGATCAGATTAGATTTTCTTCGAATCTGATTGGTAATTATTCAAATGCGTTTTGTTTTAATATTTCAATTCGAATCGGGGTCAGCAAATAACCAATCTTATCCGTAGAATTACCAATCGGATAAGGTTAATTCCAGAGCCGAATTATGTTGAATCCGATTGGCTTTGAGATACCAGAGTAACGTTGCATTGTCCGTGTGGAATACACAGACGCAACTCTTCTTTCCCTTGTGGACATCCTTGAATGTGGAGAAAAACAATCGAAAAAGTGTAGAAAATTTCAATGCAACAATTTTTACTTTTTTTTTAATGACAAACTATTTTATTAGAAGAATACAATGAAAAAAGTGTTTATTTTCTTATTTTTTTTATGCATTGAAATTTTCTCTAAATAAAAGAATATATTTCCGCATCTGCTTATAACGAAACCTTTTGAAATTTCTTAGAAAACCTTTGTCAAGAAATTGTCAGATTGTTGCTAAGAAGTTGCCGTCATTTACCAAGAATATGTATCGGTGGTCTATTACAAACGACCCTGACTTTTCCCATTTTTCATCTATTTTCGAAAATGACCAATTAATATGGAATAAATATCTATAAATAGCCCAAAATCAAGTTGAAATGGCAGCGTTGAGAGCCCAATGTTCAAATCAAAAACCAAAAGTCAAAAAGTAGGAGCGAAAGAAAATAAAAATTAGTATTCAAGAGGAGGAGTCAAAAACTAGAAGCGAAGTCAGAAATGAGTCAAGCAACATGGGTTCCCAAAATTCAATGGCGGCGGCAATTCAAATTTGGAACCTAGTAGACCGTGTCCTTTTTTTTGACAACCCTGATATCACAAAAAATGCCGTCGCTTCGATTTTTTGCTTTATCAACCAATTAAAATTTATCTGCTTAATGATTTATAAAAAGAATAATAATTAACAGAATTCAATAATTTATAGCCAATTATTATTGTACCGTACTCGGGATTACCTGCGAATCAAACTCACCCTAAATCGGCGCAGGGATCTCTTTTTTTGCGAATGCAATACATACAAATTGGAGGGCATTTTTAAAAAAAATATGGTTTATGGTTTCATTTTGTAATTACAAAAACGAAACTAAATTGATTGTAATATATCAGCAGTTTTCGTTATGATTTTGAAATGGTTTCGTGATATCTGTCATATGTTCTTCAAACTTCAAAGTGTCAATTTCTTGAGCGAAATAAGAAAAAAGTTTACTTGTGACTGCTTTGCACCAACTGTTTAAAATTTTTGGCAAATTGTCACATGTCTCGAAAACTTGTAATTTAATTATATGCACATGTATGTTTAAAACACAGAATTTTTTGGAAAATAAAAAACGTGATAAGATATCCTGATAAGGCAACAATAACATCAAATGGGCCACCAATAAATTCAAAAAAAAGCGGAAACCTAGATAATTTATTGACAATATGTACCTAGACAGCTACTTTTTTGTTAAAAAATATTTAAAAATATATTAGAGAATACTAGGAAATAGGAAAACGTGATGTTATCATAAGAACTCCGAAAAATTCATTTCCATCAACGAAATGTTTTTAAATATGTGGTGAGATTCATTAATAAAAACTTTGAAAGAATTCAATTAAAGCCAATTATTGATATTTTCAACACTTATCACTTCGTTTCCTATAAGAAAATCGACGATAGATGAAGACACAGAACGAATAAATACATTAACAAATAAACTTTTAATGTTCGACATTTCCAAATTGAATCTCGTATTTCCTTCGAATGTTTGATTTCAATTATTTAATGAGATATTAGCAACAATTTTAGGTATTCAAAGCGGAAATTTTAAAAGTTGGACCCCAGAATATTTCGAACGATGATTTTGATATAATATCTCAGGTAAATGTGATCGGTTTGTTTTTGTAAAATATCGCCAATTTTCAGCGTTTTCTGGATCGTGAAGCTCAAAATGAAGCCGAAAGATTAAACTTCGAACAGGGAATAAATCCATAATTCAGTGTGTTTGTCAATAATTTGATTAAATCTTGTTGTTGTTTCGCTTCGTCTTTTTTTTTGTGCTCGTATTCTTGCCAGTAACCACACCCACAAATTGGCGAGATTCCCAAATAAACAAATTTGGTCGTTATTTTTCGAGAACCTAATCGTTTAAAGATTTTTTTTGAATTTTTAATCGAGAATCGTTTAAAAATATCTTCGACTTGATAATATTGTTCAAAATCCCTTTCGTTGAATAATAATTTTTCACGTAAAAGCCACAATTTTTCTCACA